CCGAATCCCTGAGACGGAGTGAGCTCCCGTTGCTCTGTCCCAGCTCCTGCCAACCAAGCAGTTCAAAAGCACACCAGTGCAAGTAGATAAATAGGTACCACTGCTGCAGGAAAGTAAGCAGCGTTTCCATGCACTCTGGTTTTCGTCAGTGTCTCGTTGTGGTTTAGTCATGCTGGCCACATGACCCGGAAAGCTGTCTGTGGACAAACACCGGCTCCCTTGGCCTGAAAGCGAGATGAGCGCCGCAACCCCATAGTTGCCTTTGACTGGACTTAACCATCCAGGGGTCCTTTACCTTTTTTGTACCTTTTACAAGGTGTTTGGGAGGTCTACCATACATGGGTCCTCCTCTTTTTATCCTCATAACCTACCTTATGAGGTAGGTTAGTTATGGGTCACCCGGTCAAGTCCATAGCTAAATTGAGATTGGAACACCCAAGTTTACTCCCCCTCCAAAAAAACCCCCTCAAATGCTGACAATCAGCAGTTAAAGTGGGGAGTTGAGATCAAATTAAATGTTTCTCTAGGAGCCTAAAAAACCTTACACTGGCCGTGCTCACGCAGAATGATATATGGGTACTTGCAGTGGCGTGTGGTGAAATTTTTCATAGGCGAACAGTTAGGGCCAGAGGGGCCAGTTTGTGCGGGCAATTGGAGGGGTTGTGGGGTTGACATCGCACGTGTGAGCATCACGCCTCCTTTCTAAGCTGGGCAGAAGCTTCCCGGGCTTTGCGAAGGAGGTGCCAGGGGGACACCTAGGGGACTAGGCTAGTCCCCTAGTCCACTGACCGCACGCCACTTGCGCAAGGAAGATAATGTTCTGAAGTTTGCTAGAACCTTGGCAACGCTCGGTACGTGAAACCTTCTGCTGTCGCTTGTCTCCCATAGTGCTTCATTCGACTCTACTGTTCGGTTGTGGGACGTCGAAAGAGGAGTCTGCACTCACATGTTAACCAAACATCAAGAGCCTGTCTACAGCGTAGCTTTTAGTCCTGACGGAAAATACTTGGCCAGTGGGTCCTTTGACAAGTGTGTCCATATATGGAACACTCAGGTATGGAAATTTCACACCCAAGCGATGAGGAAACGGCTTGGATATAATGTTAACCGAAATAAAGCTTGTCTGTAATATTGTTTGCCAGGGTTAGGCAGCTTCAGGTCCAGAAGCCAAATGGAGCCGTACAGTTATCTTTATTGTGACTCTGGGAGCTTGCCCACAGTCCACCCTCCTGTTTTGCTTTGCTGGAATGTGGCCTTGAACTCTGAGCATGGTTCTCGCGTGTCTGGACGGAGGATGGAGAGGGGTGTGTGCAGAAGCTAGCCTGCTCAAAGCAAAAATTCACAATTGTGGCTCTATCTGCTTTTTCCTCCAGCCCCACCCGCTGCTGGCATATGCAGTCCCCTACCCTTGCTATATGGGTTAAACCACAGAGCCTAGGACTTGCTGATCAGAAGGTCGGCGGTTCAAATCTCTGTGACGGGGTGAGCTCCCGTTGTTCGGTCCCTGCTCCTGCCAACCTAGCAGTTCGAAAGCACGTCAAAGTGCAAGTAGATAAATAGGTACCGCTCCGGCGGGAAGGTAAACGGCGTTTCCGTGCGCTGCTCTGGTTCGCCGGAAGTGTCTTGGTCATGCTGGCCACATGACCCGGAAGCTGTACGCCGGCTCCCTCGGCCAATAAAGCGAGATGAGCGCCGCAACCCCAGAGTCGGTCACGACTGGACCTAATGGTCAGGGGTCCCTTTACCTTTACCCTTGCTATATGCACCAAAGACAACAAAGAGCTTTACACATATTTATTATGGCACAAGTTGTGGCAGGTGTGGGGAGAGAGATTTGCAACGCGGGATCAGAAATTCTGTGACAGTGCAGGAGAGTTTTGTGCTCCTTTTCTTAACTACGCACAAAATGTGCATGCAGTCTAATCCAAAGATTAAAATATCTAATCGGAGTGGGTGTGAGCTACTCCAAATTTGGGGGGGGGGGAATGAATTGGCAAAATGAGAGTCAGTGTTGCACCAGAAGCACCCAGAGCATTGCTTTCCATAGCGGACAAGACACTTGCAGTCGCTATTGAGCAAAGTTACTCACCCAAGTACAACCCTGTTACATCAGATGTTACAAAACTTCATTAGAAGGCAGTTCTTCACAGTTTTGCTGGCCAGATGTTTCAGATTATAGAGCTGTAGGAAGACAGTCCACGGTACCAAAATGAAGCTTTATTGACAATAAAGAATTCTCATAGTACTAGTGATCCTGTGGCATCAACATGTTGTTGTCAAGAAAGGAGGTGTATGTGGTATTCTGTATGTCCACATTGTGCAAGGAAGGGAGCTCCAGTCTGGGTGAAAATAGATTCCTTCCACCATACAGCTATGAGGGGTTTCCCCCCCCCAGGTGGAGCGTTCTTTTGTGCTAATACAAGCTGTTCCCTGCCCGCCCCAAAACCCATATAGCAATGCATGGAGGGAAGGAATGGACCTTCTGTCTTCACATACCTCTGTACCTATGGCAATTGGGCTTTCTTTAACCTGAAATTAAATAGCGAAAGACAGAGATATAGCTCTATGCTACATACTGAGCATGGTGCAGCCTTTGCCAACCTGGTGTTCAGCTGGTGTTTGGGACTACAACTCCCATGTGCTAGCTAGGGATGATGGGAGTTGTAGTCCAGAACATCTGGAGGGCACCAGGTTGACAAAGGCTGGCATAATGTATATAGTTTGGCCATAAGAGTAGTTCAATGTAGTGCAACCACTTTTATCTTGATTCAGCTTCGTCCAACTTTCTGTTAAAAGCTGAGAGAGAAACAGCTGCCTCTGCATACAAAGTTATGTGTGCTCTCTTTTACACACACACACAACAAACAAACAAACAGCTATGAGCCTTAGAAAGAGGCCTGCGTGTCCTTGGCATTTGTTGACACAACTCTTAGGAAGATTCCGATGATCTTACCCAGTGATACCGTCTAGAAGCATCAGGGACGGATCCATGTAGAACCCTATGTGACAGAATCCATTTCTGCCCCTAAAGGAGGACAGGAAGCAGATTTATTATGGGTTAGGAAAAGATGTTTTATCTAGGAAAATCTCCCATTGCTCTTCCACCATGAACCGAGTGGGGAGGGCAACGTAGAAGCATATGGGCACAGCACTCATTCCCAGCTTCATAAACCATAGTTGCATCTAAATCAGGGCATTATATTCTCCATATATTTGGAATATAATGTCCTGGTTCAGATGTAACTATGGTTTATGAAGCCTGCATGCTCCTATGCTGACTCTCCCCCTCCCCAATATCCTGGATTTGACCTTTTCATTGTCAACAGCAGCCAGGGAGCACACTCTCAGGGGTAATCTTCTGAGTTCACATGCCAGTGGTGCATAGCTGTCAACGTTTCCCTTTTTTTAAGGGAACGTTAGGGAAGCTTTTAATGTTTGATGTATTACTGTATTTTAATATTTGGTTGGAAGCTGCCCAGAGTGGCTGGGGAAGCCCAGCCAGATGGGTGGGGTATAAATAATAAATTATTACTATTATTTTTATTATTATTATTGGATTCCTCACAAGAAAAGGGAAAAGTTGACAGCTATGCAGTGGTGGGGTGGAGCCTGTGGCAGAAGTAGGCAGGGCAATGGATTTGTCTCTTACCTTTCCTCTGCATTCAAACCATTTAAAAGACTGAGGTTTACCGGTATGCACACACACTCCACCCCGGAAAGCAAAATGCATTGTTGCAGCCCAAGGAAACATTCCCGCAAGGCAAAACCTCTCAAGGAGGACCTGCAGAAAAGCCAGTGACAGATGTGGCATGGAAAGAGAGGGTGTGTGTGTGTGTGTGTGTGTGGCCTGAGAGGAGTGTCCCGAGGGCCAGATAGGGCTGCATTTGGGCCTGAAGTTTCGAGCCCTTGATCCAAGCATAATTTGCATGTATTTCTTAGAAACCTTGGGGAAACACACACACATACAATGCAGAGCAAGAAGTATTTGCTGCCTGAATAATAATGATGGCGGTGGTGATTTGTTTATTATTATTTTTGTAGAATGGAACTCTAGTACATAGCTACAGAGGCACTGGGGGAATATTTGAAGTCTGCTGGAATGCTAAAGGAGACAAAGTGGGGGCTAGTGCATCAGATGGATCGGTGAGTCTTTTCAGACTTTATTTTCAGTGATTGTTCCTATCCCCTAAATGAGCATAGTTCCCATGTTGTTAAAACTGTCCTCCCCCCGTGATAAGATTAGAGACCTGTGAGTTAGTGAGCAGTATCCAGAGGCATTTAACTGCACTCACATCTCCATATGTACTCTGAGCAAGGAACACCATTTAGTCTGATTTCATCCTTTTGAAACATCCTGCAGAGCTTTTTGTAGCTGGGAGACTTAACAGATCCATGAAGTACCCTTTAATGTCTTAGCTTAAGCTCTCGATGGTGTTTTATAACAGATGGCAGAAGCAGTGATATGTAAGAATGCTGCTACTCTGTTGTATGCGTTCTCCAAGGACCAAATGGACTCCCAAGATTATTGCATTATTTCACATGCTGAGGATCCTTCTCATGAGTGTGTGTTATAGGAGCATACGTTTGCTTCTCCAGCATGCAGAGAAGACCTGTAACTGCGTGGCTGTGCAAACTGAACCTTTCTGATTGTGATACCTTTCCCTTGTTCAATATTCCCTGCTGGATCGCCCAGATCATTGTAAATACAATTATTACCGTGCAATTATGAGTGAACAATATTAAGATATCCGAACAATGTTTTTTGATCGTTTCCCACCTCTCTCTCTGCCTTCTAGGTTTGTGTTCTAGACCTGCGAAAGTAAATGTTTTAGAAGAAAATTTGCAAATGGACCAGCATTGAATGTGTGGGTAGAAGCACTCTTCAAAACTATTTTTTAACATCTCTAGAACTGCAAGAACAGGGGGAAACAAACAGAAACTGGGCGGGGGGGACCCCAGAGTGTACAACAAAGGCAACTCTCCCAGGCGGCAGAAGCCTGCAAAATGTTTTGTCCATAACCTTCACCGTGGAGTTAAGACACAGTCACGTAGGGGGAGGGGTTGGGGATGGTTTCCACCTGGAACCTTCAGCCTTTGGAAGCAAGAGGCCACCACCAGCTAAGACCCCGTAGCGTTTGGTTTGGGTCTCTGAGAACTCGCTCTGACGGCTGCAGAAAAGAAGAGGAAAAGCTGTGCCAAAAATGATAATAAAAATAATAATAATTAAAAAAAAGAAAACCTATAAAGCAAAATGCTTTGATAAACCAAAATGGGGAGAGAGAGAGAGAAAAAGAATCCTCCTCCATGTGGTCTTGTATTTTTTTCCCTTCCAATCTGGACACTACCGTTGCTCTCCCAAAGGACATTCAAAGACCAGTTTGTACTGATGACACACACAACTTTGTAATCACAACACTTTCTATTTTCTAGACTACTTTTATTTGTTCAATGGGTTTCCCCCTCCCCACCCCCCTTTCAGCTGGAATATGATAGCCTTTGAGGATCACAGGCATAGTAGGTTTGAACTGAATTTCTTTTCCTTCTTTATTGTGCCCATGTTTTTGTTCGTCTGTTTTGTTTTGCTTTTTTCCGTTGGTGCCCGCAGAAAATGCAGCCAGGTGGGCAAAATGAAAAGTTTTAACAGACTTTTTCTCTCCCCTTCTTTCTGCTCCCCCCACCCCACCTGCCCCTTCCGCTCTTGTCTCTTCTCTCCCAGCTTCTTCTTTCTCTTAATACTTCCACGCTTCAGATCTTAGGGTCTCAAGGGCACTTTCAACAAATTGTGTAATAAGTGCTTTATGTAAGAATGCAATGCCGGGAACGCTTTTTACAGGAGAAAGATGACTTTTTAGGAAAAGAAAGAACCCAGTGTATTTTTGGAAAAAAAAGAGAAGTATTTTTTATGTTAAAACACAATTTTAGAAGCTTAAAATCTCTACCAGATGTAGACTGGATTGTGTTACTCATTCAGAACAAAAAAGACCCCAATTTGAATGGAATCTGATACAGATTTAAAGATGCAGTATCTCTTTTATTTCCTCCTCATGAAAGGCGATTTGCTAAAACAAAGAAACAAAAAAGAAACCAGGCATTGCTTCTCTTGTAAAATATAATCTTATTAAAGGGGGGGGAATATCTTGCATGTTTTTAATTTAATTGACAAGTCTTAATGATGTCAATTATGTCACATTATTTCAGAAGGTTAGAGTTTTAAAAATAGATACTTCTTTTCTGAGTCATATATCCAGATAACTCTCAACATTTTTTTAAAAATCCCACATTTCTTGCAGAAAATATTTCCACATTGAATAATGCCCAATTCTGCCATTTTATTCAAAATGGGTAATTGTTTTTATTTTTATTCTGAGTAATATGTCTAGTGTTTCACAGAGTGTAGAGAGAACTTTGTTATTTGCTGACTATTTCTGTTTACAAATACTGCTAAGTTAGGGAGATCTACAGTGGGTTTACTTTTTTAAACTGCTGCTCAACTGCCCAAGGTATTAAATAGCTGCAAACCGACCCCTATTTAACTAGCAGTAAGTCCCATTTAACCCAGTGGGACTTGCATCTGAGTAACGTAGACATGCATAGGATTGCACTGTAAGAGGTAATAAGATTAGTCTGGTTTAAGCCAACAAATAGCTTTTGGAATTTTGAAAGAGCTAATCCTTTCTCCACAAACATTTCTGACATATTACAGAAATTGCCTTTGGAGATACTTAGCACCCTGAATTGACCAGCAAGCTCCCAGGGAAAGAGGGATACTGCATCTTTAACTTGGTATACACTGGGTTCCTTATATGGGGCATCAAAAAGCCCAGTATTTCTAGGGTTCAGTGCATATTAGTCCCCCAAGACATATATGAGATTGCATTTTTATTTTTTATTTTAAAAACTAACTTTAGAGCCAAGTGAAGTGCACTTTGTCAAATGTAAGGGTTGTTTTTTTTTTTTTTGTGGGGGGTGTTCTACTTTGTCCTTGTTTCATTCTCTTGTTTTCTTTTTTGCCTTCTAAAAAAATGCGGTTCTTTGTCAATTGCAGAATTGTTACTTCAGCCACTCACTGATTAAGTCTGAATTCTGGCTTCTGAAGTTTTATTGTCTGTGTCAGACTTGAAGCCGGGCTTGGTTCTCATTTCAGCATTTCCCCGGGTTCTGTTGAATCAACATCTCCCCTCACCCCGTTTTGTCTGTACACCCACTCCCCTCTTATAAACACACACACATACACACAAACCCGCACTCTCTTTCAGCAAATCACCTTGTGTGTTGTAGTTTGTTTGTTTCAAGGAGAGAATCAACAGATCATATTCAGTGTCTTGAATAAATTGCTATATTTTGATATTAGAAATCTCTGTGTGAGTTGTTTCTCATTCTTCCTGTGCCATTAACATTTGCCTATTTCCTTAGGTGCACTGTGGCTTCTTCCCTCCCTTCTTCGACTTTCCAGGGCCATTGGCCATGCTTTCGGGTGCTGTTGGGGATTGTAGTTGAGGAACATTTGGTGGACCAGAGATAGCCCACAGCTGCCGTTCAGGCTCCAAAAAGGCTGACAGGACCTGCTTAGCTTGTCATTTTTAAAGGGACAGAGCAAATAATATTTACCAGCCAAGATTTCATAATTCTGAAGGTACCATTGGGAAAGATTCACATGCAGAAACTCACCATTTGGTGGGTTAATAATGCAAAAGGTGAACTTTTAAGTGATGAGCTGTGCTTGAGATGATGGGTTATATATCTAGTCCTACTTGGGAGTAGACACATAGAATTTAATGGCCATGACTGACTTGGGTCCATTTATTTCAGAAGGTCTACTCTGAGCATCACTTAGTTGGATAGTACCCTATGTCAGAATACGAGAAAGCTGTCGCTATGGTGTTTGAGCAGCAATGGTGGTTGTAAACCTGCGGCTCATTGCTTGATTTTGCTGTCATTATAAGGTATAATCTCCAAATAAAATAAAAATAAATATTTTCCTCTAACTAAAACACTTAACTGAAAAAATCAATTAAGTGTGTAAACACAACAGGAGTGTGTAGACAGGGCTGCCCTTCAATGTTAGAGTCTGGCCAGTTCAGTTGTCAGGAAACAGCAAAAACCTTTTCCCACATCAAGGTGATTGACCCATTGGAAGAGGAATCAACAGTTTATAGTGTGTCACAAGGATGGAAAGGAATAGCAAGGAACACATTTTCAATCTCTGAAAGGTCTACTAAATAGTGTCATTTGGTCTGTAGGGTTTCTGTGGGTGTCTTGTTAGAATTAACCAAGGTAAGCAAAGGAAAATTAGTAAAAATAAGAAAGCTTTGTGATACTTTTTCAGTATTGATGTTGTGTGTGTATATGTGTGTATATATATCTGTATATAGATCTACACACACACACACACACACACACACACACACACACCCCATGACATTTGGGACCTTTTACACATCCCAGCAATGTTTAGAGGCAAAAATAAAGCATGGTGGTGGTTTTGTGGATAGGAATGTTTTAACACTTGCTACTGAATCTGAACGTGGTTCAGGCTCATGTTCAGAATTAGTTATGTGCTTTTGCAGACTGAGGACTAGAAAGCCGTCAAAAGTCAGTCAAGGGAAGTGTGATCAGGCTTGTGGGGGAGATGCTGGCAAATCTGAATTTCAAAGGAGGAAGACTTGCTTGTCACTCCATGCTAGACTTTTTTGGGGGGAGTGGGTGTCAGGGTGTCCTTCAGCTCCTCTCCACAGACCGTTTCCAATTATTCAACATCAGCATCATTACCATCTAATTCATGGGCTCCACTTGAGATATGGATTTCAATTGTGCTAGCATCAGAACCTAGCGAGACAAAAAGAGAGAGAGATCTCTCATTACATTCGGAGAGGGAGAGGGATGGCTGAAGAAACTGGTCTGTCTCTTGCTGACTAAAAAAAAATGAAGGAAACTTACAGCACAAAACTTGCATTTAACCCTACAGAGCAGGAATTTTGCTGTATAAGTGTGTCAAACCACAGAGTATTTTGACTGGACGTCTATGGAGGCACAGTGACTCTTGCTTTAGTGTGGACTGCTATGTATTGTATTATAGAAACTGTATTTTCAAGATGATTGTGTTGTTCCATGAGGCATTAGGGGGATGTTGGGTAGCTTATCAGGTGTAGGAGTCAGGAAGTCTGGAGAAAGAATTGTTGGTGGCTTGAGCAAAGATGTTAAAACTAGGAAAGACCTCATGACCGGGAATAAAGCTTGTGACATTTCCACAGAAAATACAGAATTTAGTTGAGCTCTTATGCCTGAAAGGCTTCCATTCATTTTTTTTTCTTTTAATGCCAAAGCAACTGCTGCATAGAAGTGTTTGATGTTTTCCCTGGTCACACTGAGAGTTGATGGCTGAACGTATTTGCTGCTCATTGCCATCAACAGTTCTGAAACTATAGCCCCTATGAAATGTTTAGTAGAAGATATTTTTTTATGAGACTGAGTGCGACAGCAAGCTTAGGGCAAAGGTGAGCAGAGTTTTGCACAATTTTTAAAAATGTATGGGGTGTGTGACATTCTGACTAAAGGCCTCTAAAAATATCTCCCCAATATCTACTTGAAGTCCAATCAAAACTGATGCGAACAAGCCAGAGACTAGCAACAAACTGCATGTGAGCCTGTTGTGAGGCTTGTCGCCCATGCCCCATAGGAGTGTGTGTCTGTTTTCTCTCTCTTCACTTCTAGCACAATATTTGGTTTATTGCTTTTCTAACCCACGCTTCAGCACATCTCAATCCAGGCACTAATGGACCAAAGGGGGGGGGGGGATCTGCTTTCTTTTAACAAAGCCCTTTCTTCTAAGCCAGAGAGAAGACCAAGTATGTTCTGTTGCTCGTTATTAATAGCAGATGTTGACATATCAAGCCTTTGTTCTTGCGACTAGAGAGGGGCCTGTACTGAATTATAGTACTCTAGCTGTCTCTTTAAGTATCAAAGAAATTTGAACTGGGATATGTATCTGAACTGTGTGTGCCTTAGGAACACAGGCAGCTGAATGCTTGGTAGGGACATGGGTGAGGGCCTTCCTGGTGGCTGCTCCCGGACTTTGGAACTCCCTAGAGATGTTAGGCTGGCTCCCTCCTTGTCCTTTCGTTGGCAGGTGAAGACCACCTTATTCCAACAAGCTTTTGGGAACTGCTTTTAATGAGGGCTAGTGCCATGGAGTTCTTACTGTAATTATCTGTATGTTTTGAATAATGTGTACACACAAACACACACGAAATTCTATTGATATTTAGGGTTTTTTTTTAATGATTCCCTCATTTTTAGCTGTTCATATTTTATCTGTAATCTGCCTTGAGTCCCTGTCAGGGATAAAGGTGGGGTCTAATGAAGTTCAGCCGGAACTCAGTTCTGGCACCTCTCAGGTAGGTGCCATTGCCATTATAAGAGAAGTTCTTTTTCTAGAAAAATAGCACTGATAATATAATTATATTGAGTCATTGCTCCCATCCAGTTCAGTAGACTTAGGACAGATCTCCAGTGTTTCAGACAGGAGTCATTTGTAGTGCTGTCTGAGGTAATGAGGGCCTTCCACAGCCTACTATTCGTTTACCTGCCATGTTTTTATTAGAATAGTATAATTATTCCTGACCATAAAAAATCTGAATGCCAGGAATCATGGGGCGTGAATTTTATTTTTAAGCATTCACAATTTGATGCTGGAACATAGTGGCCATGGACTGTGTGTGCTCAAGCCTTCAAGCCCTCTTCCAAGAAGGAATAGGTTTGTGTAACAAAAATTGCTTGTGGCTGACAATTACCATGGAGGCTCTTGCATCATCAAAACTGTGTCTCCTTCTGTCCACTGGATTTCAGGCTCGTTCCCCGCCTCTCTTGCAGAACCCTTCTTCTATCTAGATCTGGGTAGTGGCCATGTGCAAGATGTATCTGAGGATCCAGTTAAACATGAGTTGAACCCAAGCGAAAACATCTGCCATGGATTCCTGTAAAGTGGTGGTGGCTTTGCTTTAAAACACACCATAGTAGTGCCCATGACTGGCATCCCCAAAACTGCTTCTTTAAACCTACTTCTAAGTAGACATGCATGGGCCTGTTTAAATGTTCTTCCACTGTGATAGCACAACAAGAATTTCAAAACCATTTCTGTTGCCAGTTTATTTCAAGCCACATTAATATAGTTCACGTATAACATAGCCCAGGTTAGAAGGTACGTAAGAAGCACCTGTTGGAATTGGGCTAATGGCCCACCTAGTCCAGCATCCAGTGGCCACCTAAGATGCTTGTGCGAAACTCACCAGCAGCACCCAAGCACAAGAGCACTCTCCCCTTACGCAGTTTGCAACAACTGGCATTCAGAAGCATACTGCATCTGGCATGGCCAGTCAGAAATAAGATTAGAAAAACAAGTAGGCATCATAAGCCTTGTGCTTGACTTGCCCCCATCCCCAATCCTGTGCACAACTAGCTGACATCACAAAGACCAGCCACCTTTGGCACGTTTCACAGTGGGGTTCATTGGGTTTGTTTGCTTAGTTAAATGTTAAGGGCTTGCATTGCTCAGTTGGATGCTGGATCTCTCGTGTGCCTGGCAGTTTCTGTTCAAGAATTCTTCAGAAATCTTGACCCACAAGGCCAGGCCTTTGGCTCTGTAAACAGAAAAGCACGATTATGTTCTAACGTTTACGTGATGGAGTGAGGGAATGGAACGACGCATTTAAAAAACAAGTGGGTGGTTGTTCTTTTCCTTCTTTAAAAAGGATGATGAAATGGCATCTTAAGTGTTTGGATGTTTTATTTTCTAAATGTTAACCACCTTCCAGAACCAATGCTACATCAGCAGCAAAAGGCTGCTAAGGAGAGACTAGGTAGGTGTACAGCTAAAACTCTCACACTGTATCTACAGAATGATCGGCTCTCACCTTGCCCCACTTGATGTCCTCCTGATATTTTGGACTGTACCTCCCATCATCCCGAACCACTGGCTGGGGCCCATGGGAGTCATAGCTCAAAGTATGCGGAAGACACACCACATTGGGAAAGGCTGGTCTATACTCTTGTGTGCAAAAAAACCTCGAAGCATGATGCCTTTTCTAGCCCTGCTAATATTGTACCTTGAAACAAGTGATTGGGAGGGATTCTAGCTGGGTTTGAACTATGAGATCTAACACAGGCAAGGTGTCCTTTGCCACACAAACAGGGTTCAGGTAGTGCAACAGCTGTGTTTGACTTCCACCGTGTGTAACGACGCAACTTAGAATGTGTGTTTATCGGCATTTATGCATTTACCACCCCCTTCCTTTTAAGGTAGAAAGGCTGAGACAAGCACTTGGGAAGACAGACTTACAATAGCGAGGTCTCAAGGAGTCCAACCTCAGGGGAAAGTTTGAACCAGCCCCTAGGCAAATCAGGCCTGCAAGTCTTTCCTTAAAGCAGCACTGATCCCCACTGTAGCCACTGCAGAGTGTTTTGGGTTTCTTTAGTTCTGCTTAAACAGAGTTGACAAAGTTGACTTTAGTTCTGCTTAAACAGAGTTGAAGGAAAAATAGGATTCAAATTGCGCAGAATACGTAGCTAAAAGTTGACTGGGAGATCCCCAACACAAATCCGGCTAGAAGAGTAAATTGCATGTGTTTCTGACATAATATTTTGAGGGCGTTCCTTTTTTTGCTGCTGTAGCTCTCTTCCCTGAGAAGGTGCTATGCTTTGTGCAAGCCAGCTAAGTCAACAGACATCTTCACAATGGTGCAAAAGCATGTCAAGAAGCACAGAACAGAGTTGAGTACAGTAATATAAAAACGTTTTCCCTTGTTGGGAAAGAAATAAATGCCAAAGTTGGCTCAAGAAAGCAAACTCTTCTGCATGCTACAAGGCAAAGGCCAAAACTGAGGCTCAGACTACAATGCTGGAGGTATTTCTAATAAAACACAGCAACGTTGCAATCTCAGCTAACCAGGAAAGCCACTAGGGTTACAGGGTTCCGTAATACATTTATTAAAGAAAATCATATACCGTAAGATATACAAGTTATAGGAGACAAGAAAACAAAGTATGCCAAAAGAAACAACAATGCTAATAAGTTCTGAACATCACAGGAACCGTCTGACAGCAGTATTCTTGTGCACTGTTTGTCAAAAAGTTGACTTCTCTCATTTTTTTTTTACTCCCACATTGCTTCTCTCTCTAGCAAGGGAGTCTTGATGAGTGGAAAGATAGTATAAGAAAAAAAGTGAGGTACTGGTGAGCAAGGGGAAGGATGAACTCTCATTCACAACCGCACATTCTCCAGATCACACATTCATGTACACCTCTTAATTCCACTTTGTGTTGACTGGCAGCTGAATAGGTGAATCAACAGTGTTGAAATATGATCTATGCAACATGCATGCCTTCCAACAAGAGGAGTGCAAGGGTGAAGCAGCCCTGAGGTGGTACAAGTTACCAGCCCTGGTAGACAGGAGAGTTCCTAGGTGGCCTCTCATCACTGCCAAGGTTACCTTCAGACAGCATGCTTAAGGTTTCATCCGCCTGATGGTTTGGCTCCGCTGTCGTTTGCTTTGAGTCGGGGAAATTCACAGAGTTTCCGCTTGGCAAGCCGTAAGCATTTTCAGCAGCTGTTGACGTGGACATCGATTCCCAGGGTATTTCGCTTTTTCTCCAGCGCAGGTCCAACTTCCAGCCTGTCCATCCGTAGAAAGCCAGTGTAAAAAGGAAGCCTTGCATTGGATTCAGTACTCCCTAAAGGACCAAAAAGCAGGGCGAGAATCAACATGGCCATGGGTAATGAAGAACCATGGTCCTTTTAAAAGAATTCATGCAGTTTTAATTATTTACACATCACATTTCAGTAAAAGAACCTCCCAAGGCAGCATACAGTGGTACCTTGGTTCTCAAACGCCTTGGTACTTGAACAACTTGGAGCCCAAACCCTGCAAACCCGGAAGTTAAGTGTTACGGTTTGTGAAAATTTTTCAGAAGCTGAACGTGCTCCATTTTGAGTGTTATTCTCAGGTCTGCCTGTTTTTGCTATTTATTTTGCATTTTAGTTTTTGCAGCTTTTTTGTTTTGTTTTTGTGACTGTGTGGAACCCAGTTCAGCTACTGACTGCAGTACATTGATTATTGCTTTCATTTTATGGATCGATGGTCTCGTTAGATAGTAAAATTCATGTTAAATTGCTGTTTTAGGGGTTGTTTTTAAAAGTATGGAATGGATTAATCCATGCGCGCCTTGGTTTTGGAATGCTTTGGTTTTGGAACAGACTTCCGGAACGGATTAAGTTTGAGAGAGGAATTTGGCAAAACTCCTGGGAAAATTAATGATAACTCTTGTCCCCTTCACTTACTACGGAAATAAAAGTATAATTTCTCTGCGCAATCCCCAGGTGTGCAGCGCAGCCACCTTCAGCCTTTGCTTTGGGAAGGGGGGCTTCTCTTCCGGCTCCTGCCTAAACGAAGATGATGGAACTAGAAGAATACCTAAAGACTCTCCCAGCCCTGTTTGGACATTTCCCTCTTGCATGTGGGGGAGATGGTGGAGCTACACTGACTGAGCCATCCATGCGCTGAGGGGAACAGACATCTGTAGTGGCGACTCTGCTCTATGCATATAGGTGCCTGGTAATAGAAGCATTTTCAAATGGAGATGGGCTAGGATGAAGAGCGGAGAGGAAGGAGGCTCACAGCAGAAGTTCCAATGAAGACACTGCGACTGGGAGGAGCCTGCGTGTCTCACCAGCGTACCTGAGAGCGAGTCGGGACATGCAAAAGCGCTCCTTCGCTGAACTTGGCGTTATTGCACGTTGGAAACAAAAGGTATGTACAGTGGTAGCTCAGAAGTCGAACGGAATCCGTTCCAGATGTCCGTTCGACTTCCAAGACGTTCGGAAACCAAGGCACAGCTTCTGATTGGCTGCAGGAAGCTCCTGCAGCCAATCGGAAGCCGGGTCGGACGTTCGGGTTCCAAAGAACGTTCAAAAACCAGAATAATCACTTCCAGTTTTCGGGAGCCAAAGCGTTCGAGTCCCAAGGCGTTTGAAAACCAAGATCCGACTGTATTAAGAATTGTTTTGAAGAAACATTCAAGGTTGCCCCCTTCAGCCAGTCATCTAGCATTCTATACATTTGTTGGTGTGAGGAAGTATTAGTTACTGGTTAGCAGGAAGGCAAAACTAAAAAAAAGCAACCCCGGCTGTGAAGCTATGTATACACACTTGCCTGGGAGTAAAGCTCACTGAAGTCAGTAGGGCTGATTTCAGACATAAGAATAATTATTATGGGACGGCACTGTAGCTTATTGCTAGAGCATCTGCTTTCCATGCAGAAAGTCCTAAGTTCAATCTTGTATCTCCAGCATTCCCTTCTGCCTGAAACCCTGGAGTCTGCGTATGTTTGCTTATTTATTATTATTACGACTACTACACATGTGGGCAAAGAGACACACAACACTCCCTAGGACAAAAATAGGACAGCACGCTAGAGCGCTCATGAGATTTCCAGCAAAGTCACACTGCTGTGTTGTGGGGAAGAGAGAGGAAGAGAAAGGTAGAAAGAAGGAAGTTAAACACGAGATACTGGGCAAAAAAATTAAAAAGGGGGGAGAAGGCAGACAAAAGCGTGTAATTTCACAGCCGTACAAGGAAATGAATGACATAAAGGGCTCTAAAGAGCAAAGAAAGTAATGGAAGCGCTGCTGTGTTGAGGGAAGAGAGAGACAGTGGAAGGAGGAACAGGAAGCCAATGATGAAAAGTAACACTAGGCAAGAGAAGGACAAGGATCGCTCCAGGTGAGGAGAGAGAGATGCTGAGACTTCGGGAGAAAGTGACAGGGCTGATTAGAAACCAACTCTGCCATGACTCAGTAACCTGGTATTGATCATTATCAACAAGCCTGTATGGATAAAAAAAAGTACACAAGCAATTTAAAACACTCTCCTGGCAGTTAATTACTACCTGTATTGTAGACACCTGCAGCCAAAAGAAAAGAAAAATAAAGCAGTTGGCACTTCTGTCTATCCAGTGAACTTCCAAATTCATCACTTCCTGCACTGTCCTCAGCAGGATAATTCTGCCCCTGCCCCACCCTGCAGGTCTCTGGGGACTCCTTTCCTGTTGGATGGCAACCTTGCCAATGACACTCGTTTAGGAAGCCCTAAAAAGCATTGCTAAGCCCTTACCATTATGATCCACGTGATCAGTGCTGCATTCCGGACGTGTTTCAAGGGGCTTCCGTTGATATCTGGCTGCATTTCCAGGTAGAACAGGAGGCCCTCATTGATGATATTCGATGACCAGCTGATAACAGGCACCAAGAGAAGAAGGCAGAGATATGGATCACTTGATGCATGTCCTTTGTTTTCAAAGCATAGATGTACTCATTTGCAGAAAGAGCTTGGAGAGTTCCCTTTGAATGCTAATTTTCAAAGCCGGTAATATAAAAAAAGATGAATGCATGTACAAAATCTCCCTGCCTTGGAATCCCTTTGTGCAGCCTCAGGCAGAGAAACCAATCGAAAATGAAATTTTAACATGCCACTCTCCTGTAGGCTTGTCAGTTGCGGAATTTAATTTTGGTCATTTGTACCATAGTATACCATACCATACCATAGTATACAGTGGTACCTCGGGTTACAGATGCTTCGGGTTAAGAACTTTGCTTCAGGATGAGAACAGAAATTGCGCAGCGGCAGCAGTGGGAGGCCCCATTAGCTAAAGTGGTACCTCACGTTAAGAACAGTTTCAGGTTAAGAACGAACCTCCGGAACAAATTAAGTTCTTAACCCAAGGTACCACTGTACTGGGCTGTGGTGTATGAGGTTGGGGGGGGGACAGGGGAGAGAACCCTCATTGCTGTAGGCACCATAAAGAGGAAAATTATAAGCAGCAGTTAGCAGCAGCAACATATAAAGGGCAGGGATGGAAAACCTTCGTCTTGAGGGTTACATTCTCTTCTCGGCAGCCATCGGGGGGGCACACATGCCAACAGGTGGGCACAGCCATAGGCAAGAGTGGGCACAGCAACGAACAGAAATATAACTTCATACATTTGATTAGTTTCTAAATTTCACCCTTTCACACAACCTCTGTCTTGCATCCAGGCAAGGAAAGGCATTTTCAGAGTTCAGTGACACATGCCATCGAGGCAAAAGCACTCAGGATGTGAAGCAGAGGCAGTGGGGAAGGAGGGTAGCTTGGGAAGAATTCAAAGGATCAGGCAGAGAGGTCTGGAGGGATATATTTGCCGCCTGAGCCTGAGGTTCCCCACCCCTGTATAAAGGGAGGGAGCACGTGCGCACACACCTGGGTCAAAATTTCAGATAAACGAAACTGACTTTTTAAAATGTGGAGCTGATGCAACATCAGCCTATGCATTTGCCCGCACAATATCGTTAAAAGAAACTATTCCAATAAGTGGGAGGGCGGAAATGTGTCTTACCAAATAACGACCACCAGCATGATTTTGAAAAAGCGAACTTTGATCTCTGTCCCCAGGCGCCTTTCATTCTCTGTATAGATCCCTTGTCGTCCCTTCAGTAAGGATGCAACTGGAAAGGAGAAATAAAAAGCATTGGACATGCTGTGAGGTAAAGCCCAGCAATTTTAAGGTCAGCAGTGAAGATCAATGGCACATCCCACTAGGTTGTTTCTCTTGTCCAAGCCCCATTAAGATGCTACTGGTTTCAAAAGGGATTACACAGGATAGTTGGGCCCAAACTTTAACGTCACTAATGTAATCTGTTCCTAAGATTGGCACTATGCAACAGCAGCAGTAATAGCCAGGCAGAAGTATATGGCCGGTCTGTTAAAAAAAACCCTCATGGCCCCCCAGATGTTGTTGGAACCAAAGCCCAGCAGCAGAAGCCAGCATGGCCAATCGTCAGGGATGATGAAAGTTGCAGTCCAACCACATCTGGAGAGTACCAGGTTCCCTCTAAGGAAGATAAAATAATGGGCATAATTTGAGTCCTGCGAGCTGAAGCCCTGGGCACGGACTTCTCCCCTTCTCCTCTGCATACCCCCTGAAGTTGGCTCATTTTGGGGGGTTGGGAGAACCTTTGGAAGAGCACATAGAGGGAGGGGAGTCACTCCATCTGGCATTCAAAAATGCTTGCCCTGGCAGAATGATCATCTTAGCATGATGCTGAATCCCTCCCAAAGTTTTCTGAAAGTTTCTGGGTACGGAGGTGTAATCTATTCAGGAAGCCACCTTTTGATTCATAGACGTTCTCAGTTCTCTCCTTCTGATTACCTGCATCCCTTGATTAAAAAAGGAACCATGATCCGTTAAAACACGTTCCTAATATTTATTTTTCATTCACACACGCAAATTCCGATTGCCATTTGGAATCTTACCAGCGGTGACTGTCCTGCTGAAAAGGACTGGGTTCGCCACCAGAACAAGCACCAATGGAACGTAAGTCGTGACGTAATGTGGAATCGCATGCTCCAGACCATTTTCGCAACTGAAGGGGTGGGGAGAAAAATGGGCAGTGAACAGATTTTATTTCTCATTCCCTTCGTCCAAGATTAGAGCTCCCTCGTACATGTAGCGGGCCTTACTCAGGATTCCCAATTGGCTTCCTGCCTAGCCAGAAACACAGGGGAATAATTGTGATGTGAGAATCCACATGCTTATCTATGTCTGTCCCATGTTCAGACAGTATGATAGCTTTTACTACTTCCACTTTCACATTACAGCACAACCCCCCCTCACTGTACTGTATTGTTCTGTCTATAAGACATCCCCATCTATAAGACGTCCCCTATTTTGGGGGCCTCAAAATTTAGAAAATGGGGATTGAGCTTTGGGAGAGGATTATTTGGGGGGGGTGTGCTGAAAATCGCTCACCCGCCAGAATGCAGCGCACAATCGCTCGCGTCGCTTACAATTGCTGCTTACAATCTCAGGTTCGCACTTTGTTCTGAGGGGTGAGCAATTTTCGGCATCTCCCCCCCCCCCCAATCAAGCGGTCAATCGCCACTTAAAAACTCAGGTTCGTGCTTCGTTCCGGCAGGTGAGCGATTTTCGGCATTGGCCGCTTGTCTGTTGTGGGGGGGAGCCCCAAAAATCGCTCACCCGCCGGAACGCAGCACACAACCACTCGCGTCGTAGCTGCCTGATCGCCACCATTAGCCCTCCAGCTTGCTGCTGCGGCAGCCAATAGACAGCTGCCCTTGTCGCAGCAAGCAGGAGCGTGATTGGCGGCTGCTGGCGGTGATTGGGGAGCTGATAGGTGGTTTCTGCGACGCGAGCGGTTGTGTGCTGCGTTCTGGTGGGTGAGCGATTTTCGGCATCCTCTTCCCCCCCAAAAAACAATCAAGCGACCAATCGCCGCTTACAATCTCGGGCTCACGCCAAAAAACAATTTGCACGTCCCCCCTCAGCACTACCCGTGCTTAAAACAAGCCTAAATTTTGAACCTCATTTTTGGGTCAAAAAAGCTCATCTTATACACAGAAAAATACAGTATTTACCTCAGAACATCTGGTTTGGACCCTTAAGGTTTTAATTTAGGCAGCTCCGATATTAAAGCAAAGGTTTTATTCAATTATTCTTCACATGCATTGCAAAGACAGTGCAGGCAGAATCCCTAAGAAATCTCCCATCCATATGACCAGAACCAGGCCTGTTTGGCTTCTGAAAGGTGTCTGCGCCACATGCCTTCCAGCTGCAACTTGGTCCACATTACCAAGCTCATTTCCCCAGATGCACGTGGACTTCACACCAACTGAGAGCCGAGGTCGTAGAGCTGGCTTTCAGCTGGTGGACTCCTTAATAAGCCTAGGCCTAAGCAACTGCCTGAACCTGACAAACCTACGCCATCTGCCATGTCCGACTGAATTCATTAAAACACTGTGTGAATCACAGAAGTAAAGCTAAACAACTTAAAGGTTACCTAGAAACTGAAGGGTAGTATAGCATCGCAATTCCCTCCACGCACAGCAGGATCGCCAGGCCCCACGTCATCATGTGATACAACACAATTGTACTAGAAATACATGGAAAGCCAAAGTTTCGGACGTCAGAAATTGCTTCAGCATTACACACATCATGTGTTCCTCCCTTTTAATGGTGAAGTCAACGGTTTGGGAAACAAATTAGTTATGAGGTTTGGTAAGGAGTTTGACTCAAATCTTGCACCTCAGCTCTTGAAATGCTCTGTGTGCGTGTGTGTGTTAGCTACAAACAACTGACATTTGGGAAACTTCAATGAAGAAAACACACTGCAAGAAAACTGCGGAGAGCAAAAGTCATTTGAGCTGCTAGCAAAGAATATTCAAAAGTAGTCATGACTCATGAGGTAAACCCAGGCTAGTGTTAGGCAAGCTTTCATCCAAAAAAAGTAGCAATGGCAGATCAGATCTGGATGCATATTGAGGCATGAACAAAAACGTAACGCTGAAAATATTGCCCTATTTTTAAAGTGTGGTTTTATTTAACGTTATTACCTCATCCCTGCCGATCTTCTAACAACCAAGTAGGAATCTACAGCATAGCAAAACAGCCACCAAAAGCCAGCACTGTACAAGAGTTGGATCCACATCTGTGGGGGGAAAGAAAAAGAAGAAGAGGGGTCTTGTATTTCATAGCTGCAGAGAGTAACAGACAACTTAATGTGACACTTAAACTTGAAAAGTTACATCCAAATATGTGGACGTCAAGTCATTGAGTGCCAGTATTAGCCCTGGACCCGGTTCTTGTGCGTACGATTTGATCAGTTGCCTCCCACAAATGTTACACATGTAAAACGTAATTTGACTTCAGACTCTCCCTCCCCTAGGAAAGGACATCTGATAACATAAAAGGCTTGTCAAATGCTGCAAGTAAAGCAAGGCTTTCTGAGGTTGGTTCTCACCATTCCCGCTATACTGCCCGCTCGTGATCAACCTGCCACAGTCACATGGAAAGCAAACCAATGTGTGTGGGGTAGAAATGAAATCAGCACATAAATGCATGCAATGGAGAAACTAGCCACAACTTCAGAAATGGCTGCTGTCTATCTGCACAGCCAAATTCAGAGTACTGGGCTCTCACTCTCACAGCAAAAGTGTGGGTCACCCAGAGAAAGGTATCGATCCAATGGGTGGATGGGGAACCCATCCAATCAGGGATGGGGAACCCGTGGCCCTCCGGATCTTCCAGAACCACAACTCCCATCATCCCAGACCATTAGCAATACTGGCCAGGGTTGATGGGTATTGGAGTCCAATGACATCCAGAGGGCTACAGGTTCCCCATCTTTGCCTTAGCTTAAAGACAAGAGTGGCCCTGATATAAAAATGCATCAACTGGAACAGGCAGGCATCAACTTCCATGCTTGGTTCTCATCCAGCTAGGAATATGCATGAGGAACCCGCCTATCTAAAGTACGACACTTTGTATGGAATAAAATATTATTACATGAATCACTTTGATAAGAAATGGCTATTTCTTGCTGCACCAAAAAGGGGAGAAAAAAGCTGTGAGAAAAGGATTATCCGCATTGTAAACCCTGCTGCATATATTCCTCGTGAAAGGCCAATGGAAACATGGAATGTGCAGGTTTCAATCAAGCTAATTCCATGGCATTTATCTGTAGATAATTCACATTTTTTCCCACAACTAGACCTTAGATAAGTGATCTTTCATGTCTGTGTTTACAAGTTCTAACATTCTTCCTTGCAAGAGCTGGAATTCTGCTGCATTCTTTCCCCTTTAAATTGGTCCAGCAACCTTTATTATTCCACCTTTACTTTCTCTGCAGCTCCTGGAGTTCTGGGTGTTTAGGCTCCATTGAGCTTTCAGTTATTTGTCTCCTCTCTTAATTAGTCATTATCCCCAGTGGCAATTGCTGAGTTTACCTGCAGAAAAGCCACAGTTAAAAATCATGCTTCTTGCAAACTCAGAGGTTTCCCCCTGCTCAGCCCTGATTCCAAAAAGATCTATTTCACCTTTTTTAAAAAATGCTGGTTACTCAAAGCAAAGACTGCTTACTAGTTGAAGAAACTATGCAACACAATCCTATGCATGTTTATTTAGATGATTCACTGTGCTCAAGGTGGCTTACTCCTGGGTAAATGTGCACAGGACTGCAATTGATGGACTGCTTTTTCAACAATATTAAAACCATTATTTTGGGGGGGAAATCTCAAAATTTATTATGAGAAGGAAGACTATCTTTTATCAGTTCCCCGCTTTTTATGCCCTATACTGACAGCACATCAGAACTAAACTGGCAATGTGGGTTGGGCAGAAGATGCGATGGGGTATTTTTAAAACTTTCCCTCCCATTGAAGAGGGAAATTTATTGCACCAGGTCCATCTGGAGCTGGTGTAAATTTGAGCCTTTGTGGCAGCACAAGTCAAACAGCATTAAGTGTGCTCCTTCCCTGCACCACCTACCTTCTTCCCACAATTCCACACCATTTTAGTCATTCCACTAGCGTATCTTCACTGGCAGCTCGGCCAACCTTTCTAGGAGGTTTCCCACAGTGGGTGTGTCATGGTGGAAGTGCAGTATCTCAACTTCCAACCACAAAGCACAAATCCACCCCAGATCACATATTTGATTTCCTCCCTCAGGTGACTCAACCATTTTGAAAAGGTATGGAGAAATGCTCAAGAACTTCAGGTGAGAGGTATCACTTTTGAGGCTTTCCATTTTGTAAGTTCGCTGCAACTGATCCCAGTTTGCCAACAAACTAAAAAGTTCTTGCAGCAGTTGGGAGTGCCTTCCGTGGAACCAGTTCAGAGTCACTTCTTTGTCATTAAAAACACTTCATCTAGGCTCTTGAGGCCTTGCTAGCACTCTTCCCTAACACAGTTAATGACACAGATCCACAGACTGTCGGATTAGATAAGAGACCCCTGTGTGGGAATTCCCACTCAGCCATGACGCCCACTGGCCGATTTTGAGCTAGTTGCTTGCTTTCGGCCTAACTCACCTTGCAGGATTTTGCGATAAGCCCAGCACATGCTGCCCTGACCTCCACAAATGAAAGCCAGAATGCAAATGTGATAAACAAACCAGTTTGTGTGGACCGTGGCCACATCTATTACCTACCGCACTTCCTACACAGAAGGCAGCAGGCCAAACATCCGTCCCATTCACCACAGATATGTTTGCTACGAAGTCTGGGAACCCCAACCAGACAGTTGATCTGAAGATGACACCTAAGGAGGAGGAGGAAAAATTCGTGTTAATGTGCTGTGACTCTAGCAAGTTCTATGTTCACCTTGTTTATGCAAATGTTTCCCCAAACCCAGGCATCATGTTGACCACTGAGCCCAGGAGGCTGGACTAGATAAGGTACTGGCTTGATCCAGCAGGGCTCTTCTTCTTAATAATTATTATTATTATAAGGGAGGACTGAGACTTCCATTCTTTTTGTGTGGTGATATAATAACAGCTTTGCATGGTGATATAATAAATATACCAGTTCACAGGGTAAGTGAAGGGATTGTTGCAATGGGCGCTGTCATGCTATGTGATCCTGCATGCTCCATCCTTAGGAGTCAAAGGTAAGGGCATGAAGTTCCCAGAGTTATTGAATCACATGCTCGCCTTCCCAGTCTTCAAACTGCCGTCATGTGAGTGACCAGTGATCAGACTTATGGATTTCATTCATGAATTGAGACAATTCAGGGATTAAAAGCTCAGCTGTTTCAACCAAATCCTACTACGGTATGCCTGAGGTGCTGAAGTTGCTGTGGTCTAGCTTTTTTGCCTTTGTGCTTTCTTATCTAGAGCCGCCTTGCTGCCTGCTCTCGAATTATTATCACGCTACTCATGTGTTAAAGAAGATGGGAGCAGAAAGGAGGAGAGTGTCATTTTCTACAGAACGTACGCTGTAGCCAAACATTTGCATTACAGTATACACAGTATACAGGATGCACAGTATTTACAAATACAAGTCCAAACATTACAGGTGGTGGTGGTGGATTAGGAAAAAGGGGCACAGCGTGTGTGAACTGGTCATTAGTCTCTTCATCTGCATTTTTGCTAGTACATATACAAAGCAATCCTAAGAACATTTGCTCAGAAGTAGGTCTCATCAAGTTCAATGGTATTTGCTCCTTGGTAGGATTGTAGCCTTAGCAATTATAACCAGTCATCAAGCAGGATTCAGCTCCAAATGAATTATCATTTTGAGATTTTTTATTTGTAGGGCAGAGAAAAGGCAATAATGGTATATAGACAATGTATAAGTACGCAAGTTTCTTTTCTTTCTTTTTTAAAAGTTAAACCACTCTCATCATTTATTAAGTTAAAAAGCACCAATTGAAAGCACTTATCAGATATTTCATGTCGAGGCCTAAGCTCTTCCTCCATCACAAACTCAAATCTGGTTGCGGTTTTTCAAAAAAGGATCCTGACTTTTAAAAAGGGATTCGGCATTTAGGAAATTCCAAGATGCAGGATAGAGACATGTTCTGGGCGGGCTAAAGACCTCAAGGGGTCCCACTCTGACATTTGGCAGATCTCTCCTCTCCTAGGGTTCCCTTCTTGCTATCCTAAGAGAGGGAATGAGGGGCTGCACCGCTCAGCGCTCCAAGCTGTCGGAAAAACACCCCGGCGCCCGCAACCATTCTTATCCCTGATGTGAAAATGTATCAACCCTGTATGCAAGTTTCTTTGCACTGAGTGCTGTCAATCTATAAGAGAGCAACTGGGTTCACACAAAGTGCAAAACTGAATTTGAAAACTATGGAACCTGAAATCAGAATGGGGAAACTACTATTTGCAATGGATTTTCAATTCTGATTTGGTGGGTAAGTGCAAACCACAGCTTGCCAATTTCGATGTAATGGCAAAGCAAGCCACAATTTGATGTTATTGTCTGAAATAAACCATTAACCTCTTTCTATTCTGTCAGTGCAGTTCATTCCTTTTGGACAAATCAGGTACATTATTGCAATTGCCCAGAAGGCTCAGTACATGAAGCAGAGGTCAACTGGGGTTCGCCACTGAATGTAATCTCAACAGGGAGCTATACCCTCTCACAACTTCCTACTGAGCTAACCTGTCCTATACAGTTTCATTGTTTTTCATTCATGCTTAGCTGCTTTGGAAGCTTTTTTTTTTTGAAAATGTAGCATCATGTGTATTTCATAGAATCACAGAAATGTATACTTGGACGGAACTCCAAGGGTCATCTAGTCCAACCCCCTGCAATGGAGGAATCTCAGCTAAAGCATCCATGACAGATGGCCATCCAACCTCTGCTTAAAAACCTCCAAGGAAGGAAAGTCTACTACCTCTCATGGGAGTCTGTTTCACTGTCCAACAGCTTTTACTGCCAGAAAGTTCCTGATGTTCAGTTGCAATCTCCTTTCTTGTCGCTTGAATTCATTGGTTTGACTCCTAGTTTGCTGCATTTATAGTTCACATTTTTAGATGACATTTAAAGCCATCTTAGTGTACATCTAAAAATATGTAAAGTGTTTTTTCAAATTCCAGCACTATTTCTTCCATTAAGACATTGCAATGCAATTAATAAATGACTGTTAACACCTCACTATTTTTTTTCCTATAAGTTAATATCAGTTGCATTAATTTTCTCCCTGGTGTTATATATTCTTGTATAATATCAGAACAAACACTATTTTTTTACTTGGAGGTGGAGGGATGGACAACCGAGAGTAGGGCTTTAAAATTCCATCTGTACAAACAGACTTGGTGGCCACTAAACTACAAATTAATGTCAGTTATGTAGCTCAGTGATGGAGAGGCGGTTTTAGTTTTAGATCCTGGCATGAGATGGTAGAGGGGATTTAACCTCTTGCTAACTTGCGCAGGCTGGATCGGTATCATGCCCCCGGCCCCCACTGCTTCACCTGCAATTTATACTGGCAAAAAAGTCCCTTGCCTTTCAATTGTCCATTTGGAAAAATAAAAGTAGACAGACTATCATATGAATCCTACATTCTTGGACACTTGTGCAAGTGGCCAGAAGGCTGACCACATGATGCAGAGGTCTATTTGGGTTTGCCACTGAATGTAGTCTCAACAGGGAGCTATAGTTGGAAGGGACCATGCAGGAAATCTAGTCCAAACCCCCTGCAACGCAGGAAACTTTTGCTCAACATGGGGCTCAAACCCACAACCCTGAGATTTAAGTTAGCTCAGTCTGTTTGGCATAAGACTCTTTTATCTCAGGATCGAGAGCCCCACGTCGTGCAAAAGATTCCTGAACTGCAGGGGGTGGGACTAGATGACCCCCGACCCAAGTCCGCAATTCTATGAAATAGGATTTGAAGGGAACAGAAGTCATGTAATCGGGGAAGGAACCTGATGATCATCTAGTCCAATGCAGGAATATGCAGCTGTCCCATACGGGGATGGAGACGGAATCTGAACCATCCCTCCAAAAAGTCGTCCGTCGCCCTTCCCCCCCCCCCCAAAAAAAACCCCCCACCACGCGGTGAAGAGGTCTCCTTGCAAAGCAAGCAGGGGGCGACCCTGGCCAGCCGCGCGTGGCCTCCTTACCCAAAGCGCCCAGCATGTCGCAGGCGGAGATGAGCAGCAGGATGGTGGAGGACGAGGACGCCGCCGCCTTGGGCACCTTCCTGGCGCCTTGGCCCCTCTTGGGCAGCAGCTGCAGGGCGCTGAGCGCCAGGCCGGCCGAGGCGCTGCCCAGGCAAACCCCGCAGAAGACCTGCGGCTGGAAAGCGAGCAGCAGCTGCGAGGCCGCGTCCCGGTTGGGGCAGCAGAAGGTCTCCAGCCTCGGAGAGGCCATGAGGGGCGAGCGAGGGAGGAGCAGCCAAGCACCCAAAGCAGCCTCCTCTCGCCGTTTCAGGAGGCTTTTTGCTTCATGTTTCTCCCGCCGAGCTGAAGGCAGAGAGTCACGGGGTGGCTGGGTCAGGCGGCGGCATCGCTGGCGCTGCTGCGAAGGCTAAATCCCCTGCAGCGGCCAGGCCCAGCCTGGCGGGGCGGAGATCAGAGCAGCCGCGCGCGCGGGCCTTAATCCGAAGCGGGGCTCTTTCGCTCCGAGGCGTCGGGTAGGCCTTCCCTCAGACTGAAGGGGAGAGGGGGGAAAGGAGGAGGGAAACTCCAAAGTAGCAGACGGGGGGAATCCCCTCGAGGCAAAAGATGCGTGTCGGCATTGGGCACGTGGTGCTTGAATGACTACAAATGAGGCGGGGATTCTGCCCGGGCGCAGAGCCTTCGCTTCGCGCACGGGCAGCAGCTGCAGCGCGTCGAAGTTGCTGCTCCTTCAGAGTCTGCGAATTCGAAGCGATCAGCTTCCGTCCATATGGAGGCTCTGGGCAGAAGGAATCGCGCCCGAAACAAGGTGGATTATTACTCACTCTGGGATAACTGCAGCCACGCAAAACCCGAAGGACTGATTGCAAACACACGGTCCCACATATTTATTTAGCTAAGGGGGTTAAAGAGGGAATCGCTTTTCCACCATCAAGCGTGCTTCTTTGTATTGCATTGGTACCCTTGCATGGGCTTGAGCCCCCCAGCAGTAGCGACTGTAACTGGGACCCATGTATGTGGATTAAAAATCTCTTTAAGGGAGGCGAGTCTGCCACTCTTCCAGTAGAACAGACTGCCTTCCTCTTTCCTTAGAATTTTAAAAGCAAAAGCTGGCTAGCCACCTGTCAGCGATGCTAGGACAGCAGATTTCCTTCATCAGCAGGGGTTAGGTTAGACACTAGAGGAACTTTGAAGTTTTCCGCACAACTAGGTTTCTGTTATGTGTCTGGTTCCTATGCCAATGCCCTAACAAGATTGTGGCTGGCATGGGAAGAAACCAGTGACATCCTCTTACCCCGACCCACTTTGATTCCCGTTTATAGATATTACGGCCACAGAGTGAAAAATCCAACCATGTAAAGTTTCAAGTATGTTTCATTGGATAAACCTTGCGTGTGACAGAGGTTGTCCATGCTTACCTTGGAGTAAGTTCCACTTAACTCGATTGGCCTTACTTACGAGCAGGCATGAAGAGGGTTCATTGCAAGTGGTTGAAACTTGGGTAACTGATCTGCATTAACAGTGCAATCCCATGCATATCTACCCAGAGGTAAGCCACGCTGTATTCAATGGAACTTACCTAAAGGAAGAGTGTAGGGATGTCATGGGCAATCTGTGGCCCTCCAGATAACTCCTGTCAGCCCTAGTTGGCATAGACAACAGCATAGCAAAGCAAGGGTAATCTCCCAAGTCAGTCCGTTTTGTTCAGAGTCCAACATCTGGAGGCCACAGGTTCCCCATTCCTGGTATAAACAATAGCATATCACTACCTTACTGCCATCATCCATATTTTTTGAGAGTAATTGCCCCACACAATCACTAGTATTTGTTGCATGAGCAGAGTCAAGAATTCATTATAAGGTTTTAGATTGATCCCAGGTATGACAAAGGATTGTCAAATGCCCTTGGAGAACATAGGTTGCAATCCTAAAATAGCTTATTTCTTTGCCTATATGGAACATCACAGACCCTTTACCTTTGTTGATTATCTCCCTTGACCACAGCATTTCAAATCCAGCTGCTCTAAAGATAAAAACCCCTATAACCATTTCCCTCAAAATTCATGTGTTTGGAGTGACTAAAACATTTATGGACTGATTCTTAGAATGATACTTCATTTTTGTTTCTTTCTAGAATACACCCTGCAGTTGGTTGCAGACCAAATAAAGTATTTTGGAACTGCACAGAAGACAGAAATTCCCCCATATGAATGGTTATAAAATATAACAGCAATACAGATTTGTTATAAATCTCGTTCGGAGGAATTCTCTCCCGGGAACTGCCAGACAAGTGTGGAACACATTTTGCTGTTGTGGCAGGAATGTCAGTACAAGTGCAGGAGAGATAAATAAATGTGGCATGTTGGCCCAGATCCTCTGCTTTCTTAAGCCAGTATTTTTCTACTGACCTCAGTATTATTATTGTCTGTGATATTTTGCAGTCTGGAGATATGTAGGAATCAGGTGTAATGGGGGAAAGAAACGGGGCAAAGAACTGCAGAAAGAGACAGAATGATTATTTAAAACAAATGATGTTGTTACTGTTGTGTTCCTGCCTCTCATGAGGTTGACAGTTGCTTACCATGCCACAATAAAAGTCTTGGGCAGTGGTGGAGAACCTCAGCCTCCAAACCTGAATGTGGCCCTTCAGACCTCTCTGCCTGGCCCTCAGGACTCTCCCAAGCCATTCATGCTCCCCAGACAACCCCCTCTCCACCAGCCTTGCTCCACACTTTCCTTGAATTATTCTTTCTGTGTGGAACATGTCCTTGAACTGTGATAAAGCCTCTTGCTTTCATTAGGAGGATGGAGATAATGTGAGGTGTGTATGTGTAGAAACCTCTGCCTATTGTTATTTTTTTCAGGGGGGGATATGGCAGAAAATGGTTCTCCCCACCCACCCTGGTCTAAGGCACATGCCCTTGTGAGTGAATGGGAAACGGCATTCAGGCATAGTGTTTTGAGAGCATATGATTAACGGTCAGTGAAACATACGTTGGAAATTAATGATGGAAATTAATCTTGCGTATTATCCTGCAAATTAACCTTATGTATTACTAAGAGCATTGTCACTGCATGTTGCCATTTGAAGCTTCCAGAAATGTACTGTTTCAGAGATCACTTGATTTGAAAGCAAGTACTATAAGTTTGTTTTCTCAGTAGACTTGCATTATTTAGTGGAGTATTTCCCTCCTTATACCCAAACGAGAAGCTGTTTTCAAATTCATGGCTGAGCCAGTGTAAGGGCAGTACGATTTCTGATGCAATGCCTAGCTGTAAATATTGTGATGAAATTTAAGAACCCTGAGCACTCTCCATGCAGTAATAAAACACTATTGTTAAAGGGAACCGGTTGCAGGGCGTATGTGTGTGTTTACTAGCAACAACTTTGATGCTACATAACTCAGAAGCCTTCTAAACATACCAGGGATAATTAATATGAAGTAAATAGTTATTTATCCAATCTCTTACTGGTTTGCTATTCAACTCTGTGACTTCCAAACTTCAGAATTTCCTTCAGAATAAGCAAATCAGTAATATCTCTGTTCAGGGGATTCTACACAGTTCTGTCCTCTAGTTTTGCAAAATGCTGGAATATGACTACAGTAGAATCTCTTTGGTCATGCCAGTGTTTCAGAGTTCAAAACCTATTCAGTTTAGTCTGAAGCTAGCTACACATTGGTGCATCGGAGAAGTAATGTGTACTTGTCAGGGAACTGCCATCAGTGCCAGAGGGAGAGAGAGAGCTCCAGAGGGATCCCAGAGAGCGTCAAGGGATTGGGAGAGGCAGCCCATCTTCTGGGGAAGGGAATCAGCTCAGCTCCAGTGGAGAAGGGGGGGGGCAGATGGGGGAATCTGAGAGGGAGTCACATGACTCCTTGCCTGGGACCAGTGGGGGGAGGAAGGGTCCTCCGCTGCCTACGCCTTCCTTGCGCAGAAGGCTTCCACGCAGGGAAAGTAGGAGGCAACTGGGCGTGAAAGAACTTCTATGCTGGAAGAAGTTTAAGAAACGCCCACTGACGGATTCTGCCAGCGATTGAGACAGCCACGGGTGAGTGGCTGTCCGGACAGAAAAGGTTCACTTAGGCAACCCAGCCAGGTGTGGGCACCGGCTTACGCACGAGCAATCCCTTGAACCATTACAGCACTCAAGTACCGGTTGCCTATTTGAAACTGAAGGGCATGTGATGATTATGAATGTGGAAGATTCCAAATGTAGACTTTGCAATCATATAACAGAAGGAAGCCATATTTAACATCCTATGTAAATATGCACAGCAGTACATTGTTAGTCTGATTTATTTTAAGCTTACACACTAGACACTAGGTGTGGTGTAGTGGCTGAAGACCGCCAACTATGTACTAGGAAATCCCCAACTAAAATTTGTTTCTTCTGCCATGAACTTAGCAGGAGGTAAACCCTGCAGACTTCCTCCAGTCAGCCTGCACTGCCTTTAAAGGGATGGTATACAGATTATTTAGATGACGTATGAGAAACATTTTCCAATACTGAATGTGTTATAAATGCATAACTTGTGAGAAAAGTTGTATGCTAAACAAATGACTGAAGGCATGGTTCAGACACATGGGATGGAGACATTTATAAAGTTTATAAAGTTGGGCAATACCTTTATTAGAACCAGGGCTTTTTCCCCAGGGGAATTTACAGGAGCTCAGTTCCGGCACCTCTCAGGTGGGCAACATTGCCATTCTAAGAACGAGGGAGGTGTCCTTGTTATGTACTGAAGTTCTCACCCTGGGCCAGCAGGGGGATACTGTAGATAGTTATGCAAATAAGGGATCCAAAGTGACGTTCAGTGATTGGATAGTTTTAGAAAATTGTTACAGTTACGTTGTACTGGAACTCTATATAAGCAGGCTGACTAAACCCTTCAGTTCAGTTCTTTTCTGGCCTGTGAATAAACAAGAGCTGTTTGAAGAATTGCTGTGTCGTCTGATATGTTCACCCACAACTTAACAGTCCTGGCACCTGTTTTTCTAGGAAAAATAGCACCGTCCGTTAATACTACATGTGGCGATCTTCCCTGTTCTCTAGAGCAAGTGCAAGAAGTTCTATCTATATCAGGTGCGTGTGGGAAAGGTGAAGGATGAAAGGCGTGTAGGTGACGTGCAAGCCTGGCCTTCTGCTCGGCAGGCGCAGCGGCAGCGCGCGGGAAGCCGCCTGGCTCCCTCAGCCGCTCCTCTCGCCAGCCGCCACTAGAGGGTCGCGGAGGATAAACCTGCTGCTGCCCGCGGAGAAGCTTGGGCTGCCGCTTCGCAGGTTGCTCGAGGGGAGGCCGGCTCAAGCGCCGCCTCTCCCCGGCTCGTCTTTGTGCCGCCGCCGCCCGACCCCTCCAGCCTGGCCCCCCGTGAGGAGTGCCGAAACCTTTCGAGGGGGCTTCCCTGGGACGGGGACGACGCCATCCCCACAGCAGCCGCAGCCCCCGCGAGACCTCGGCCTCCCACCCCCCTCGCCCCTTCCCCCTCCCCACCCACACAAAGGGCTTCTAAGCTGCGCCTAAGCGGCGAGCGTCGGGGCTGTGCTTCGACGACAAGAAGCCATTGCAAAATAATAAAGGTTTATTATTATTATTTATTTATTTTAAAAGGAGGAAGCGGAAATAGCTGGTAGGAGCGGCTGCCGCCGGGTGTGTTTTTTATTGGGGGGGGGGGTCTGTTTCCCCTTTGACTCCTCGAAGGGCTGAGAGGCAATTGCTTTTAGCAATGCCGAAAGCGGCAGGTCTCTTCCTTGGGGCCGGAACCCCATTGAATCCAGGAGGCGTGGTTTCCCGCTGCCTTTTTAACACGGCTGTGACATTCCCCACGTGAAAACGCAGGGACCCTCTCCCCCTTTTCTCTTTTTAAATCGTTGCGTGCATTCTTCCTCTGTATGTTGGAGCTTAGCATTGCAGCCCTCCTATTTCGCTGATGGGGGAAGGGGGAATATTAAATTGTGGGTGGAAATAGCAGGCAGCACAGAGATTTCTCTTCAATACACAACAGGGGAAACTCTCTCTCCACCCGCCGCTTTGTTTGGAGATTCAGTCCCACTTCCCCACCAGCATGTTCCAACCCAGCCCCTTTTCGATTTCCCACCCACCGATTTCCTAAAGAAAACCCTCGGGCGAAAGTTGCGCTAGTTCTGGGAGACTTTCTTAACTTATCTCCTGGCTTTTAAAGAGAGGGAAAGAGAAATCCTTTGGCCACAAGCCGCCGCAGCGACTACTATTTGGGCTGGAATATTTTACAACACACCCCACAAGCGTGAGCCGCCTCCTCCCTCCCGGCTTGGCTCTGCCCAGCTGCACCCGGCTGAGTTGAGCAAGCCTGTTTGCAGCCTCGCCGTTTCCCTGCGCGCTTTCCCCGCCTCCCCTTTGCCCGGGCTCCTCTTCGACCCAACGGGATCCGGAGGGAAGCGGAGGAGGAGCCAAGGCTGCGCGAGGGGGTTTTGCAACTCCCTCCCCTCACCATATGGGAGCGGGCTGGAAACTGTTGTTAGGTATGTGGTTCCTAGGTCAGCGGCACGCTGGATCCAGCTAGGAGGAAGGAGCTGGGGGGCAGTTTCGGGCGACCATGGAGAACGTGGAGTTCCGAGGCGGCCAGGAGAGGTTCCCGGACAAAGATCCGAGGCTGAACCCCGCGTTTTTGGACACCCAAGGGCACCCTCACCAGCCTCTGCTGCTGATAGGGGAGCAGAGGGGAGGCGACGCGTACAAGCTGGTGGAAGTGCAACTGAGCGGCGGGGCTCCCTGGGGATTCACGTTGAAAGGAGGAAGAGAACATGGAGAGCCTCTCATCATCACCAAGGTAAGGTTACACGCGCGCGTATTTCTCCGCGTAGGTGATCCAAGGGGTGCCACAGTGTGGCGGGGTGGGTGAGGGGATTCCCAGCCTCTTTTGTTTATGTCAGGATGTAGCCGGTTGACTATTGTAATCCTACCGATTTCCAGAGTTTTCTGCCCCCTGGCCGAGCAGTTTGCTTGCACATACAAATAGTGCTTTTTCTTTTCTGGAAGCACTTTTTACTAAGTGATCGCTTCGATTTACCTCAACAGGGAACTCTTGCGATTGTTGTTGGCAGCGGCTGAATTCTTCTTTACTTTGGTCTTGGTGACATTGGAGTGCGTACTCCAGTCGCCACTCTTTGAGGGTTGCTTTCAAATATGCCTGAAAATGCCCGGTTGGCTTTGTTCTCTTGGCTGTAATTGCCATAATGTGGTTTTACCGTTTGTTTTTGGTCACATTTTCAGTTTAGCATACTCACTGGTGGTCCCATCGGTTTAATAGTAAATTCCATTATGGAGGGAAGCTTCAGGCAGCAATCCTAGGAACACTTTCCTGGGAGTAAACCCTATTCAACACAGTGGGGCTTATCTCTGAGTAAGTTTGCATATAGGCTTGCATTGTAGAGTTCACATAAAACCCCCCTTTTTAATCCAGAATAGCATTCCAGGTTAATTAATGTGTCATCACACAATCACCAAATCAGAATTCATAGTAGACTCAGCCATTGCACTAGCTGGAGAAAAGTACACTTCTTGTTATGAGTACAAAAAGATGATTCAATGACAGTAAGTGATCTTATTTGCCTATTTTAATTTCCTGAATGGTCACACAATACCGCTCAATTAAGAATGGTGAGTTGTTCCTCATAGAAGTGGTACAGTTTCCTCCTTTTTCTCCTCATAGAACTGCATGTCTCTTCACTGTCATTTCTCCTGTGCTGAATGAACATTTAACTACAGATTGAATTGCTCTAAACTGCACAGGTCAAGATAATTTCTTAACTTTCCAGTTATTGTGGCTTATTCCCTAATGGCCTAGGGTGGAGGGAGAGCTATCAAAGCTTTTTTGCATCTCTTTCTTGCTTATGTCATTGTTGCAACTGAATACTGGATTAGATTATTTAGCTGTGTTTGGTCAGAAAAATCCTCCTCCATTTCCCAAAAGCCATTCACAAGGCCACATGTGATAACAGGACAGACCCACTTGCATGTTACCTGAGCAGCTGAAAAGCAAACATCAGACTTTCTTAGGCAGATTATTTCACTTTATTTTTCCTCTCCCCTAGGCCTTCCAGAAGGGCATGTGTCTTTCAGTATTGCCACTCAGTGTTAAAACATGTGTTGTTCAAATTCTCATTGTTTTCACTTGTTTGCCAAACTTTTATCCAAACTCAACCCCCTGCTCTGTGATCTGCTCTGTGCAGAATTAGTTTTGTTTCTGGATCAGTGTACTTTCTTACCATTTAAAAAACAACAATTGGCTGTCCATCATATTTCTTAAGACCTTGAGAACCAAGGGGAGCTGCTTGCTGCTAGATAATGTTTGATTCTTTCACTGGTGGAAGCTGGGGTCTAGTTCATACAAAAACAATTCCTCGGACGTAGAAAGCTAGCACGCCAGGCCCCCCTGGCTAAATCTCTTCTTCCTGGCATCCATGTCCAGCTCAGAGATATTTTGTTAGTGGTGATGTATGAAGAAACTTTGTTATGTGAGCCTTCTCTGAAGGAGTACAGGTTTGTGTCTTGTGACACAATCTAATCTCCATGGCCACTGTCCCATAAAATTCGTGTGGCTCTCATCATTTACCTACCTATGTCAGTGTCTGATAATCTGATTATAGGTGGCTGAGTACAGACAATACAAGGAATTACCAAAGTGTGCATTTAATATCCTGCAAAGTGTTGAGAACATTTGCACCACACCCTTGCTTTTCCAGAATCTTGATTAGGTGTGGAAATGTGATAAAAATTATTCTCATCCCTTGGCAGGATTGGTTTACCAAGCATACATAGACAGTCACTTAGCATTTGGGAAATGGCTGCCTTTTGTTCACTTTGTGTCCTGATCACTGTGAGGCCAGCTGAGAAGAACACTGCTTCCTGCCTTCAACACTCAAAAATGTTCTAGGGAGCCCTAGATTGTATTAAACATATACAAGCAGATAGGGGAACCCAAATCCATGTGTTATTCATACTATGTACAACAATATGTGTGTATTGGATAGAAGTAATTAAATGCTTTAGGTGATTAAAAATAGCCAAGGGTTTTAGAGTTTATTGAAAAGTTTGAAGTTGACATATTGTTAAGTTTTAGGCAAGGAAGAAAGCAGAGACTTGAGGCTTGGAATATAATTAATAGATGCACTGAAATGACTTAAGAGATGATTGATTTTTGTCATTGTTATTTATATTGATGATGAAGTAATAGTTGAAACTTGTAGTTTAATTAAGAAATTAAAATAGTGTTGAGTATCTGTTGTTGTTCATGTATGTACTGAGAATCTTACTATTGTATGGTTAGAGATGCTCAGATTTTATTAAATGCCTGTGGGACCCAGGAGGACATTGCTTGTTCTCCTAAGACTATAGAATTGGAGCCACTAAGTTACCTGCACTTCCTGTTGTTTTGAATGGAGACTTAATCATGCCAAACTGTTCAGTTGAATCAAAGTGTAATCTAGGCTGAAATTCTGCACCCAGTTACCTGTGAGTAAGCCTTATTGAGGATTTTGCACACACTCAATTCCCAATTTTTCTATCCTAAGTATGGGCTTAGCGTGGTCAGCATGTGTAATGCTGTGTGTTTGAAGGCAGCTCTTTATCTTTTTTAAAAGTCCATGCAACTACCTCAGCAAAATTACCCCTCACCTGCAGCAGCAGCGGTTTTTCAAAGATTCACTTGCACAATAATTTCTTAGACCATCAGGATCTAATGGTCAAAGTAGACAGGGATGAACTGGTTTGAAATACTGATAAAGCATGTAACCTGTTGTATAGTGCAGGGAAAGGAGGGTTTTGAGCTTACAGCATGGATGCCACAATTCTGATTCTACCCCTCCACTCCAGATATTTACTGTAAGATGCCTGCTAGACCTGGCAGATTCCCCCCGTTTCTTTTTCTCTTGGCTGACACCCCAGTCTTCCATACATCAGAAAGCTAACAGGTACTTGCCAGACCATTTTGAGGGACTTAAACACATTCACTTACAAATTTATGTACACTGTGTGTTCCCTGAGAGTATAGAAATGTTGTCCAATTTTTGGTGGCCCCATTTTGCTTCCAAACTGATAGGCAGGTTTGCTATGAGAGGGAGTGGTGATAAGGTGGAGAGAGGCGTAAGGTTTGTTTTCCTTCTGTACACCACACACTTTTATGAACTTTTGCTTAGTGCATGGAAAGATAGCAAAGGACAAGATGTAAACAATCTACGAGAAGTTTGAAATGCTAAAAACATTCGACAAGCCCATCTGTAGCTATTTTAAATATAAGGTGGAATAAAACCATGTGTTTGGGTACTGAAATGCTGGGTGTATAAAATGTTATAGTGGTTTCTTGGAAGGTCAAGCCAAATTCACATTGTTAAACCAGATAATAATAGGGTAGCACAGCCCATAACTGAGTGACTTGGCTGGTTCATTTCTGATGTTTATGTAGACATCGAGGATCTTTTCAAATACCCTGTTTTCAAGTGCAAAAGATATGCACCTGTTAAGTATTTCCTGTATGCAATCAGCACATCACTTGAGTTTGTACTTCTGGCCCTAGCATAGCACATTTTCACAGTACTGAGTATGCTATATTTTGTTATTGAGGATGGTAATATTATCTTCTCAGATATTGTACATACAACTATTGTGACTGCATTGTAGAATGTGATCGTCAAGTGTACCACATACCTTTTTTTTATAAAAAAGGAGTAAACTCACTAATGATATTGTAAGCTCTAAGATGGGAAAATTCAGTTCAAAAGGGCTGTTGTATTAGAATAATAGAATTGTAGGGTTTGAAGGGACCACAAGGGTCTTCTAGTCTAACCACCTGCAGTGCAGGAATATTTTTGTCCAGTGTGGGGCTTTAACTCACGACCCATGATATTAAGAGTCCCATGCTCTACACCTACAGAGCTATCTAGTTTCAGTGGCTATAAAGCAGGGATGGGGAACCTGGGACCATCTAGGTGTTGTTGGACTATAGCTCCCATCATCCCTGACAGTTGACGATATTGGCTAGGGCTGATGAGCATTGGAGTCCAGCATTATCTGGAGAGTCACAGGTTCTGCATCCCTGGTATAAAGCAAAAGTATTGTTGTTGTTGTTTAGTCGTTTAGTCGTGTCCAACTCTTCCTGACCCCATGGACCAGTGCACGCCAGGCACTTCTGTCTTCCACTGCCTCCCGCAGTTTCGTCAGACTCATGTTTGTAGCTTCGAAGACACTATCCAACCATCTCGTCCTCTGTCGTCCCCTTCTCCTTGTGCCCTCCATCTTTCCCAACATCAGGGTCTTTACCAGGGAGTCTTCTCTTCTCATGAGGTGGCCAAAGTATTGGAGCCTCAGCTTCACGATCTGTCCTTCCAGTGAGCACTCAGGGCTGATTTCCTTAAGAATGCATACCTTTGATCTTCTTGCAGTCCATGGGACTCTCAAGAGTCTCCTCCAGCACCATAATTCAAAAGCATCAATTCTTCGGCGATCAGCCTTCTTTATGGTCCAGCTCTCACTTCCATACATCACTACTGGGAAAACCATAGCTTTTACTATACGGACCTTTGTTGGCAAGGTGATGTCTCTACTTTTTAAGATGCTGTCTAGGTTTGCCATCGCCTTTCTCCCAAGAAGCAGGCGTCTCTTAATTTTGTGGCTGCTGTCACCATCTGCAGTGATCATGGAGCCCAAGAAAGTAAAATCTCTCACTGCCTCCATTTCTTCCCCTTCTATTTGCCAGGAGGTGATGGGACCAGTGGCCATGATCTTCGTTTTTTGATGTTGAGCTTCAGACCATATTTTGCGCTCTCCTCTTTCACCCTCAATAAAAGGTTCTTTAATTCCTCCTCACTTTCTGCCATCAAGGTTGTGTCATCTGCATATCTGAGGTTGTTGATATTTCTTCCAGCAATCTTAATTCCGGCTTGGAATTCATCCAGCCCAGCCTTTCGCATGATGAATTCTGCATATAAGTTAAATAAACAGGGAGACAAAATACAGCCTTGTCGTACTCCTTTCCCAATTTTGAACCAATCAGTTGTTCCATATCCAGTTCTAAAGCAAAAGTATTACATGGTTCAATTCCTGATTTTGTAACTGCATTATACTCTAAGGTAAAGGTAAAGGGACCCCTGACCATTAGGTCCAGTCATGGCCGACTCTGGGGTTGCGGCGCTCATCTCGCTTTATTGGCCAAGGGAGCCGGTGTACAGCTTCTGGGTCATGTGGCCAGCATGACTAAGCTGCTTCTGGTGAAACCAGAGCAGCGCAAGGAAACGCCGTTTACCTTCCCACCAGAGCAGTACCTATTTATCTACTTGCACTTTGATGTGCTTTCGAACTGCTAGGTTGGCAGGAGCAGGGACCGAGCAACGGGAGCGCACCCCGTCACGGGGATTCAAACTGCCGACCTTCTGATTGGCAAGTCCTAGGCTCTGTGGTTTAACCCACAGCGCCACCTGCGTCCCTGCATTATACTGTACTGCCTTTCAAAAAAAGCATTCATAGTCCCAAAGTCTGTAAGTCTGTCCCTTCCGTCCTTATTTATTTATAACAATTTCTATACCACTTACTTTGCACCTGTCCTCACATTTGTCTGTGATTCTCTTTGCCCTTCTCCTCAGTGCCTTGCTGGGAATGAGAGGGAAGATGAAAGAATAACTGAGAGGAAAGGGTGCTTTCTCTTTCTCCTCACACCACCAACGCCACTTTTCCTCTCACTTCTTGGTTGGCAAGTAGTATGCTTGTTTGTGCTCTCCAGGGGGCTAGAGCCAGCCCAGTACCCGCTGGTTGACAGCTCCTAGTTAAGGTAATAATTTAGCTTTGTCATTCCGCCAAAAAAGCCTGACTCAGGAAACAGAAGCAAGCCATTTAAGTTCTTTGAATGCTGAAGCATGCTTATGTGCTATATTTTACTTGGTCAGTGAACTTCCCCCCTTTTCATTCTGCAAACACGGTGCTCAGAATTTATGAGTACTACAAGGGCAAGCTTCTTAAAAACATAGAATTCTCACTCATATACAAACTTAATTTTCCATGTGCTTTTTCCTAAACGGGCAGCAGATGAGTCTAAACATTTGTTCAAAGATGCCCCAGCAACAAGTCTTTCTGTGAACTGTGCCAGCTCTTGTGACTTATGGCACTTAAAACTTATGGCACTTATTCAGTGAGTATGGCACTTAAAAAACAAAGCAAAACTAAGCCTCATAGCCAAGTGGCGATGATATGGGGGAGGGGGGCTAGCAGCTGAAGAGGGAAGGGATAAACCTCTCCTCCCTGTGTAATAAGACTTTGATCAGAATCCAGGCTCAGCACAGCTGTACTTTACAAAAGAACAAATCCAGGTGTGTAGTTTGGGCCTTTGACATCTAAAGATGGCTTAAAAGGAGACTGGTGAAATTAATGGAGGATAAGTCTGTCAGTGGCTACTAGCCTTAATAACTATATGTTACTTCTGGGATTGGGCTCAGTACCAGTTGCAGACAACCAACACAGTTGGCTTTGTGCCCTTGCTTGTTTGCTTCTTAGAAGCACCCAGTTTGCCGCTGTGAGAAACAGGATGCTGGACTCGATAGACCTTAAGTCTCATCCGGCTGGGCAATTTTTACATTGCCAGATCTCAACGGAACTATTGCTACCTTACATTGTTTTCTTGTTTCTTTCTCCTTTCCTTCAGGGCCCTGTATATTAGAGTTCATGCATCTAGTAAATAGCATATATAAAGTTTATAAGATTTTGGGTTGTTTGCAGCAGTACGGATTTGCTTGATAAAAAAAAATACTGGGTGTTTGCAGAAAATGGTGGCGCTAGAACTGGTTTTGTTACACGCACTCAAAGTTATTTCTTGGAAGACCCTTTGTTCAAGCAACTCTTCTGCACTTGGCTAGTACAAGAAAGTTGCACAGATAGCCTGTTGCTGGTTCTTCAGGTGTATGATACCGTTGGCAGCCAACAGTTCCTGGCAGCGGTCCCATTCTGTCTTCATTTGCTCATCTCCATTCCAGCCAAAGCCATGATGGTGGCAAGATTGCTCCTCTGACATTTGTCACAGGACAGGAGTAGCCACCTAAGACCTTGTCAAGGAAGCAGCAAGGATGGCATCAGCTGTTAAGCAGACATTTTTACGTAGCTGGTCTTTGAAGTGCCCCACACCCATTTAGTCAGAATTGCTGACTAATGCTCAAAAAATGTCCCTTTGAATTGTGGAAGGAGTTGACTTTTGTCCTTTCTGAGGTCTAATTGGTTCTTGCAGATCAGAGCATTGAAACGAAATAGTGTTACCTTTTGTTCTTTTTTCGCTTCTACGTGTAAAGGGTGCTTATCCACAGTATTCCAAAAATCTCTTTCCCGAAGGCAAACTATTCTTGTCTACTCTGGCAGTTTTAATCTATGCCTGAGATTAAAAAAGAAACCTGATTGAGATTGTATCGCACCTGAATGTTCATGTTCTTTAGCAATATGTTATAACTCTTACACTTTTCTGAGGGTTTACAGAAGGTCAATATTTAATTAGCAGAAGCTGTTCAGTGGTGAAGTTCAAATGCTGATATATTAATGAGTGATCAATTAAAGAAAAAGGAGGGTGAAAAAGCTTTAACTTTTCCAGAAAAGACCCATTTCAGTTTTTCACAAAAAATGACAGCAAACCTAATTGCAATAATTCACTCACTCAGTAGCTCCTGAGTGGAGTTCAGGTCAGCTGACTAGCTAACTACATGTAAACATGTTGAAATTGCAGGTAAGATTAACTTGATCAAGATAAGCATCCTGATAACGTAATGCAAGACATTCACGGTACATATTTGGAGCATTCTGATGTATTCCTGTGCAGGTTCTCTTCCGCAGAACCCCATTGTGAAACTGCCTGCAGCAGTAAATTGCAGATGAGTCATGTCGAGTGAGTCTGGCGAATACTTGGGTGGGGAACTGCTAAGTGAAACTTAATTTCATTGCAGAAAGTGGGTTTGCTTATTCAATTAGGGGATTCCTTGTTGAATCAGCGCATATGTAGATGCTGCAATATACTTGTTGTGGCGATGAAAGATGTAATGCTTTTGTCTTCCTGGCACAATCTAAAACAGTGATATATTTGGTATTCCTAGGCACTGGTGTTGGGTTTCTAAAAACTTGGACTCTTAGGCAACTGGGTATTTTCTAAGTCTGCTCATAGACATTGCTCTCAATAGACCCAAATCTGGTGGTAGTTGATGCAGGGCAGGGACTGTTCCTGGGTTCCTTAATAACATGTACAGTGGTCTGTCATAAACCTTTGGAACAAAATAAAATATATATATATATTTGACTACAGTAGATCAACATGGCTACCTACCTGCAACAAACCTTTGGGATATAGTGGGCTAGCCCAGTGTTTTCCAGGGTCTTCACCTGTTTTTGGACTACAATTTCTACCATCCCTTACCACAGGTCTTGCTAGCTAGGGATGATGCGAGTTGTAGTCCAAAAACAGCAGGAGACCCGAGTTTGGGAAACACTGGGCTGGACCACTGCTGTAAATCTTGAACTTTGGGGATGTATAATGTCCTTCAGGGGTCTCCAAAAAGACCAGCTGCAACTCTTACCACACTCTGCATCATTGATTCAAAGTTTAGAGCTAAGAAACATGCTCTGCTTGGCGCAAGGGGCTAAGTCACTGCTGGCAGTGACTGTATGCCATACTTTTTCAACCATGTCATGCTATATGCCATAGTTTTTCAAATTTAATATTCCAATGGGGAGAATGGATAGTTTGCTGCCTCATTCATAAGGACTCAATATTTATGGGCATCGCCACCAAGAAAATTGCTGGGTGGAAAATTTGGCCCTTACAGCCCATTATAATTTTACAATCATGAGCTAGACGTTTCAGACTCGTATTGGGAATATTTCCATAATGTAGCATCACCTTTCTTTCAAACGGACAGTTGTGAGAGGTAGAAGTTTAGTGTAAAAACAACAACGGGCTTGTGTATGATTAGCATGAAGGAAGCAGCACTGTATGAGAATAGGCTGCAGGACATTGGATAAATAAACAGCTTTCCCCACTGTTGTAGGGATTATTCATTACTGTGCTGTTAATGGAAACTCAGGTGCAGACGTGTGTGATGTTATCTCCATGGGGATCGCCTTCCATGAATACTAATGTGTTGTGTCTGTGTGTAAGCCAGGCGTAAGCAACCTTTTTTCTGCCATAGTTTTCTGCTAAGTGCTTGGCAGAACCAGAGACAAAAGTGTCTTGGTTTAGCTAATCTGGAATTAAAACTATCCTTCAGTTTTCACCACGGTTACTTCCTTAAAGCCATAAAGCCAGGAAAAAGGTGGTGGGGTTTTTAAAAAAACAATTTTATTACATTAAATACTGCCCCTTCCAATTATTCATACAAAGAGGAAGAAATAAGGACGGAAGAAACTCTGATGGGATGGAAGAATGAGGCAGTTTCAAGAGGTCCATGGGGCTGTGTAAAATGAGGTTAGGGGCTACATGGAGCTCACCTGTGGGGTCAGCACATTTCAAGTAAAAGCAGTTAATGCAAGCAATGCTCTGTGCATGCTTCGAGTCTTCTAGATGGAACCTCTCTGCTAAGCAAAGACACTTGAATATTCAGCTTTGTGCTAGAACCCAATGTTTCTATTGTTTTAAAGTCTCAAACATAGAAAGAGAAATGTGTCTCTTCCAGCACAAAGCAAAAGCTTTTCCAGTAGTTAGTACAGTATATATTTGTTTCTTATTTGCATAACTGCTTTGTTCTGTTTTTATCCGCAGTGAGCTTGTTGCTCCAAAGCTTATATGGTCCAGTGGTGTGTGTGTTTGTGGAATATTTTTTTGCCCTTTCTCCTTTTGCATAATAATTTAAGGTGTGTGAGTATTGTCCAGGTTACAACCTGGAAGCCCTACCTGCACTTGAAGTACACAGCAGGTGTCTTGTAACAGTAGGCTGATGAAAATGCAAATATAACAGGCAGGAAAAGTTTAAGGCTACACTCTGTAGTTCTTTGTATTGTGCTAATAGTCTGATGGTGGCTAGGGAATAAATCTTGTTAGAATTTGCTGGTGTTTATTGTATCAAATTTCTATCCTGTACTTCCTCCCAAATTATAAGGGCGGCCCAAATTATAAGCATTTGCCAACATCATGAACCTTACTTCCAAGTTAAAGGTTTCTTCCTCCTTAGTGTACTGTATGAGTGTGTCCTGGCTGACATATAATTTCCTAATTGTTGTGTGTGTAATGTCCGGACATTACCAAAGAGACGTTCTGTTGTTTTGGGGTGGGGTTGAAAAATATTTGTCACTCTCAAAAAGTACTACCTCTTGATATATAACCTCCAGTTACTATTGTCTTCCTTCACCCCAGCAGATGCACATAAAAAGTTACTTGGTCTGACTTACAGTTTAAAAATAATAATAATACAGCACTTGAAGCACCTTCATGCATGGAAATGGGTTATGATCCAATGCTATTCATACACAGGCTGTTCTCAATAGGAATTATAATACAGTGGTACCTCGGGTTACATACAGGTTACAAACGCTTCAGGTTACAGACTCCGCTAACCCAGAAATGTTACCTCGTGTTAAGAACTTTGCTTCAGGATGAGAACAGAAATCGTGCAGCAGCGGCAGCAAGAGGCCCCATTAGCTAAAGTGGTGCTTCAGGTTAAGAACAGTTTCAGGTTAATAACAGACCTCCAGAACGAATTTAAGTTCTTAAACCGAGGTACCACTGTACCTAGCTACTTTAAATGAATTCAAATCTCCAGGGCCTGGTGAGCTCACCCAAGGGTACTAAAGGAGCTTGCAGATGTAATCTCAGAGCCTCTGTCTGTAATCTTTTGAGAATTCTTGGAGAACAGGTAAGGTCCCTGCATACTCTGGAGGTAGGCAAATGTTGTCCTCATCTTCAAAAAAGGGAAAAAATACCCAGGTAACTACTGACCAGTGAGCTTGACCGTAATATCAGGAAAAAGGTCCCAGAACAGATAATTAAACAGTTGGTCTGTAAGCACTAAGAAAAGGATGCTGCGATTACTATGACCCAGCATGTGTTTCTCAGGAACAAGTAATGCTGGACAAATCTCATTTCTTTTTTAAGAGTTACAAGCTTGGTTCAGAACTCTTAACTGAATTATGAGCCCCTGAAAAGTGTTGATGTATTGCAGTAATATATGTCTGTGTTTAGAAATTAATCTAAATGTGAAATACGTATTAAGTTATTGTGTGAAAAAATGGACGGTTATGACATTCGTCCTTATTCTTCAATGAATGAGTGATACTGCTTTCAAGATCATTGTCCTTAATTTAAATTAGGATGATAAAAGACCACTGTTCGGTAATTTCCCCAGTAGAGTTCAAATGCTAAACACAGAGGTTCAAATGCTAAACACAGACAAATCTAGAGGTTTGTCAGCTCCATAATTGTGTGGATGAGGCAAAATAGATGTCAGCAAGATTGGATCTATTCCTTGATAAATAATTCATTTCTGAGTGAAGAAAGAGAACATCTGAGAGGCAAACCAAGAGGTTTAGAACCAGGTAGATAAGTTCAGTAGGTAAATAGGAAGCAAATGTTTTAACACAGACCCTTGCTAAGCAGGGCAGGTATTTGTAAATTGGGCGGGGCATATCAGGAGATACTGGAGTTCAGTTGTCTTATGAAATTCATCCCCTCAGAAGCCTACCATGTTGGCAAATTTCATTTGCTTCTGCTAATTATACACACACATTACACGCATGCACACACACACGTGTGTGTACACACACACATGCATACATACACAGGCACTATCACATGCACATACTTATATATATTTGTTAGCTTTGAAAAAATAATTAGAGGTATCCACTATAAAGGGCCTGCTATGGCTTCAAATTCCATTAACTTCTATATCTATCTATCTGTCGCTATATTTTGATTTCCGACTTGTGAAGTGTGGTGTTGGAAAACAAGGCCTTGCTTATTCCAAAGCAGACTTGGACCCAGGGCCAAATGAAGGAGGACTGTTTTCCAAAGCACCAAATTGGGGTTTGAACCAAGTCTTGTGATCAGTGCTCATCCCTAGTGTGCATTCCCAAGGCCAGCTCCTGCATTGTTTTCTGTGCCAGCCCTTTAAGACAAAGTGGCCTAGGGGTTAGTAGTGGAGAAAGTTGCCTGAGAGGCTCTTAAATTTTCTTCTCTGGAGACTTTCAAGAACAGGTCGAACATGCTCTGCCAACTAGGATATCTAGTCTCATTACATGAAGTCATTTTTAGAGAACATGAATCATAACTCATATCAGGGCCTGATCCTTAAATCTTTCTCCAGTCTGTGATGTGGTGGTTGTGTTGTAAGACTTAAATAATATGTTGAGGAAAATACTATCTGAATGGGAAATTAAAGCAATTAAATGGTTTATTCAGATATTGCTGCTCGTTTTTATTTTCTGTTTCTCTTGCCCGCCCCCGTGTTATATAAGCTATGGGTTCATTGCGATCATATCTTCCACAGTTTGATGGCTTTGTTAGTATAATCACTATTAAGACATTTTAATTAATGTTTGTGGTGGTGATGGGAGGTTTCTAAATTGTTTCACATTTAAGTATGGTAGTTTTTAGTCTATGGTGGTTTTATTTAATTGTATTTATTTCTCTTTTTTTCCCCTATTCTGGGTTATAAATGGCCTTTAGGCCATGTGTTATTAGTCAACATGTAAAGTAGTAAATAATAATAATTGTAGATTCTTCCAGATTCAGAGAACACTCTTATTGTTATAATATTTTAAACCAACAATTGCTTTTGTGTGCCCTATCTTGTCTGCTTTATGATAATTTGTCCATCCTGTCTAACATTTTATGAGACATAAAATCCACACGTGACATTTTCGCCTTAGAACCCTGGAAAATCATGGCAGTAAAAATACTATGCTATATCAATTTTATCTCAGGGCAGTGTCCAAGAATACATTTAAAATCATTTCATTTATTTCAAGTGGATGAAACAATAAATAAAGCATTCTTAAAGCATAGGGCAACTGATTCCCTTACTGTCACAGACAAATCACAAATGCTTCAGAATATAGTCAGTTCTTATCTTGACACCAGTATTAAGCTAAGGTCGCCCTCAGATCGACCTCAACAGGGAGGAAGGTTCTCTACAGTTGGGGCACCAGTTTGGAAAATGCCCTCTGAGAAAAGACGAATACCATCTCAACAAAAGAGGGAAATGATTTGTATAAAGTTCAAATGTGCTATATTTCATAGATATGGATGCAAATTTAGGAACCACGGCTATAATTTAATTAAAAATGCAAGAAAAAATCCTGTAGTCCGCTGTCCATTTGCTGTCAGTTGGACATCTTTAAGGCCCCTGCTGTCTCCTCTATTTCTTTAAACTGGACTTGGGCCAGAATAATGGTTCTTCAAACAGAAGACTGTTTTCTGTAATGCATGACACATGAATACCCTGCTTGCAGATATCAACTTCCAGCTAAATGTAGAAAACTTTCCTAAAACTACCTCCAAGCCCTTTCATAATTCAGATTCATAATTCAGATTCATAAATAGCATGATACGGGAATCTTCTCTGGGAAAAGCCTGCAGTAGTAACAAATATTTAGGACATGAACTGATCTGTACCATGCAGTTGTAGGAGAAAACTACACCTAGAAGAAGGAAGGATGATCTCATTTATTCTTAAGGATAATAAATTGCATGATGCTTTCTGCTCAGTTTTGAAGAACATGACATACTTTTGAGGCAACCGATGAAAGCACAGGTACCAATTTGCTGAGAAGGCAGTAAGCCCAGGCAGAATGGTGCTCTTTCCTGTTAGATCTATGACTATGGTCTGCATTCTGAGCATGTGTGAATAAATGTGCTGTTCCACCTCTCCAAAACCAGACAGCCTTTGCTCCAAAATTCCAAACAAAATGCTGTGTTGGTGTCTTCCGATAAATTATGGAAAGACGTGATTTATAAATAGCTAAAAGGAGTGGATATAATTAGCGAACACTCCTGTCACATCAAAACCCGAAACTTTATTTCCTGTGTTGCTTAATCTGCACTTTGGGTGGGGTGCAAATAGGTGTGCGTGCTTCAGTTCCTCAAACATGCTGAGTAATTAAAAGGAGCATCTATAAAAATAAAACTGTGGCAGACCTTGTCAAGGAAGAAATCTGTGACTATCTTGTAGTTCTGTGTATGGGCTTGTTGGCAGATAGACCTATATGATAGGTTGACTGAGAAATTCAGATTAGTAGGCTTCTCTTGTTTTTGGGGTATTTCAGTGGTGTAGCATGCTGAAGGTCCCAGCACTGATATCTCAACGTGCAGAGATATCTCGTGATATCTCGAAGGTACAAGCACTGATATCTTGACATGCCAGTCTGTGTTGGCAGAACTAGATGGACCAAAGCAAATGCACATGTTCTCATACAGTGTCTTCCACTCACAGCAGACATGCTTTTCTCTGTTTGGTGCTTGTTCTACAAAGTTGGGAGGTTCTTACTTTTTATCTGGGGCAGAGAGGGGGGACTGGAAGGTGCTTCTCAGAAAGGATACAGCCTTGGGAGCTTATGTGGAATCTCTGACACCCTATATCTTAATCACAGTCCACAATTACAACCGTATATACTATGAGGCGAAAGGTAGTCTCTCGTAGTGGATTTTATAGGTTAGTTCCACATAGGCCTGGTTCTCACAAATGGCAGTTGTAGTTGTATTCTGCTGTGTCTTTGCACTGTATTGTAAGTTAGCTTCCCACCACATTATTGAGCAATTAAAACCTCTTCCCACAGGCATTAAGTACTATTACACATGCTCAGTCATCCTGATAAGGTGGCAACTATTATTTATTTATTTTTAAGGTAAAAGGAGAGGCTCTTGCTATGAAATACCAGCGTGATGTCATGCATTAACCTTCAGACAGACATGTTGCAAACATCTGAAACTTGGAAGATTCTTTCCTCTGTCTTAGGCTGCAGTCTTACACACTGAACTCAGTGTGGCGTAATCCAAAGTAGATATGCTTAGTATCGTACTTTTAAAATTCCTGCCTTTGCTATATTTTTATGAAAGTAAATGTGTTAGTTGCTTTACTTCGCTTAACTGAACAACCATAGAACCAAAGAAAAACAGGCCCACAGAGATATGTTAAAACTGGTGGCAGGGGCAGGGAGCACATTAAAAACATCCCACTCACAAGTTCATTTATAAATGCAAGATCTCAATATTTTGCACCAGTACAGTTCCAGTGACAAAGTGTACTATTTTTAGCCCTGCCACAACTTACTAATTATTATATTTATATCCTGCCTTTCCTCTAAGGATCACAATTTGAAGTACGTGGTTCTCCTCTCATCATTTTGGCCTCACAACAACCCTTTGAAGAGACAGTGCTGCCCAAGGTCAGCAAATGAGCTTCCTGGCTGAATGGACATTTGAAGCCTGGGTTCCCAAGTCCTACTCTAACCATTACACCACACTGCCTCTCTCTATATAACTAGATACATGGCAAAGCTTGTGGTGGCCACTCAAACCTGCCATTTATGGCCCTTGTCTCTTCATGATCCAAAGTCAAAACAGTTGGCTTCAGTACATAATGGTGAAGGCAATAGAGTTCCCAAAACATTAACTATACTATCAAGTTTGGGTTTCTTGTTTTTTAACAAACACGAAAATTGCTTAAAAAGGGCAGGCCAGTCTGGATCCTATCCAAGGTAAACTTATTAATCTAAAGAACCAAGTAAATAGTTCTGTGAACCCCGAGGTCTTTCAGATTTTGTTTTTTCCTGGTCTCCAGTTCTTTTCAGTAAACTGCTTTTGAAGTCAAGGAAGATTTCAAAAGAGAAGATATAGTAGCGAACGAGCTAATCAAAGAAAGAAAAAAGTTCTAAACATTCCATTCCCTACATGCTAGCCATTACTAAATCTGGTTGTTACTGTTCTTATGAATATCTGCCTATATTTGTAAAAAACCAGCAAGTTAAAACTCTTTCACGCAGAATGGCAGTTGGAACAAAAAGGTCTTACATTGCTTCTGAAACAAACTTGGGGCATTGATAACTTCAAGTGGAGGCTATTAGTAATGAATAGAAAAGCCAAAGTGAGTCTCTTAACAGCAGCAATAATAATAAATAATCCAGCCACAGAAGAAGGAAGTCTGACACTTTTAGCCATGTAAGGCATTAAAAAGAAGAAGAAGAAAAGAAATTAGCCGAAAACCATCATGGTAAGCAAACTATGCCAAGATAAAATTTCCGGCTAGAAGAGATGTGGTCCACTTCTGGTTACTTGGGGATAGTTCAAACGAGGCAGAAATCCAGACCTTCACATAATATCATTGCACATGTGTGTAAAACAGAGCTACTCAGATAGCGATGAAATATATCTGTGCTGGATGTTATACATGGAAATTACACAATATGTTCTATAATGGTATATGAAACAGTTATCTTTTGTTCTTGTTTAAGTATAAAATGGCTTATTGGAGTTGTTTCACACTCTCTTTGCTTTATGAAACATCTAACGTCATACATCTGTTTTTAAATTCTGAAGAATTCATTTTACATTTTGGGAGGTTTTTTAAAAAATGTTCTTTTTCTAAAAGGTTGTTGTCCTGTCTTTTTAGAACTCAGAGAAGGCTTGATCCTAGAACCCTTCATAAACTGAACCACATATCTGCATTTTAAAAACTTCTTTTTAAATCTGAGAATCCCAAATGTCTCGAGTATTTATTTGCACAGTTGAGTTTTCTGCAGCTATATCTCCTTTGAGATCTTCGGACAAACATGAAAGTCTGTATGGTTTCTTTATTGCATACACTGCCCTTTGAAACTGATAAAAAGTCTTAAAATGGAAGCTTCTTCCTCTGAAGGGGGAGATGGAAGTATTATCTGTAAGTTAATGTAGACCTTAAAATAATTTTGGGTGTGCCAGGTAGATAAGCTGAAAGGTTTAACCTCAGTCTAGAGTCCTTCCTCAGATGACATGAAGCACCTAAACAAGGTAGCAAAAAATGAAAATGGATTTTCGTTGCCTTCCAAGATTACGTATTTCCTCAACTTTTTATTATGAAGTAAAAGCCATGATGAGGAAGAAGTATACCAGTACACAAAAAATTAAGAGCAGAATCATAGCTGTCAAGCATCCCTTATTTGGCGGGACAGTCCCTTATCCCAGCGCCATGTCCCGCTGCTGTCCCTTATTGATGGTGTCTCTTAAATTTCCCGGGTTTCAAAGGAAGCAGCTCCTCTCCCTCCCTCCCTGCCGGCCAGGGAGGAGGGAGGCTCCAACTGTGTTGCTTGGCTGCGTTGCTCACCCAATAAGAAGTCTAAGAACGACTGGGGGGTGGAGCTTGCATGCCTTGTGCTGATCAAATTGGCTGTGTTGCCTGGGGACTCGCCTTTGCTCAGCGCTTCCCAGTGGAGAGGTGACGGTGGTTTTCCTTGAGGCTTTGTTTGGCTGCTGGCTGGGCTTTCTGCCTTTGGCTCGGAGGGGCTCAGAAGTTGAACATACCTGTGTTTGGAAAATCCCTTATTTTGGCTGCTGATCCCTTATTTTCGAGGCTGCTGGTCCCTTATTTTCAAATCTGTAAGTTGACAGCTATGAGCAGAATAGATAAGTAGAACAGAATTGTACACACTGAACAGATATGTATAAACTCTCTGTGCCACTCATAACCCAAATGACATTAAGTTTGGTAGGAATGTCTTAGATCATCCACTAAATGCGTAAGTACCATAATTTACAGTTTACATCTTGTTCTTACGGATGAGGTGGTAAAGCTGATCCTGGGCTGTATCACTACAAACTCAAGGTCGGGCAGATTACATAACTGAATAGTTCTCCTTACTAAAACAAAACAAAACCCTATGCATTTAGAAAACTGGCTTAGCCTTTCCCCCAACATGCTAGATTTTTATGTGTAAAGATGCTTTTTCATGCAGATTGTTCTGCCATGTGAGCCCCATACCTTCATTTTGCCAGGAAGAAGCTGTTATATGTTATATGTGGCATCTCCTAAGTTGTGGAATTCCCTCCCCACTATCTAACAGCAGTTAACACACCATGCTGGTGGTTTTTCCATAGATTTTATTGCTAAATGGCTTTCATTGACCCTTGAGAAGTTTTCTTTCGTTGTGTGTTTTATTTTCACTGCAAAGCAGTTTACATATCGCTGTAGCTAAGCAGTAGGAATTTTCCTTGGACTGTTTATTGTAAATATATGAGATGATGTCAACATCTTAAAAAGTTGCAACAAAACACACAGTAGATTTCTTCCATTATGTTGTGGATAATGTGGAAGAGTACCATTTCTGTGCATTAATGTTAAGAATAGCTAAAGCATTATTTTGTCCATTAATGTATTTGACTAATAAAATATTTTTTGTAATTGTAATGATTTCTTCCTTGGCATCACGCTTGTTGGACACCTGGTAGAGGTGTAAAGACTTGGTAAAAACATTTCGAGAAAAATGGTAAACTTGGGAGAGCTGGATAGCATGGAAGATGTCATATGTAAGAGTTTAACAACCAGGAAATCTTTTGGTAAGCTGAGCATACAAGGGGAGCACGAGTGTGCATGGCTGGTTCCAAACAAAATATAATTTGGAGGACTGGAAAACACCATACCAGAATATAGCCACATTCTCATTAGAGAAAACAGCTTGAATATTGTTTTCTGGAGATTAGACATACATGTGTATATGTATATGATTTGTGTATATACATATATGCGTATATATTTTTGCTACGATGGAGTGAGATATAAACTTTACCAAATAAATAAGGATGAATAATTATGCCTATCTCTTGCTTTGTAGGATAACACCAAATCCTTACCTCAGCAGAATAGTTGAATATAATTCAGTATCCAGATTTATTGCCGCTACTTAAATTATATAAAATTATGCAGGAGATACAGCTATAGACAATATAATTTAGGCATAAAGGTAAATGTACCCCTGACCATTAGGTCCAGTCATGGACGACTCTGGGGTTGCGCGCTCATCTCGCTTTACTGGCCAAGGGAGCTGGCGTTTGTCCGCAGACGGCTTTCAGGTCATGTGGCCAGCATGACTAAGCCGCTTCTGGCAAAACCAGAGCAGTGCACGGAAACGGTGTTTACCTTCCTGCTGGAGCAGTAACTATCTACCTTCACTTTGAAGCAGTGCTTTCAAACTGCTAGGTTGGCAGGAGCTGGGACCGAACAACGGGAGATCATCCCATTGCGGGGATTCGAACTGCCAACCTTCTGATCGGCAAGCCCTAGGCTCAGTGGTTTAGACCATAGCGCCACCCACGTCCCTATAATTTTGGCATAATTTAGGCTGGATATAGCTCACCAACATAGGAAAAACCATCCTGCTATCAAAAACAATTGATGGGGCAATTTTTCAGGAAGTGTGTGGAGTGAGGGGGCCGATGAAGATAGTCCCTCTGTCCTCTTCTTCCATCTTGAGCAGTATGCCTCTGAGCACAACTCTGGAACCAGCTCATTTTAAGCAGAGCTTAATGTAAGCACATCTTTAAGTAGAACTTCAAGTGATTGTTAATGGGGGAAACTGAGTTTTTGCATTGAACTTACTAAAAAAATCTCTTGCAGTGAAATAAGTGTAAACTACACAAAGGAAGCCATGTCTCCAGCATATGCTTATGTTCATTTAACAGGGCAAATGAGATTGCAGTAAGCTAAATTACTTTAAGGAGATTTACCTTAACCTGAACAAGAAAAGTGACTATTGGAATAAGGGCTCCTTTACACAGGAATCCCTGCTGTTCCACAAGAAATCTGTTTGCAAACTCATCACAACAAACCCACAAAGGAGTTAAAAATTTTTTTTACCACAAGCATTACAGTGGACCTGCATGACAACATTTGTGAGGTAAACAATCATTATTCTAGACTGTATTAAGTATAGCAATGTATTATTAGATGTACCGGTCTTGAATTATTGGGAACTATATTAAAGCCACAAATTAAATAATGCATTATTAAAAAGGTATTTTTAGCTCCTCCACACCCTCCACACTTTGGACAGCTTGCAGTAATAGAATTAAGCATTGCATAAATCTTTATTAGTGGAGATGGCGGACAGTGAGCGACCAGCCAGGGTACTTCCACACTACCTGTTAATAATAATGTGGAAAAGTTACATGAGAGAAAATTTGAGGGGTGTGCCTGCTGCAGTAGAGAAAGTTACGTTGTGGGAGAGCAATGACTGTGTAGTGCTAAAAACTCTAGTCTGGAAGCACCTCAGTAACAGAGGATAGCTTCATTTTTATTTATTTTTTGGTGATTATATCCTAGGCTGTGGGTTCCCAAACTATGATCCATGAAGTCCACCAGTGGCCCATATAAGCTTCATTCATGTGGTCTGTGGAATCGTCGTTGAAGATGGGAAACTGTTCACCCATTGCATTAAATATTCCTATTTGTTTTTGATTGCGTTTTTAATGCTTCTTTCCCACCCCTCTCTTAGATATTGTATTTTATTGTTATTACAGTTAGAATTCTATGGAAGCCCAAATTGTAGCATAATAAAAATACAGTACAAAGGAAATAAAGGAAGCAATAAAAGATTCAGTTGAGAATCGTACATCGTCTAGAAGTGCATTTAGCTCAGCAGGTATAGCTCAGTCAATAAAGCATGAGACTCTTAATCTCAGGGTCGTGGTTTAAAAACCCCATGTTTGGCAAAAGACTCCTGCCTTTCAGGGGGTTGGACTAGATGACCCCTTAGGGTACCTGCCAACGCTATGGTTCTATGGTTTTAGTTGCTAAAACAGGCAGGTGAAAAAATTGTGAAGTAGTACACCAACATAACTAAGCAGTGGTCAAGTGGGCAAAAAGTTTGGGAATCACTGTAACAAGTTTTTTTAAAAATAATGTTCTGATATCTTTTGAACTGCAGTTGTGCTTCTAATAAATATGGAAAAGGGAAAGGTTTTAAATTAGCATCCATAGCAATAATGCATGTCGGTTCTTCATTGATTATCCAGTAGCACTAACTACTCAATATATGTGAGGGAAGAATTTAGTAAGAAGCCAAGTTCTGAGGCTCCAGGATGGTTTTTCACAGAGAGGAAAAAAATAATTGTCACAAACTGCCTTTTCCACCTTCACCTTCTAAAATCTGTTTGTATTTTTTAGATATTTGGGGTTGGCTTTGAAGACTGACCTGTACTGGAAATGATGTGCATATATATATGTATTCCTGATCACCTCCATAATAGACAGATACTATAAAAAGAACATTTTCTGTGAATTTGAATTACTAATGCTCTGAGAGCACAGAAGAGGAATGCAAACGGGCCCTGTTGCCATGGTGGTGTTACAGGGGAAGAGTTTGTCTTTTCTCCCGGCTATTCTGTGGCACGTGTGCTGTTTTTAATACTGCAGCTCTCGGTCGGGATTGGACAGTATCCTTTCCACCGCGACCCCCATTCATGCACCAGAGTAGCAGAAGGTCAAGAATCCGGTTGTTAAAGGAAACTGTTTTGTTTTGCAGGACTGCATTAAGATTAATGGAGCTTAAGGTAACCGGGGTAATGTTGCTGAGGTTGTTAAATGTACATGTGTGCATACACACACACGTACACCTTACAGAAAATGAACTCTGTTTTTTAGGCACAGGAATCCACTGTTAGGCACAGGAATCCACCCCCCCCCAAATGATGGTTACGAAAGATGCCAGTCCCCATGCAAATCTTACACTCATACAGCGCAAAATGAGAACCTAAATATAGTTTAGAATCGTATCTTGTAAAACATTAAAAACTCAGTTATGATCGTCATTTGCTCTTACGGTTGAGAGCTTTATTTTGGTGTGGTGGGGAGGTTTGTTCTAGAGTTTGCATGGAAGCACAGAAGCTGGCAACTAACACGATATAATTGAAAGCACTGGGCTTAATGCTAGACAGTTCAGAATGTAATGGGGAGAAATGTTCTCGGCTTGAACAGAGAAAATAAGACAGTGTCTAAAGCCAAAACATATTCTTACTGCCCAGACGATGACTCCCCAGATGATTGTGCCTTTGATATGTGAGTTACGTGTTTTAGAAACTCAGTAAATCTGGTTGGTAGATAAATGTTGCTCCCTGTACTGAGTTGCATGATAGATGGGCTGCTGCTGCATTATTTCTCAAATGGCTATAGCTCCACCAAGCCATGGAACACTTTGGCCCATGCTCAGCCATGTTGAACAATGGATTTGATGTCATGCTGTATTCAGAGTACTGAGTATAGTTCCATGTTTTCACACTTTAGAGTCCTGCTGACAGTTCTGCCTGTATTTTAGTGTGACACAATCTTGTTGCAGGTTGTAGATTGATCTTGTTGGCTTCAATTTTCCTAACTCTCACCCCCAGAGCTCAAGTGTTTTTGAGGGTGGGGGTGGAAAGGTGACTCAGGAGAAGCTTGTAACACTTCTTCCTCCCACACATATACCACAACCCCATGCCATGCAAACAGTCTCATGAGTTTCCATTGTTAATTCTGAAATTTTCTGCTGTGGCCTACGCCAGCCCTCTTCACTATTTTTCTTTAATATGAACCAGCCTGAAAAAGGTCCTACAAAGGCTGCTGGCTGCTTTGTAGCTTCATGATTTGTCCTAATAAAGATATTGTGTCCCATCAATGTGTTGATTTTTAAAAATTATCCTACAGACCAATGTGGCTGGAAACTCCTCATAAATAGATCAATTCACTTTAAAGCTTTCTTTTTCTGGTTTATTTAATTTGCAAATTAATTGGGGGGCGGTTCTTCCCAGAATTAATTTCTTATACATGTTTATCTTTGATAGACAAAATAGGTAGTAGATTTAACTGTTCTGGGGGGGTGTAAGAGAGGGAGAGAAGTAGCACTTAATCACATAGGCTTTAAAATGGACAGTGTTCTGTTCACCTTTTTGGGAATATGCTGTTGCAAGAAGCAAATATTTTGTTCTTGTTTTCAAGCCTTTTTCTCTTTACTCGACCCGTTTGGACAAACTTGAACAGTGAGCGACAGAAGTCGATCATGGAGATCACACTTGCACAGAGTCTATGTGTGGCCAAAATGTAACGTATAAGCAGAAACCACATGGTTTCTAAGCCTAAATTTCATTTTTTTAAATGTCATGTTTCAAGCTTTCACCTTTCTCACATAGGTGTGGAAAGCATGGAGACGGAACAGCCTTGTCTGCAAATATGGTCTCTCGTAACACAGAGCCCTATGCGTTTCTCCAAACCAGCCAACTGTCCATTGGAATTTGTTTTCTAAACCATAGAACCTCTGTTCTTTAGAAAATCACATGGTTTAGGCTTTTAAAAGCTGGACGGAAGCCACTCCTGGCAATGATACCGAGATAATTTAACAAACTGTAAATAAATTACTCTTGTTTGTTTAGAGAGATTTGGTCTTTCTCATTCCAGAGTAAAAAAAGAAAGAAAGTCAGTAAAATGGACTCTCCTCAAACAAGGTATATTTTCAGCATTTGGTTTCTTCTCCCACAATGCGGGATGAATTCTGTCTTTGTGCCCTGCCTTAAGGAAGCTGCTATTTCCCCTTCTACAAAAGACAATGATAGACAATGTGGTGGTGTTGGGAGCAAGGGATTTGGAGGCAAAGACCAACATTCAAGGTCTCCATTTCCCCCCTTCCCTGAAGCTATGGCTACTGCTCCAAAGTTAAATCAGACCTTTGAGTTCATACAGGAATGTTCGCCTTGCATTCCACACGCTGAGCCATTTTTATCGTGGGGGCTCAGGAATGTGTTTCCTTTTACTTTTTTAGTGTCTTGGTGGTGGGAAAAGGGGTATAATTCTGGGGTTTTTATAAGCAACAGTGCCAGGAATTGTTGCATGATCTTGAAACAGAACATCTTGTGACACAATTCAGTCTATCGGGCAAGCATCCTCTGCCATATGGCTTTGTTTAATTAAAATGTACATAGCTGTTGTTGTTTCTGTTTGTTTTAGTAATCTAGCTTGAAGTTTCATTGTTTTTTCAAAAAGTAGAATTCCATTATTGGCTTCCTCAATCTTTATGTGACCTATTAATTCAAGACGTAGTTACCTAACAAGCATCTTGTGGAAAGAAATGTTCAAGTCAAGCTTATTTAGTTTATCTGAAAGAATGACAAGGAATGCTTTTTTGTTGTGTTGGACAATCTATCTCCAGCTATCCTGGGGGGATTTATGTTCAGGTTGACTTGTGTATGTATCTCTTTGTAACAAGAATGTTTCTCAAACTTTAAAAATGTGGCGCTAGTGAGGAGGCTTAAATTTACTCTATTTTAAAATCCTGCCCCTCAAACCAGCAGGTAAATTTGTGGAGATTCTTGTGTGCAGTGACATGCATCTTGCCAGAGAGACATTAAAGATTTATTTTATGAGACATGTTATACCCTTCCACTTTCCGACCTGGTAACAGGATCCACCTGGCTGCAATACATGGAAGAATATAGCTCAGTAGTAACAGAGCATTTCCTAAGCACAGTCATCAATATGTCCAGTTAAAGCAGGCCTTGGAACCTCTCTCTGCTGCAAATCAGAGCTGGATGCATTGAGGCAGTGGGTGACTGCACTGACTGAATTAAGGTAGCACCACATATTCATATAAAACTTACTTACCAGCCCGTTATGGGATTTTGCAACATTACCTTTCCTCCTGTCTCTAGCTATAAAAGTTACAGTGTTTATGCAATGCTTGTGTTGGTATATTTTGAAAAAATAAATAAATGTTAGTTTAATTTAACACTTTGATATTGTCACTGCCCGTTTGCTTGTGGGCCAACAAGAACCTGTGTGAACTGATAAGGGCCTCATGCTATTTGCTCAACAAATCAAGTCATTTCTATCCTGCTTCTCTTTCACACATCATATACACCTGGAGATTCAGCTTTGTCATCAAGTGTGCATTGAAGAGTGTGGCCAGTTCCAACTCTCCAAAAACATGTGTATCAGATAGGTGCACTCGTAAAATGCCTGTTTGTTGCATTCACACTTTTACACTGTGTTCAGCCAACCAGTATTGTGGTAGGAAGAATTCCTTCTGTCCAGCTAGATGATGTAATTGGGAAGGGACAGCTTTGTGTTTTGTTAGTTGTACTAAGGCATGAGAACAAGTTAGACCTGTTTCAGCTTTCTTAGTACTACTAATATAATGTGGGAAGAGGTCCTTAGGATAGTAAGTAAATAAATACTTCTAGAAATAAATAAATAAATGTATAGGTCATACTACGTTTCCTATGATCTTCTAGCCAGGCTTTTGGTGCCACTAAGTCTACTTCAGAAAGTATGTACAGATGGATATCAGTAAAACTTAACACATTACCTTCTGTTTTGCATAAAATTCTGGTTTAAATATAGCTATCCCTTAAATATAAAAGGATGGGCATTCTCATTTGGGAGAAGCTCATGGCCAGGAGGAATATGAACATTGGTTGCACATCGAGCAATAATTTGCCTTCCTACCTCATACACACCTAATGCATAAACCACCAGCAACTTGAATATTTATCTGCAGGACCCACTAACTTATAATTTACTACTTAAGAATCACTAGTGTCTCAGGAGTATGAGACACAGGACTGAAAAGAGGGATTTCATGGGAAATCGTTTCAAAAATCATAAATGCCCTTTTGCTCAATGGTATTGCAGCACTACAGATCCTTCAATGGGGGTTGTGTGATGATGGACTTACATTTTTATGTACATAGGAAGAAAATATTCCTAGGCCAAGCAGATGTTTGCCTTGTTGTGATTGAGATTTCAATACTACCTTCTGCTATACTTCAGAAGTTACTAAAAATGCTAATAGGCCTTATTGGCTTATGGGAGAATTCCCACCTATGCTGAGGTTCCATTTCTGGCCACTGTGCACGTTAGCAGGATGCATGGAAGTCGATTCTTGTCTGTTCTGCCTTGCCCCATTCCGCCCCCCTTTAGAGCTGAAAATGGTGCGCCTGTCACACACATGCTTTGCTTACAAAGGCATAGTTACATATTATTCTTTATTTGCAGTACTTTATTTGCAGTTGGTCCTGAGATAGGAGATATTCACTGAATTCTAGTGCTATTACAGTCATACCTCGGGTTACAGCTGCTTCAGGTTGCGTTTTTTCGGGTTACGTACCCGCCAAAACTCAGAAGTACTGGAACGGGTTACTTCCGAGTTTCGGCAGTCGCGCATCCGCAGAAGCACTAAATCACGCTTTGCGCATGTGCAGAAGCGCCAAATCGCAACCTGCGTGTGTGCAGATGCGCTGCTGCGGGTTGCAAACACTGTGGGTTGCGAACATGCATCCCACACGGATCACGTTCGCAACCCAAGCGTCCACTGTATTTATTTGCATAGTTGTGAGGGATGATACACTCTTGGTTCTCACAGAACTGCTTTCAAAGTTAGGATAAGAGGCTCACTTTGCTAATTTATTCACATAAGTGGCTGATTCCTTGAAATGAACAATGGTGCTGAGCAAATAAATTTACCACTTAGAATTTAGCTTGAACATTGGCTCAGACATGCGTTTCTGATAAATGTTCTGTCCAGGAGAGAAATCTGAGAGTATTGGCAACACTGCATGTTTTTCTAAGTGGGAAGGACATCCCTAAGGTACAGATGCAGCTGGCTTGAGAAAAAAGGAAAAGAACCAGAGGAAGTTGGTTGCGCCTTTTAAAATGGATATTGATGTTTCAGCAAATACATTCCTGTTTCATGCAGTACGTTGGGTACTGCATGGTTTTGCGTGGGAAGAAGCATAATTCTAAGAGAGAGAGAGAAGGAGCTTATTTAGTATCTACTCCGAGTAAATAAGAGTCCTAGTAAAGGAATATCTAATTCAGCACCCTGTATCAATCACATGGCAAGTACACAAATGTGAAGATAATAGCCCTTGCCCACTGTTGTTTCCCAGTGACTAGTATTTAGGGGCATACTTGTTAGTAGCATATCATTTGTGAATTTGTCTGATTTCCTTTTAAAGCCCTCTGGGTTGGTATTGTCGCCACCTCTTGTTGCAGTGAGTTCCATAGTTGAAGCATGTGCTTCCTTTTGTCTGTCTTGCGTCTCACACAATTAAGCATCATTGCATGACCCTGGGTTCTTCGGTTATGAGAGAAGGAGAAACACTGCCCACACCTTGTAGAAACCTTTGTCCTGTCCCGTCTTGCCGTTTTTGGGTAAGCTAAAAAGCAAGCCTTCCCTCATAGAGGAATTGCACCCTCATCCTTTTGATTGCACTTTCCTGAGCATTTTCCAGCTCTGTGGCATTCTTTTTTTTTTTGTAAATGTCTTTCACTTTAATCCATCTGTTGTTTCATTATACAAAACGGGCAACAGCAGAAAACAACATCTCATCTTAAATTAAGACAGACGAGGGACATGAGACTCTGCTGGAGTTAATTGCGAACTTTTATAACTGAGGCAATATTGTTAAAATGCAAAGTTTAACTTTACTGCTTTGTGTTTGTGTGCATACGCACATACACACATGGAGGAATGTATTCTGAAGGTAGGTGACTGTGACTTTGCCTTCCCTAACTCCTTTAGTCAGTCAGTAATATCTGTAATCTAATTCTCTGCACTCCTTTGGTGCTTTTGATCTGAAACGAAGGCCATGAATTATGTTTAAAATACCCCTCATGGAGCATGAAATCCAGTAACTTATTGCTCAGGGTTGGCATGTGTTCAAATAACTCTGCTTGGGGCCAGTAATACACAATAACCTTGAGTTTAAGGTGAACTCCTAAATAAATTACGGCACAGCCAGTCAAGGAAATAAAAAACAGTCCCCATTTCTCCACAACCTAGCATATTTTGTAACTATAAACACCTGTAAATGCTTATGTATTTTTCAGAGATCTGTAAAATACTCCCATTTTGTGACCTGTGTGTGTGTTTAAAGCATAGCTTGAAAATAGTAGGTTTTGTTGTTTTCTTTAAATAGTCTCCCTGGTTTGTGTTTGGCACTGAAGACTGTGGGAGGCAAGACTCATGACAGTTCAAGCAGATTTCATCCAGGCTGCTTCTTGCATTCTGCATGTTTATCATGGTAGGTTCATTTTTAGACGAGGTTTAATAATGCACCTTTCATGTGCCTCTGTGAGAAGTTGCTCATTTAAGTGTGGCAGCGTCTATGCTTTGAAAGGCCTCGCCTAATAGCATCAGGCAGGAACCCTCTGTGTTTAGATGCCTGTAACCTTGCTTACAGGATTGTTGTGAAGCTAAAAATCTCTGTTAGCTCCTTAGAGCAGAGCTTTCCAAACTGTGTGTCACAACACGTTATTGTATTGGCTGCAATGTGTAGGTGTGTCGCGTGAACTCTCCCCACGCTCCTCCCAGAGCTGGAAAGGTATTGGTGTAACCTCCAGTTTGCTAGTACAGTGGTACCTCGGATTACATACGCTTCAGGTTACATACGCTTCAGGTTACATACTCTGCTAACCCAGAAATAGTACCTCAGGTTAAGAACTTTGCTTCAGGATGAGAACAGAAATCGTGCTACTGCGGCGCGGCGGCAGCAGGAGGCCCAATTAGCTAAAGTGGTGCTTCAGGTTAAGAGTAGTTTCAGGTTAAGAACAGATCTTCGGAACGAATTAAGTACTTAACCCGAGGTATCACTGTAAAACTGAATTGCTTTGTTGCGAAATGATGCATGTCTAAAAAGTGTGTTACCAACATGAAAAGTTTGGAAAGCTCCGCCTTAGAGGAATGGTGGGTTTAAAATAATGTGTGGAGGATATGTCTTTATCTTCTTTTTAAGGCATGATAGAAATGCAGAGTCATATTCTTTAGTCATTCTGAGCCAGTGACTTAGTTGGATGCCATGCTACATTTTCTTTGCATCTTTTGGTTAGAAGACTTTTAGAAAGCACTGGAGTGCATTGCGTATGGTGCCTTGGCCTGGTTTGCACAACACAGTAAGCCGAACAATGGCTTATCAGGACCATGCAAATGTTGTGGGCTCACAGAGAAGCGCTTGCAGCCACTTTGGTCCTCTCTGGTGAGCTAAGTCAGGGTTTGGCTTAACATGTAACCCAAACTCAGGACTCGAGGTCAAGCTTAGTCCTCACTAACCACAAATTGTAGCCCAAAACAGGCCAGGAGTCCTGCTTTGAATAACACACTAAGCCCAACTTTGGTTTAGCCCAGTGTGGAGCTAGGACAAAAAGAACCACAAAATCCTGTCCAGAACCCTGCATGTTTATGTGGCCACAGTAAGCCATAGTTAGGTTTACCGTGTCGTGTGCACCAGGCCAACTTTTGCGAACTTGAGTTCATCCATTTGTTAACCAGCATTGTTAAACATAACAAGAAAACTTCATGGGACTGACAGTCCGCATCACAGTTTGAGATCCCACCAATGTAATGATGATTGTTAGGGACTTTCCCAGTTGTACTCCTCTGTCTTGCTAGTCCAGACTTTACTCAGCCACCTTCAATTGAGCTGTTGTTCTATGTGAAAGGTCATTTCTGTCGAGTGAGCTAGTTTAACGTGGCCGCTCCTAGATTCTGACAAGTTGTTTTTATAAGGAGATGCCTTAAGTGTAATTAACATTCAGCTGTTCTTAATGAAAAAAATCTACTCTTGTTTTTACTTTTTGAGAAAATTGCTTGTTTTCAAGCCAATGCAGAAGAATGACTGCTTTAGGCATATATAGAGAGTGAGAGTGTGTGTGTGTGTGTATTTATATATTTATCCCTGGTGGTATACCCCATTGAAGCAAATGGGGCTTACTTCTGAGTAGTCCACATAAGACTGCACTGTTAGTGCATTTAACACTGTGTTTTTTAAAGTGGTCTGTGCCAAACCAAATATTTGCATTACATTAGCCTTTAGGATAAAATCCTCCACTGTAGCACTTTTGTGTTAGCTTGTTAGTCCCTTTCTTTTGTAGAAATCTGAGTAATAATATTTTCCTGCTCCAAGCACTTCTTTAGATTAATGCGATGCATATTTCCCTCCATGTTTAGACTACTACAGGAATAATGTTCTAAAGTATCACCAAACAGACAAGGTTCGTATTTGTAAAGCATGTAAATTGTTTATGTGTTGGCTGCTAGGGCTTTTCCTATGAGCATTGCAAGTTGTACTGCATTTGGTGAGAAAAAAATCCTTCTAAATTCAATACTTCATCTGCCATGTAGCTAGAAAAAAGATCCCTGTATATGTGCAGAGCTCTGTGCCAGTGGATGCTGTGGGAAAAACAGCCTTCATAACACAAGGCTTATGGAAACAGAAGGCTGGTCTTTAACATACGAACATCCAGTTTAGACAGAACCGCAAACCATGGTTTGCTATTAAAGGTACTGTATAAGCTTATGCAGGCCTTGGGCTTGTATGTTCCCCCTAACCCATCTCCTCTTTATGAATGAGAAGAGCACATCAAAAGCTTCCTATTTTGCTTTTGAACCAACCACAGTTTCCCATTGTTCACGGAACTGTGGCTTGCTCTAAACGTGCATATTTAATAAATCTGTATATCAAATTGTGGGTGAGTGGTCCAGAAGGTGGCAGGACAAGAATAGGCCTTTTCTGCAGTGGCTCCCTGCGTGTGGAATGCCCTCCCTAAGGAAGTTCTGCTGGCGCCTTCATTATACACCTTTGGGGACCAGGCAATACCACTCCTCTTCAACCAGGCCTTTGGCTGATTGACAGCCAATGCCCTTTAAAAATGTGTTGTGGAAGTGGGGATTATTGGATTGTATTGGCTTTTGTTTTTATTATGTATTCTGTGCTTTTTCCTATTATGATTTTATGTTGTGAACCGCCCTGAGATCTACCGATATAGGGCGGTACAGTATACAAATTTAATAAGCAAACAAATAAAATAAAAATACTCCCATTACAAAAGGCAGCTTTTTCTGGTGTCAGTAACAAGTGTTTAAGAGGTACACCTGGGGAGTCCCATCTACGGAATGTTAAATGCATAGTCAGTGCCAGTAATTTTGAACCTTTCCAGACCTAGGCCCTACCTTAAACCCAAACATGCACTTCTGGCCTCATTTCATTTTCTTTTTCTACCTATAGTGGTAGTACTGCTGCTGTGACACACTTTGAATTAGGCCACTGTTCAGTAGTGCATGTCCACACATGTGTTGAAGACCAGTGTTCATCCTCATCAACTTTCTGAATATAATATAGTGTCAGGTATGAAAAGTTACTTTGTCAATCAAATATGTTGCAGAGCCAGAACTAGAGAGCCAAGGGCCCCCATCCGTATTTGAAATATACTAGCAGGAGCACATTCTTTTTAGGAAACGGGATTGTGTCATACTGAAAGTCTGTGTGCATATTTTAACTGGACGTGCTGATGAAATGTTAGTTTTTTCAGAAAACATGGTGGAGTGGTTGTCTTCTGTTCTTCCAAGTGAAGATGCCTTGGGTTGGTTAGATTACCCAGTGCCTTATAAATTCGCAAGGAAACCAAATTAATGTGCTCTTAACCTTGTATATAATTGAGGAGCTTCATCCATTAGTTTCTAATCTAGTTAATTGTCCTGAAGAAGAAAAAGAAAGTGTCCTGTTTCTGGATGGAGTAGAATAAAGGGCTTCAGTGTAACACTACACCACTATAGAGGATTCATGTTACCAATTAATAACTCAGCAATAGAAAGAAGCTTTGCAACTGAATGTCTGGGTCATATGTTTCTGAGAAATTTGCAAAAAATGGCTCTCTAATTCCTGTTCCCCCAGACGAGTTTTTAAATCTGAACTTTTGTTTACCACCATGTTTATATTTAAAGGTACCTTTCTTCCCCCATGGCTATTCAGCATCCTTTCCTCCTGCAAATAATTTATTATACCGTTGGTTCGTGCTTTGCATGATATCAAAAAGGCTGTGCATGAAGAACTCCTGATCACCCTTTCAAAAGCAGTCCTCTGCATTGCCAAGAAACAAACTTAAGAGAATGGTTGCCTGTTCCTGAAATAAAACATCAGTAGCACTGTATATGTTCAGTTGGCCAATATCATTTCATCTATGTAAATTCTAAGAGTGTTCAGTTCGTTCTACTGCATTGCTGTAGCAACTATACTTCTGCAACCTTTTTCTTTGGGCAGAGGTCAAGTGTTGGGCAGCCATTGTTAGCTTGTGGTTGTATGTACACACATACAACAAATGAGTAAGGATGAAATGGTTTCTCGCTTTGGAAACAAACAAACAAACAAACAAACAGGAGTTGGAAGGGACCCTGATGATCATCTGTTCCAACCCCCTGCAATGCAGGAATGTGCTGCTGTCCCTTACGGGGATCGAACCTGCAACCTTGGCGTTACCAACACCATTCTCTAATGGATAAAGCAAGGGCAGGCAACCTAAGGCCTGGGGGCCGGATGCGGCCCAATTGCCTTCTAAATCCGGCCCGTGGACAGCATGTTTTTACATAAGTAGAATGTGTGCTTTTATTTAAAATGCATCTCTGGGTTATTTGTGTGGCATTGGAATTTGTTCATTTTTTAAAAAAATTCAAAATATAGTCCGGCCTACCACATGGTCTGAGGGATGGTGGACCAGCCCACAGCTGAAAAAGGTAGCTGACCCCTAGGTTAAAATCTAGCCAACTGAGCTATACCTATCTCTGGCTTTTCATACTGCTTTAAAACTTGTTTTTAGCTGCTTTTATGGCATGTGTGTCATTTTTGAGATGAATGTAAAAAGGTTATTCATAAATTATAATAATCTGAAATGTCTAAAAGTCAGTGTCGGGAGGCATGGTAGAGTCTCTAGAATGTTTTCATACTACGAACAACATATTATAACTTAGGGCGTGAATTGCAAACAGCTGCTTCTGTCTGCCAGACAAGCTCCAGCAAGCCCCAAGTACTGTGAAACACCATGTAGTGCAAAGGGCTGTCAGTGTTCACTTCCGGACTGGAACAGAAGCAGAGAGCTACAGCTCTTAAGATGTGAGGAATTGTGACTTCCCCCATCAGTTAAGGATTGTTGCTTGACTTGGGGCCTCTGCAGTTCTGTGGAACTGGGCAAAGAAATTTTGGTTTGTGGCTCTGGCTTCTCATTAAAAAAATATGAATGGGACACTACTGAGGTGGGGTTTTGTGGGGGGGGAGTAGATTCACACACACAAACTCACCATTTAATTCCAGCACTTTTAAAAAATGATCTGCTGAACAAAATCTTCCTCAGTTGTCAAAAATTGCCACCATGGGTAGAATCCAAAGGTTTTCCTTTTTCTGACAAAAGGCCAGGCACCTTTTTGAATCCAAAGTCTGAAGTCTTATAACACGTGAAAAATTCAGAAGCAAACTTACTAATATAAGGTTCTCAATTCAGCATTTAAATCTTTGGTGGGAAGGGGGTAAATATTTGATCAAGCATGCTTTCCACGTTCCTTTATATGAAAAGTTACTGTAATTGTTTTCACAGAGTCAGTGGCAGGTTATCTTTCTAAAACGTAGTGACTAGCTTAAAAAAAAAAGATGGTTAGCCATCATATATTTCTTCTTTCATATCTGAACTTCAGGAATAAATGACTAAGCATTGCATAGTCCTGAAATCTTGATGCCTATGAGGTCTGTGTAGTTTCATATAGCCTCTGGTACCAATTCGTACTCTGCTGCTAATTAAAAAAGCATTATTTCCCTAACGTTTGATCCCTGAAGCACATGCCATTCTTACACTTAACCTTTTATTTTAGAATGTGAAAAAGTAAAAACCACCTTTCCTCTCCGAAAAAGCCCTTACCCTTATCGGTAGTGGCGCCCACCCTGTGGAAGACCCTCCCATCAGATGTTAATGAAATAAACAACTATCTGACTTTTAGAAAACATCTGAAGGCAGCCCTGTTTAGGGAAGTTATTAATGTTTGATGTTTTATTGTGTTTTAAATATTTTGTAAAAAGCCGCCCAGAGTGACTGGGGAGACCCAGCCAGATGAGTGGGGTATAAATAATAATTTCTTATTTTTATTCTTATTTCTTTCTTTCTGCTTTTCTCTGTTTTGAGTCTGCCCCCCCCGGTAGCACGGGGTGGTTGCGTTCTCGATTCATGCAAAGATGCAACAGGCAGCCTTCTCTTATTGTTTGACACTTTGGTCTCTCAGAACCCAATTAATTATTTAACTTTAATTTTATTTCTCATTACACATAGTGTGGGAAAACAGAACTGCAGGATTAATATTTGATCATAGCTTGATAATGTAGTAAAAGCATTCTGCCTTCCTGGATAAGCCTAGATTACAGAGGCAACAGGTTTTATCTACCTTAAAAACCTTGCCTTGAATTATTCACACTAACTCTTTGTTAGAGGTGTTCCCATAACAAATCTTATGGGCGGGTTGCTCCAAGTGATCCTAAGAAGATTATGTAAAAAAAATAATAAAAGAAGATTATTCTTGAAGACCATCTGCCCCCCCCAATTTTATCTACTGCTGCATTTATTTCTTTTAAAAATTGTCTGCTTTTCATCTGAAGAAGGCAGCTCATGACAAAGCAGCAAAAATAAAAAAGATCCCTGCAGTTGCCTCTATCAGATGTGAAAAAATGTAGTGATTTCATGGCAATTATACTTTCCAAGTGTTGTAGATGCAACAGTATGCGCTATTTGTGATGGCTTGATGAGACAGGGGGGATAAAGTATGAAGTAGGAGTATAGCTCTTCCAAACAGTGTCTAATAAGATAATAGTGTTTAAATCCCGTTAAAAACTGGTCGGGGAATCATTGCAAAATATTAGCACCTCCCTAATCCTTTCAAGTGAAATGATATACTTCCTTGCGTAATGTACAAAATACCGATCCACTGCCATCTCCTGTTCACTGCAATGCAAGAGGCCACCATTCTTTGTCTTTTTTTTTTACTTGAATTTTTGTAAACTGCTATGAAATCATTTGAGAAAACTCATCCTATAAAGGCTCCAAGTAAATACATGAATAGCTTGTTGTTTGTCAGTAGTGGTTCCATATGTCATGGCCCGGGACTACAATCCCTCTCACCCTTCGATGGAAAGTTCTGAAGACTCCTAGGGTGAAGAAGGTGGCGTTCCTGAATCCCCATCTAAGGCAGATAGAAAAATGACTGCCCCACTGAAGATTTTCATGTGGGAGCCCAAGGCCCCCATCCCCTTCTTGTAAGGAGATAACTCTGCCCTCATCTGAAGACTTTTTAAATCCTTGCCAGGACTACCTGCAGCCCAGGAGGACCCTCCACCATCACACCACATGCAAGGGTTGCAGAAGGCCTCCTATCCCTGCAGAAATTAGCACAGACCATATGGGCCAGACTTCACACACACACACACACACACACACACACACACACACACACACCTCTACCTTCAGAATTTAACAAATGCTGGAAGAAACTAATTTTCCTGCTTTCAGTGAGTCTGGCCCAGTCTTGAATGCACCCCACATGATCTGTCATTGGCTCTGAACATTTGCTGCCTCACCTGCACCTTGTCATACCTGGCCAAAACACTCCTGCTGGCTTCAGCCTGGAAGGAAGAGAACGTAAACTTTTGCAATGCTTTTGCTCCATGCTTCCTAAACTTAACTGACCCTTGACCATGCTTATGTGGCAATCTTCCATCTCTTTTCTTCAGATCTACTTAGGTCCGGCTTCAAAGAATAAGTGAGTGTTTCCAGATTTTTGCCTGCTTGCCTCTTTCTTTCTTTCTTTCTTTCTTTCTTTCTTTCTTTCTTTCTTATATTCCCGCTTCCTTCTTTTATTCTCTTTGAATGTTTCAGTACTTCCTATACCACACAGAGCAAGCCTCCAGAGTTTTAGTCTCAAAAATTTCATGACCAACATGAAATGTCAATGGTCCTTGAGCGAGTCCTTGCCAAATTCACTCATCCGTGGTAAATCAGAAGTGTTTGGTTCATTGATTCTTTGGCGGTCACCATCCAAACTGGGGTATTTGTTATCCCTACTCTTTTTCATTCCCACTCCCCAGTTAAACCACACTAATTTCAATAGAACTTACTTTGAAGAAAGTGAATCAAGGATTTTTAGTAGCAACATCTTTTACGTTTACTAACTCTTCATTTTTTTCATTCGTCACATCTTCCCTCAAGATGGTGCTTTAATTGTGAGGAAATCACATTTTCTGAGTACTCACAAAATATTATTTGGACCCATTTCAGTCTGGCTTTTGATTCTGTTTTAGTACTGAGAGAGCTCTGGTTAGTGAGCTATCTTGAGAGAGGAATAGGAGGCATTTGATGACCCTGTTGATCCATTCAGAGGCTTTGGTGCCATCAGCCATGGTAACCTCCTGGAGCAGGTAGAGAGTTGTAGGCACCATGATGTGGTGTTTTCAGTCAAACCTGTAGGGCTGTTATTAGACAACATCATTGGGGGACTCCTCCCTGGTCCCATAAGAGTTGTGCTGTGGATTCATATAGATTTTATTCTGTCCGCTATGTTGTTTAGCATCTATATGAAGCTGTTGTGAGCAGTCATCAGGATTTGAGGTTTTGTGCCACCATCATGGGGATTGCATTCATCTATACCAGTGATGGCCAAACATTGCCCTCCAGCTGTTTTGGGACTACAGTTCCCATCATCCCTGACCACTGGTCCTGTTAGCTAGAGATGATGGGAATTGCAGTCCCAAAACAGTCGGAGGGCCAAGTTTGGCCATCACTGATCTATGCCATCTGAACTAGATGAAACTGTGATTGTTCCTGAGCCTGGAGGTGGTAATGGGGTCAGATGAGGGCTAGTAAAATGATGCTGAATCACGGCTAGACAGAGACACAGTCACTCACCCCTTGAAAGACCAGGTTTGTAGCCTGGGGGGGGGGGAGTGCTCCTGGATCTGGCATTGTCACTTGAGCCCTTGGTGGTGTCAGTTGCAAGGGGTTCCTATTTCCAGGCTGTAGCTGATTGAGAGCAACAGCCGTTCCTGTACTAAGATAGCCTTGCCATCGTACTACATGCTCTAGGAAACTTCACACCTGGATTAGTGTGATGTGTTCTTTATGGGGCCACTCTTGAAGATGGTCCAGAAACTTCAAGGTAGCACATAAGGCAGCTGCTAGAATGCTGATAGCAACATCTGTATGGAGTCCTGTCTTCCACATGACAGGTTGCCTATGTGTTACATGGTCCAATATAAGGTGTTAATTAGCACTGACATATTTTGTAAACCGCTTTGAGGGTTTTGGGGTTTTTTTACAGTCAAGAGGTGCACAGATTTTATGAAATCAGTAATAATAAAGAAAGAAATATGGGCTTGAGACCAAGTATATAATGAAGCTCCTCTCCCCATATCAGCCAACCCAGGCCTTGAGATTGGAATAGAAGGAAGGCCCTTTTCATTATACTGACAGTGGGGATTGCTTGCTGTGTGGTGACACAGGATAGCCTTTCTTTGTAGTTTCCCCCCACTATATAATAGAATTTGCTCCCCATGAGGTGTGGCTGGCCACAACAGACTTGGACTTCTGATGCCAGGTTAAGACACAACTGTTTCTCCAGACCTTTAACAGAATTTTATCTGATTGTCCATGGCAGGGGTCAGCAGACTTTTTCAGCAGGGGGTCGGTCCACTGTCCCTCAGACCTTGTGGTGGGCCGGACTGTATTTTGAAAAAATAATAATGAACAAATTCTGATGCCCCACAAATAACTCAGAGATGGATTTTAAATAAAAGCACACATTCTACTCATGTAAAAACACTAGGCAGACCCCACAAATAACCGAGAGATGCATTGTAAATAAAAGGACAAATTCTACTCATGTAAAAACACGCTGATTCCCGGACCATCCGCGGGCCGGATTTAGAAGGCAATTGGGCCGGATCCGGCCCCTGGGCCTTAGTTTGCCTACCCATGACCCATGGTTTGGGGGCTTTTATGAACAGCTGCTACATTATTGTTCTACAGTTTGTGAGGGGTTTTAGATACGTTGATTGGCTTGTATTTATAATTTTAGCTGTCTTTTGTTGCTAGTTTCTTTAATGTTTGTAAACTCCCCTGGGATCTATGTTGATGAAGGGAAATTTTATAATTGTATAAATATGGTGTACCTTGTAGAAATGTGATACCTTCCCCAGACATTAACACTTACTGCTATTGCTGTTGTGGTTTCTGTGTGGAAATGTGGTTGCACAAGCATTCAGGACACTTAAAAGAACCTGTAATGCATAATAAATAGTGGCATGGCCAGTACCAATTGGGATTAAGTTCGTGCCGAGAAGTATTGCGCATTTGATGAAGTCCAGTGATGTATGCTACAGTGCTTCAGTTAATTGGGAGGTTGCTGCAACATGTTTGGTGTTGAAGTTACACAACAGAAAATATTTCTATAAATCCTTCATTTCTATATAGTCAAATACAGTCATACCTCGGGTTACAGACGCTTCAGGTTGCGTTTTTTCAGGTTATGGACCTGCCGAAACCCGGAAGTACCGGAACGGGTTACTTCCAGGTTTCAGCGGATGCGCAGAAGCACTAAATTGCGCTTTGCGCAGAAGCGCCGAATTGCAACCCGCGCATGCGCAGACGTGGCACTGCAGGTTGCGAACGTGCCTCCTGCACAGATCACGTTCGCAACCCAAGCGTCCACTGTATACAGTTCCTCCTTTTGTTTCTCTAATCCCTTTATCTAGCTGCCTTAAGTATAAGCCTGTTGTGATTCGTTGTTGTTGTTGTTTGTGGCACTGCAGCAGTCCTTTCTGAACCTATGGAATGAGGAGACCTCAATGGGTTACCAAGGGCCAGTCAATCACTCTCATTAATTTACCTTACAGGATTGATGGGAGGTTTAAAGTGTGTGGAGTGCCCTTTGTGCTTTCTTGATATCCTTAAAGGAAAGGGAGGGATAAAAATGTAATAATAGTATTACGTACAATAAATGAAAACCAAATGGAGCAGAATCTTTATATCCTTCCAGTGTAGATGCCGAGAGTTGCAGTGCAATAAACAATACAGCTTGGACATTGGTTTTGTTTTATTGTACATAATCCACCTTTGTTGGCGAGGAAGATCAGTCACTGAGATCGGAGGGCCCTGTAGCTTCTTATGTAGAAGACTGGCAACCCTTCCTTTACCATACTGTTCTCTTCCTTTTTTGCTTTTTCTTCAAGTGACCATAGAAATACAGCTAAGCTAAGCAAACCAAAATCCTTTCACCTATTTGCAATACATTTTTCAAAATCACTGGTACAGTAAACGGATATTTATCGTTTACTGTAAAGGAAATGGTTTCCCCGAAGGAGATCGGAAGGAACACAAATCTCTGTGGGTGAAACGCTGTGGATAAAATCATGCTTGAACACACCACAGATGTTAACCACAATAATAAACCATTTTTGCCCCACTCTCTTCCAGATTAGAGGCTGGGAGAAAGAGATGGGAACTAAATTAAATATGAGCTTTATAAATGTTTTTCAAAAGGTGCAGATTTTCTCAACCTGGGTGGCAAACTTGATATTTAAACAAATATTTTACTGTTTGTTGGAAGGGCGGTTCATGAGCATTCTTATAACATGGGAGTGTCAGAAAAATGAGACGGTTTGGATTCACAAGAGGCAGGCGTGACTTCTCAAAAGGGGGGACTTCTAAAGAGGGTTCAATCAAGCCGTAAGCTGTGTTCAGAAAATCTCTTACAGTAAAGGTCGCAAAGGGTAATACTCCAGATGTGGAAATACAGCTTTTAAAGTAACTTCATGTGTATTCAGCTTGTTTTCCAACTTGGGGCTGCAGTAGCCAGATTCAGATATGAAGCATAATTCATGAAATAAACTAACAAATGAAAAGGATTATACCCTCGATATTAGAGCATTCCAAGAAATAGCAATGGTTAATATTATTTTTGATCAGTATAAGTACGTCATGGAAATTTGGAAGTTACATTTCAGAACTGGAGCCTCTTCATAACTTTTCTTGCTACTTTTGCTTGCCTTACAACCACAAAGTTTGATACGTATTCTCTCAAATGTTTTGATGATAGATTCTGAAATTCTCTTGGTTTTGGTTTTAACCAGGGAAGTCAGTTTTTATCAAAATCATAAATTGTGTTAGTATCTAGTAAGTTGTAATAGAAAGGATGGCAAGACTCAGGTGCAAAACCACATGCCCAGGAATGCTGTAGTCAGGGCCTCAGGTGGTGGAATCCTGCAGGGGCAGGCACTCATGCCACTACCAAGGTTGCACCGTGGCAGTGGCTTCTTCTAGCAAGATTTTGCAGGAAGAAGCCACTGCTGTGCAATTCCTGGTTAAGTGAGGCTTCTGGGGAGTGTTAGAAACTCAGATCAATAAGCTAGGTGCCAAATGGCTCCCTAAACCAGGGTTATAGTTGCCGAAACGGAATGCTTAGTTGCCATTTTTGTGCCAGACCACTTGAAAACCATATTTTTCAGCACAACTTTTTGATTCCTGAAATTAATTCTGATTGTGCAGATAAAATACAATGGAATTCTACAGGATGTGTTGCTAGTGTGTGAAAACAGTCAAGATCCAAGGATCCCAAGGCATGCCACCTCCAGATGGTGGGGACATCAGGCGCCATCTCAGCGCCTGGGCATCTTCACTTGGTTGCAAGTGGCTGATAGCCAGGTGCAAAATGCACCTAGCACCTGGTGAATTTCAAGCTGCTTCTGGGGGGAAGGGGGCAGCGTGGATTTGTACCTTCCCATCTTGCCTCAGGCAGTGAACAGACTCAGCCATGCCTGGCTGTAAATGTTCCACCTTCTTTTTTAAAAAGAGCTCTGTTCTCAAGGTTGTTTTGTAATGTATTACCGTAATTAGAAACTTTGAGGAATTGTTGAATTATATATGTAAAACAGAAAAAATTAGGACACACACACACACACACACACACACACACACACCTGCCATATCTGAGCTGTAGCTCCAGAACCATATGTGATCCTCACATATTCAGGTGTGAATATGAGTGGTTAATAAGAAGAGAATTGAAATATTAAATTCCTTCGTTGACCTTGTGCGCTAGAGATGTGCTAGAGATGTTGTTCTTCCAACTGGCCATTAAGACCCAGATCTTTGTCTTATTTGCATGCTGTGTGTAAATAGAGTGAATGTTATTTGTGTGGCATGTCAGCTTGTTGCTCAAAGGGGGGCCGGGATCCAAACTTTGCACAGGATATGCCTTGGAGTTCTTTGGGAAAAGGAGATAGGGATCTCAATGGAATTTTAAGAGTAGGGGACAAGGAGACATACTAGTTATGTCTGAATAAAAATTAGTTTTCTCTTAACAGAAAAGCTAAATTCATAGGCAGACAGGTACGTCAACATTGTGGAAAAATAAAAAATAGGATCATTACCGTTCATGCTAGTGGTACCATCATCATGAGAAGGGCAGCCATCATGATGGATCCCTGGGCTGCCTTGGGATGAAGGGTGGGAGATTAATTAATTTCCTGTATTTAATTGTTTTCTGAATTGACCAGTAATATGTAAATCCTCTTCAATACAAGCAAGGTTTCAAAATGACAAGGCTGCCCTAATTCCACATTGTGCCATTTGGTTTAAGAAGTGCATTAAATGTAAGTTAAACATGCATTAAAGGGAAGTAAGCCATCCATGCAGGCAACACCTAAGCACACAATCCCAGATTCTAACAACCTTTCTTTCTTTTTTTAACATGAAAAACAAAAGTTCAGGCCAGATGTCCCCAATCTATTTTTGGCTGGTGGGAGATTTTTTTCATTTTTTTTTCATGAGGTCATGGCTGATAACAAAGAACGGCTGATAACTGAAACTATTTTTTCCTGTGTTGGGAGATTATTAAGAAGAAACAAAAAAAAAGAGGCAAAATCTCCAAGGACAAGAACCTGATACAAAGTCATCATTCCACGTGAAACCAGATAGCATGCGATGCTGTGCTTCCGCACTCAGCCTCTTGCTTGTTTATACAGGTGTCTGTGGAGGAATGTGGGCACTTCAGCTGAACCAATGAAAGCTGATAAGCTAATGGCCCTCTCTCTCCCTTTCTTGAGACTGAAGCATCTCTATCAACCTTCATCTGTTTAAATCTGCAGCTATCGTCCTCATCCCTCCCCCCCAGCCCCATGTGTGTTAACCCTGGAAAATAAGGTTTGTAACTATTCTTGGCATTACCACTTCTGGATTAAAACTGTTCTCCCTTTTATGGGGAGCTGTTTTTTTCTCCTTGACACTACTTCGCACCCCCCACCCACCCCCCAAAAAGCGGAGAGGAATCAGCAATATACATCACACAACTGTTTATATTTAACTGACCTTATTTCATTAAATACACTTTCCGGGTACATTATCATTTGTTTTTAATGAATAACTAAATTGTTTTCGCAATTGAGCCCTTATTTAAACCAAAGGCTTTCAAAATATGTCTTTTTTTTTTAAACTAAGTAGTTGGAGGCTGTACGTAGTGTCGCATAGAGCAAGATAAAGAGTATGAGTTGGAAGACACGATAGAAGTTGTCATGTGGTTGCCCTGTAGACCATTTTGTACCATTAAGCTGGCATTAATTTATCCTCCTTAACAGATGGTCACTGTTCATATTTTTCAAAGAGTTGTATTCCGCTTGTCCTAATGCGTCTCAGTAAATCCGTGACTGAGCAGGCATGTAACCCTGGGCCCTTCCACACCTAAGAGCAACTTTTTTTTGTCTTTTATCAAACAAGAGAATCTGCTGGGAAGAAACAATAATATATGAACTTCCATTTTGTTTGGCTGCTCTGTGTGTGGTCCACCCAGAAGTACTGAGAAGGCATAATCAGTCTGCATATTGGCACTGCTGATCTTGAAACTTAACCCTGTTGTACTTTCAACTGAGCACTGAGGACAACCTATTAAAAGTTAATATTTAGTTCTAATGCAGTTTCTTTCAGAACAAATACTTGTAGGGGGGGCTGTAGCATTATAGAAAGGTGCTGATTAAATTTTACTTTAAAGGCTTACTCTTGTATGGATTTTCTTCTTAAGTAGGGGTAGACATATATGTGGAATTTGAAGCCAAAAAAAGGACATTGATAGCTATGTGTGTTGACTGCTTTCTTCCTCCAACATCCTTCCTGAACAGTTCAGTTTGGGACATGATAATTCAACACAGGATGTTGTTGGGAAGGCTTTGGGCAGCAATCCTATGGAGATATACAGAAGGCATTACATATGCTTAGCTTGTAGAAGACTACAGGAAATACGTTGACAATTTTTGGCGGAGGAAAAAAACCACATTTCTTAACCTTTCTCTTGTGGACAGGATTATTTTTTTTATTTTTTATTTAAATACAGAATGGTTTAAACATTAGCTAGACAAGCTCAGTCACTAGAGCATGAAACTCTTGATGTGAAGGTCATGGGTTCGAGTGAAATATTTCCTGCATTGCAGGGGGTTTGACTAAATGACCCCCATGGCCCCTTCCAACTCTACACAAGTCAAAACAATTATGTAAGGGAGGTGAAAATTCTGAATATACAGCTAAATCAAAGGAGCAGGAACCAATTTCTGTATGATAGGCTTTTGTCTGACACTAATGCTTCACGTTTTCAAGCAAACCTGCTGAAACTCCACATTCTGTTGTAAATCAAAATGGGTTCCAGTTCTTTCTTTCCTGTTTTCCCTCTTTGCCATCACGTGTTCTCTCTGTGTGTATTTGGTAAATATGAAGAAATAGAAAAATATTTTCCCTTTCCTGAGACATTTATATTTTCCTTTAAAGCTCCCCCCCAGGAGTTGTGCAATAGTTTTCATGAAGGTGTTTGGCAACAGAGAAATCTTCTCTTTCCTTTTGGGCGAAGTGTACATTATAAACAGTAATCTGATATGGCAAAGGATATACATGCCTGGAGTAGAAAATAATCAGAAGCAATAGAAAAAATGTAATGAGTTAAAACAGGGCAAGAAATAGTAGGTAATGGGTGAATATGCCCATTGCATTCCTTCCTTGCAATGAAGATTTCCTCAGAGATTTGATAACTTAAATGATTTCATTGTTAATTCAAGGAGACTGCATTTCTTCCCACAAAGTATGCTTGTATTTGGACTTTCCAACATCCAGCCTAATCTTTTGTAAATCTTTTAAAATCAACATTTCTTTAAAAGCCATCAGACTTTTTTTATTTAAAATGCATTTTAGCCCTTAAAAAATAATGGTTGCCCCACTTCTCTTTATTTAGTAGCATTGGGGGGAAATGCTTCTGAGCCCAGGGAATGCTTATTTGTACCCTTGCGTTGTGCTTTGTACTTGAGCAGATGCCTGTAGGGTATGTGATATGTGGAATGTGTTGTGTCCCCACCCCCTGCTGAAAGAAAAATGCTTGGAGGGGGGTAACTGAACCCTCTGCAATCAGTGTGCTGCCAACCTTAAAGAAAAAAACAAAACAAATAGCCTCTCCTGGGGAAACAATGAAGATTCCTTGCAGGCCTGATTCTTGTTAGAGAAACTCTTGTCTTAAAGGCTGGGCGGTTTGATTCTTGACATAGAGAAAGCCTGTCTCTGCTGGTAATTGTTTTGCCCTTCCAGCTGCATTTGCGCTTTGCCATGGGTTGAGGCGAACAACTGTGTGTTATTTTGTGTGTGTTATGTTTGTGGGTTGAATTCCGAGCTCCTGATCCTCTTTAAGACTTTGGAAGGACAAAACAATATGAAACTTCTGCTTCTCCTTTTTTCTCTTTCCACCTCGAGGATGTTTGCAGTTCCCATTTCCTCCAGTATTTTTCAGATGTGTTTTTCATTATTTGCATAGTATACCTGGTCACACCCTTGTACTTAAGGAATTCTTTATAAAGAAGTAATATAGAACAGAAAATTTCAGTTTAGCAGTTTTGCACAAATTTCATTAGTTCCAAGGGGACTGAATTCCAAGTTCTCCTTTGGCCTTTAAAACCTGAAAGGTTTGTAAACAAGTTACCTTGAGGACTCCCTTTCTCCCATAATTGCTGTCCAAGAAGCAGTGCCTACATGAGAACAGGGTCTTCACAGTGGTGGCACTTGAACTGCAAGTTCCTTCCAAAGGAGACTTGTTTGATTTCCTCACTATTAGAAGTTAGGCAGCATTTTAAAAAGTTGCTGCTTTGGGGTCAAATTGAATTTGTTGTTTTGTTCAGTGCTTTGGCTGCCCCTTGTCACTTCCTTGGCTTTTATATACAAATTTTACTGTTTTATTCTTTTTTAATTTCTTGGTTTGTGACGCTGTTAGCCCTGTTATCAGTCCCTGTGGGGTAGAGAGGTGAAATATAAACCATTTTAGAGTAAGCAGCTTCTCTCTTTTAACTTCAAACTTATTTTTATTTTTCAGATCGAAGAAGGCAGCAAAGCTGCAGCTGCTGACAAGCTGCTGGCTGGGGATGAAATTGTCAGCATTAATGACGTGGACCTCTCTGGGTTCAGGCAAGAAGCCATCTGCCTGGTGAAAGGTTCGCACAAGTCGCTAAAGCTCGTAGTGAAAAGGTAAGGTTTGTGATTCACCACGACAGAGACTAAAGTTCGTTCTTGATATCGTCAACTTGCTGACTGAGAACTAGACACAAGTCTCTCCTTTTCACTTTTCAAAATCTCATCTGAGTTACCGTATTTTTCGCCCTATAGGACGCACTTTTTCCCCTCCAAAAATGAAGGGGAAATCTGTGTGCGTCCTATGGGGCGAATACAGGCTTTCGCTGAAGCTTGGAGAGCGAGAGGGGTCGGTGCCCTGAAGCAGAGCGCCCCGTGCGCCGGGCAGACATCGGCCAGCCCCAGAAGCTCGGGGGACAGCGGGGAGGCGCAGCGCCGCCATCCCGCTGTTCCCCGACCTGGTTTTGGGGGGGGAAATAAAGGAAAAAAAATTTCGTTTATTTCCCCCCCAAAAAATTAGGTGCGTCCTATGGGACGGAGCGTCCTATGGGACGAAAAATACGGTAATTGGGTTTGGTTTTCCCCAAAAAATAACTTCACATGGTATATTATTGTTTGTTGTTGAATGGTTAATTCCCATTCAGTTTTAACTAGGACCGATGGTCTGGAGAAACGGAATGTTTTTCAGGTTTCTGTTAGCACTTCTTAGCCCAAGTAATCTATGAAGTAAAATGCTGCCTTGTGCATATTTTAAGTCACCTCAGCTCATGTTGAGGCACCCCCTTGGAAGCACGCACAATTCATAGGCTTTGGGCATACCTCTGTAAACATCCTCTGGTTTAAAAGAAGTGATATACAAGTAACCAAGCTGCACAAATCCTTTTCAGACTTCTCAGAACTGCCTTGTTGTAGGGTGACATGGCAAGCAATCAGCGAAGGCTAGCTTATTCTCAGTGTTCCCACAGGCTCACATAGTCACATGAAGAGATTCTGAGTAGCATGGAAAAAATACTTGCCAATCACTAAAGAAGGCTATGGAGTCTACAGAGCCCATCACAGCAACAGACCTCAACCTTACAGCCTCTGGCTCACGTTCTGTATTAGGTCCTATTTCACCATGTGCCTGCTCTTAAACCGTCAGTCGATCCGTACCTTTGTCCCACGTGGGTTCACACTTTGTTCACTGTTGGCCATGCTGACTGGGGCTGATAGAATTCAACAATATCTTGAGCACGCTGTGTAAGCTGCCTCTGCTTAAGATACAATCTGTGGGGCTAAATTAAGAGGCTATTGAATAACTGCAAGGTGCTCTCCACTGCTGGTGCCGGATCTCAATGAAAATACGATACAGTCGTACCTTGGATCCCGAACGCCTTGCGAGTCAAACGTTTTGGCTCCCAAACACCAAAAACACAGAAGTGAGTGTTCCGGTTTGCGAACGTTCTTTGGAACCCGAACGTCCGACGCAGCTTCCGCTTGACTGCAGAAGCCTTGGTTTCCGAATGGTTTGGAAGTCGAACGGACTTCCAGAACGGATTCCATTTGACTTCCAAGGTACCACTGTATATGCATTTTCTTCAGAGAACTGTAATCATCATGCAACAACTGTTTTTTTGTGTGTGTGTGTTTGTTTTTTGTTTTTGCAAAACATTGTTGGATAAGAGAAGCTGGGAAAGGTCTCTGACAAGGTGGATTTGATTTAAATCAAATTGATTTACATCACGATTTAAATCACAAGTCAGTAAGACTTGATTTAAATCACAAGTGAGTAAGACTTGATTTAAATCATTTTTTTACAGAAGGACTCATTCTTGCTGGTATAATCTTAATATTTACAACCAGATGAACGTTTCATTTTTGGAATAATAAATTTTCAGAGTAGCTTTTACAGTTATATCAAAAATTACTGATTTGGTTATAGTATTAGAAATACATAGAGAGATAATTGTGAAATTATTGTGAGGTTTAGTAAGTTAACTGTTTATATTTGGACAACTTTTCTGCTATACGTACTTTATTGGTAGGAGAAAAATAATCATTTCCTTAATAAAATTTTAAACTGTTTAACTAAAGCAATAACATTATAGCATATGTATCCATGTTTGTTAACTGATGTGGTTAAACTTTTTTAAAAAAACAACAACCAACAACTTAGACTGAGTTTTAGCATGCATGAAAAACTTAAAACAAATCCTTGTTTCCTGATAAATAGCCTTTGGACTATAATGTAACCTAAATAGATAACTATCTTTAGCAATATTTTTCCTCCAAAAGCATTTTATTTTAAAATTCCAATTTAAATTTTTTTTTAAATGATATATTTTTTTAATCATTGGTTTTTATCTACCCTGCTCCCTGATACTATAACCTGATGATAACTATTTACAGTGGTGCCCCGCAAGACGAATGCTTCGCAAGACGAAAAGCTCGCTAGACGAAAGGGTTTTTCGTTTTTTGAGGTGCTTCGCAAGACGAATTTCCCTATGGGCTTGCTTCGCAAGACGAAACGTCTTGCGAGTTCTTGTGAGTTTGTTTCCTTTTTCTTAAAGCCGCTAAGCCGTTAATAGCCGCTAAGCTGCTAATAGCCGTGCTTCGCAAGACGAAAAACCGCAAGACGAAGAGACTCGCGGAACGGATTAATTTCGTCTTGCGAGGCACCAGTGTAATGCCAACAATTGTACAGTATAACCATTCAGTGGCTGCATTTTCACTTAACACTAAACCAGGGATGAACAACCTTTTTCTGATTTGTAATGTGATTGAATGTCATTCATTTCTGACATAACTGTGCTACACACACACACACATGGCAGAAGCCTGCCCATTTGTTCTCAGGAAGTTGGGGAAATAACTTCTTTTCACCAAGCATCAAAACAAGGGGGGGAAAAGTTAGAAGTGAAATAGAAAGTGGGAGAAAACACCTTTAAACCATGAAGAATAAGGAAGAAATGAAGGGGAAGAACTCTGGTAGGGTGGGGAAATGGAGAATCCTCATGAATTTGCCCACCTATGCTCTAAAATATAATTTAGCATTATATGGATGAGCATCCACAAACTGATGCAAAGCATTGGTCTTGTTCACATCCCTTTCCTTCTCCAAGACTTCTGCCAAGTTTAATTTTGCTTTCAAATAATCTTAGTGTTAAGATCATGATTGAATACAAGCAATCATGCTGAAGAAGCCAACTTCAAACCATGGGCTATGAAATTGGCTTGTTTTAGCTAACTGTGGTTTACTTCATCTGGGTTCATAGAAGCTCATCTACGTACTACCAAACCTCTGTTTAGTGTTACATGTGATCCAGGCAAAAGGGTCTTACAAGCTTTTGATATGTATAAGATATATGTCCAATATCGTTATTTTTGTATTACCTGATATGTGTCGGCATTTGGCCCCGTTAGAGAATATATCAACTACAGTGGTACCTTGGTTCTTGGACGTAAAATGTAATCCGTTCTAGAAGTCTGTTCGACTTCTGAAACATTCAAAGACCAAAGCACAGCTTCCGATAGGCGCAGGCGCCCTGGAAACAACAGCCAACAACCACATCGGACGTTCAGGTTCTGAAAAACGTTTGAAAACCAGAACACTTACTTCCAAGTTTTCGGTGTTCGGGAGCCAAAATGTTCGAGTACCAAGGTTCCACTGTATTTAGACGAATCTCCCCCTGAGCATCTTGAAAAGACTCACATCTTCATAACAGAACTTTAGTTTTCAAGCATCTTTAATTTTCTCACTTCAGAAAATTGCACAACACGGAGGTGCAAACCAGGAACCTTTACATCACAGAACTGACTACTTTTATGCTGCTTAGCTATCCAGTTTCACTAGCTTAATGTTAAGATGGATATTGTTCTGGATGCATATCAGTAATGCTTAATTGATGTACTATGCTCATTTATCCTCAGTCACCATCTGTAACAAAAAATAATGGCAGAAATGAAAGAGATCACTGAGATTCCTAGAGACAACAACCTGCTTATTTCTCATGTTTGCTCTGGGAGAAAATATTACAAGTCGTTAATAATTCTTTAAAAATAGTTTTGGTGTGGATTGGCACACAAAATAAAGAAAGCAGATGGCACTATAACCCAGATAATGTGAATAGTTTCAGGGAGTTCTACCAAAAGTTATATAGCCCAGGAACCAATAAATTATATCAAAACCCCATCTGGAATATATTATAATTCATATCTACTTGATCTTACATTGGCTTCTACTTTGGGCAGGGAGGAAAGAACATTTAATACACAATCTATGTTCTAAGCAATGGAGCAATCTTCATGATCTGTTTATTTGGAGCCCTTTAAATTTTCAGACATTCCACAACATAACTCATTGCTTAGCAAACTATCAGCTTTAAGGTAGCTTCCCTTTAGGTTTCCAGACATTACTCTCCTTTAGATATGCAGACGTTCATAACTTAGGAAAGTTAGTCATGTTTAGATATTCTACATAAATCTGCTTCTGGGCACTGAGTTAATGCTTCTCGCTGGCAAAATATTCTAGCCCTATTCTCCATTACTGTGGCCGTGAAGATGTCAAAATCCATGTGGGGAATATTAGAAAAGGGGTTTAAAATAAAACTGCCAGTATAATAATGTAGAATACTCTTGTGCTCAGGTCCTGCTTGTGTGTTTCCCACAGGCAACTGATTGGCCTGATCCTGCAGTCTCTTCTTCTGTACATATGAACCATGATAGTTGCTTCGCCAAACACATAATTACTTGCTGCTGCTATCATGGACAGCCATGTGCGAACACATTCTTAGTGCTGTACATTACAAGGGATGTTTAGGCACAGTGAAGTGATAAGTTCCCATACTCCTTGGTCTAAAATCTTTGCAGCCTAAATGTACTTTTCTCTGCTCAGTTTGTTGTTGAAACAACAAATGTTAGTCACATGCAGTATATAATAATTTATCTCATAAGGTCGCAGTGTTCTATCTCTGTCCAGCTGTATCTCACTGAAAATGGTCTGCCCCATTAACTTGTGATGGAATGCTAGTCTTTTCCTAGTAGTTGGCTGTTCTTTGACCATGTTCTCTGGGTGTCAAGCCACAGCTGGATGCTTTCTACCTCTTTGCAACACATTTAGTTAACTGTCATCCACAACTTGGAGTAACTGGAGAAATTAACTCGAACCTTCTGGAAAAGGAGCTAGAATTCAGTTTGAGTTACATGTGTGTTTAGCGACTTGCAAGAGCTGAAGCAGCTGAAGTTTTGTTCATCATATTTTCCCTATGCCCATCTCTCCTCCCTCCTCCCTGTTCTTTTCTTCTCTTTCTGTCAGTAGCCTGGTTCACACTTCATAAGCCATAGTCTGAAACAAACCTATGCCGTACAAGCTGTGTGCTATTGCATGTTGCTCAAATCATGCCTGCCCCACTCCATCCTTTCCTAAGCTGGAAAGGAAGAAGCCCTGGAACCAGCATTCGTGGTTTGTTACTCTAACAAACTGACATGCTCCTTCTTCATGATAAGACATTTCAGACTGTGGTTTACTGTGACATGTGAACAAGACAAATATGTAGACAATTAAGAATCAGGTTAAAAAAATAACACCCAAGCAGAAAAAGCACTTGAGGAACTGCATTTTTCAATTCTTCCCCTTATGAAAAAATACTTGTGGGCAAAGCTAGACTAAAGTTCCCGGTGCCTTAATTTCCGGTTTTCCCTGTCTCTGTCACTGGGTCACTGACTCATACGCTCTCTTACCTACATTTGGAAGATGAGGAAGGGTGGGGAAGGGATTGCACCATAGGTTGTTAAAAAAATAAATAAATGAGTGTTGTCTGTAAGGCACTGTTTCAGCAAACCCTGTTCAGTATTTCCTTCCTGTTCAGTATTTTCTTCAGGGATAAGCATCTTGCTTCTGCACTGATCGTCAAATAATATTTTCGTCACTTTCCTTTGAATCAAGCTCAGCAAAGGTTATTTGGGGAGACGCTAGAACTCTCCTGTGTTGATTTTATTTCTAGAATGGATGTGCTTCCTTCTATAATGGGCAAAGGCATATGGAGAAATAAGTAGATGGCCCTGTTGTGCTAGTGCTATTTAGCAGGAAACTTTTTAGGAGGGAGGAACTACTCCTGTTCTTTCTTTAACCAAAGAAAGCTTGCCATCAAAGCCTAAAACCCTACATACTTTTTTAAAAAAACCAAAGAATTGTACTACCATATATTTAGCTGTTTTGACCCATTGAAGCATGAATTTGGTGTTGTGCATGCCACCTGTGGCAATTCAGTTATTTGGTCATGATGGCAACTGACAGATCTGCAGTTGTAGATCATGCACTCTCACTTCCAATCCTAGATGTGTGGTCATCTCCTTGCCATCAACCATGGTTTGTTCCAGCAGAAATGTCGCACTGCACCATGGTTAAAGCAAACTATGGAAATCCACGATTATGTGACATGCTCTCAGTTCCCTTAACCATGGTTAGGATATCAGAAATGTTCAAAGGCAGGCCTGAATCCCATTCTGAATTGAGGGGTAGAAAGATTTTCAAATGGCAGTATAGGCCAAATAAGTCTGAAGGGTGAAACACATTCCTTAAATATTTGGGCCACTTTCCCCCCTTAATGCTGCTGGTTCTGGCTTTGTGAACACCCAGTATAAGGCCAAATCACCCAAGTATGCTGAGGATTACAGGTCATAGCTGTCAACTTATAGATTTGAAAATAAGGGACCAGCAGCCTTGAAAATAAGGGACCAGCAACCAAAATAAGGGACCTGCAGCCTCACCTGTTCTAGGCACTCCAGTCTTCCTGTCCTCCTGCAGTCTGGTCAAACTCATGCTGGTAGCTTCGAGAACACTGTCCAACCAACTTTGTAACCAGAGGTTCAACTGAATAGAATCTGAATCACATGCACCACAAGGCCTATGCAGCCTCAACTTAAGATGGCTCCCCGGCCTGGCTTTGCACTGCAAAGTTTGCAGCAGCACGTGTAACAAAATGGCGTCCAGCATTCAAAAAACCCCTCAGCTTGCATTAACTAGCCACACACACACAGCCTCCCCCCCCCCACGAGATCTCCTTTCCTTTTCCCCCACCATGTGCCCCTGCTCCAGACAGACCTTTTCGCTGGCAAGGGTGAGTGGGCCGTCTATGACGGCCGATTCTGATCCGAGCACTCAGCACAGGTATGTTCAACTTCTGAGCCCCTCTGAGCCAAAGGCAGAAAGCCCAGCCAGCAGGCTAACGAAGCCTCAAGGAAAACCACCGTCACCTCTCTGCTGGGAAGCGCTGAGCAAAGGCGAGTCCCCAGGGAACGCAGCTGATTTGATCAGCACAAGGCATGCAAGCTCCACCCCCAGTCGCTCTTAGACTTCTTATTGGGTGAGCAGCACAGCCAAGCAGGGAGGGAGGGAGAGGAGCTGCTTCCTTTGAAATTTAAGGGACATTTAAGGGACATCCATCAATAAGGGACAGCAGCGGGACATGGCGCTGGAATAAGGGACTGTCCCTTCAAATAAGGGACACTTGACAGCTATGCTACAGGTGGGGAGAGTGCTATTGCAACCATAGTCCTGCTTAGGGACTCCCCAAAGGTTGGCCAATGTGAGAGTGAGATGCTAGTTGGACCTTTGGCCTGATCTAGCAGGACTCTTGTTTTGCTATTACAAGTGCTTGAGGTAGAAAGGGAAGCAAAACCAGCTATCTACAGTGCCATCTACTGGCACGATTTTTGCCAGGTATACTTTGGCTAGACTTAGAACCACTGGAGGTAAATTTTAAAAAACCCAGCACACATTAAATCATACTTAGCTAGTATGATTTAGGAGTTAGTATGCTTTTTATCCAACAGAATAAATTGACCAGGATTTTTTTTTTTAAAAAAAATAAAGCATCACAAATAGAAAGATGGGAGAAAAATTAAAAAGAAACTTCAAAGTTTCAACCCTATCCTCACTTAATTTGTAAGCCCCGTTGAATTCAGTGGGGCATATCTTTCAGGCAGCATGTAGGGGATTGCAATGTAAGGTTTCCGCCTGCATAACAAATTTTAATAATGCCAGAATCCACAGCTGAGGATTGCCTTTATTAGGACCAAGCGGAATCTCACAAGATATTGGCAAGCTTTTGAATTCTTCAAAACTCTTTATCAGGAAAGATGTTAAACAAAGGAAGGTTGCCACTATTTTTGTGACATTTCGGTTGGTACTAATGAAACTGCTGCCCAACTGTGGACACCAGGCGAAAATGTTTCTCTTCAACCAGTTGTTTGGCTGATTAACATTCTTTTTTTTTTTTTTTTTTATTAAATATTTTATTAAGGATTTTCTTGTTTTACAGAAGTAAGTGTACTGCCTCATTCTGTGGCCTTTAAAATGTGGGGAGAGGTGGGTTATTGGTTTGTTTGCTTTTGTTTCTGCTTTATTATGTATTTTGCACTTTCATTATATATATATTTTATGTTGTGAACTGCCCTGTGATCTTCAGATGGAGGACGATATACAAATTAATTAAATAAACAAACAAACAAATTAAGCCATAATCTGGTTTAACATGTTGAGTTAAACGGGTTTATCTGTTACAGGAGTTGATGCTAATGATTGCATGGCAATTTGTGGTAATTAGTTGCATTGATGATTTCACTTTTGTTGGGTAGCAACATTATAGGAAATGTTTTCCTGTGTTCCACCATATTGCTGATAACTATTGTGGTGCTTTGTTGTGTATGAACTGCTTAATATTTGTTCTGAATCTCTAATGTCACAAGTCATTGAAATACGTGCACACAGACATTAACAGAGTGGGATATCTGATGTCTAGAACACAAAGTCTCCTGTTTGCAGGCTGCAATTCCCAGATGTTGTGTTCTTTAAAGCCTATTGATGTGTTTTCATTCAGGCACTTTGGGGAGACATGCTGACTTTGAGTTAAATATGATTCCATGATTCTATGTGCCTACGTGTTTTAAATGAAAGTGTCATGTGGTGCTGAACTTCCTTTCTGTTTTTCATTTGGATGCTAATGGAATGGTAGTGCATTTGAAAAAAACCAAATAGTGTAAACAGTGGAGGCCAGTGCTTCATTTATTGGTTGAGCCCATCTGTGTATTTGAATAATACATGGAGACAACAGTATTGATTTCTGCTTTTATGTTCGCTGGAACCATGCATGTTAATTTGATGTCTTGATAAAATTGTAGGAAATACTGTTAATCTAAAAAGCATGGAAGCCTTGTCTTTTCTTTTGGAGTCTTTCAGAGTGTGTACTCTATGTTTTGTGCTTGTTGTAGTAGTAAAAGAAGATCAAAGATAAGCCAGCATCGTCTGGGTAATTGTAAGCTGCATTAATCAACCAAGTGGCTAATTTGATGCGTATGTTTGGGTGTAGGGGATCCTCATTCAGCGCTGGTTAAATTACATGAATGGCCTTCAGAGTTATTGCAGCTCTGAGCTATTGTTTCTGTAGGTCACACTATTTTGTATTGCATACAAATGCATATCAGTTCTTTTATGTTACATAAATCCACCAGATTCAACTCTCTTGTAAAGCCCTAATACTTGCACTTGCCACTGTTCAGTGATATACATTTACAAAGAACTATTTTGGTACCACATTGTGGCTATTTCAGGGATTGATACTTATATAGAAATACTTACTGTCAAAATAAAAACAAGACTGCTGATACGTTTTTATCTTCAGTAACCTGGAAAGTAAATAGCAAAATTTTGCTAATGTTAGCAAAAAAGGTTTTGCCAGTTCAAAAGATAGCAATGATCATTTACAGACCCTCCAAGTGTCCCTACTTTCCAGTGACAGCCTCAGATTTGAAGATGTCCCGGTTTCTGATTTCATCCCAGAATGCCCCACTTTGCCTTAGGATGTCCCTATTTTCATTGGAGAAATGTTGGGGGGTATGGAGTTATGTTTGTTAAAAATAGTACCAGCTTCACTACAAGCTTCACAACCATAAGTAAAACTATTACTAATTTCATTGTCTGGTAAGCAACTTGTTTAAATTTTATTGTGAAAGTTTGCTTCTAAGTGTTCATGATAGGGGGTGAAGATGCGGTGAAACCGACACATCAGAAGGCTTACAACCTTAAATGATACAATTATCGCATGTCAAACTATGCAAGACACCATACACTACATTGAACAGCTTTTAAAAAGGAAGTGGGCATGGGTCCCCCAATGTGGATGAGGACCATGGCATGAGGACAGAGGGGTTTTAAAACTTTAACCATATTATGCAGCCCGTATTAAAGCCCCTGCAACTGCTATTTGCCTTGAGAGAAAAGTTCTCATTTTACACCGGTATGATTATTTCACCTATACTATTTGTACGGTGCAAGAAATAGTGGTAAGAAGTGGTGATGCTTTCTCTTGGCAAACACGTACACACAAATTGAAAGCCCAATTTGAGCTGCTCATTTTATTATAACTAGGAAGTGCATCATAGTGGAAAGCACATTTCTTTGATTACCCTTATATTAACTGTGGCTTAGTCATGTTTCTCAAGAGGAAGTTAGAGGGAAGGTCAAGGTTAGCAAATGTGAGATCATACTAATTCCAGCCTTTCCATGATTGTTTTTATTTTATACAGGTTTTCAGGGTGTGCAGAAGTACCAGATATATGTTAAGTCAGAAGAATGTAGCTGAACTGGCCAGGGTTGATGCTCTGCAGCCTCTTTGTTATGGGAGATGGTGCCTCATGGGAGGGGAAACCCTGATAGGCAACCAACAAATACAGATAAATAATAAATCTTCTCTGGCAGCCCATTGCTTCTTGTGTAAGGAGCAAGTCATAACTCGGTCAGGGTGACACAGGATTTCAGGAGCTATAAGAAAGGACATGGTTGTTGTATTTTCTTCCTCCTACACACAATATTCAAATAGAACGCAGTGTGTAATTTATATAATTATTCATTGGTTATTTTCTTTAGGAATGTACACTTTGGAGGATCATTGTCAAGACATCTCGAGTATATTCAGCTCATATGATACCAACATACAAGTCAAGCTCACCGTGTTTATAGAGCTCTTTAAGGAAAGGGATGGGGAGACAGTGGGCCTGATATTTTGGTGAAAGTTCCTGCCTAGAAATTGAAAGTGCTCTCTGCTGTTGTGATCAACCTGCTGTTGATTGCAGGTTGTTGGTGACATGGTTATAGGATTTGGTGACAGCCAGTGTGTTGCAGTGTCTAGACTCGCATCAAGGTCAAAATCCCGCTTAGGCATGAAGTTCACTAGTGGATTTTGGACCTTAGTTTAACCTATCACACAGGTTATAAGGAGGGTAAAACTGGAGTGGAGCAGAGAACCATGTATAACTTTCCTTTGTCAGGAGGAAAAGCACAGTGGTACCTCGGGTTAAGTACTTAATTCGTTCCAGAGGTCCGTTCTTAACCTGAAACTGTTCTTAACCTGAAGCACCACTTTAGCTAATGGGGCCTCCTGCTGCCGCCACGCCGCCAGGGCACGATTTTTGTTCTCATCCTGAAGCAAAGTTCTTAACCTGAAGCACTATTTCTGGGTTAGCGGAGTCTGTAACCTGAAGCGTATGTAACCTGAAGCGTATGTAACCTGAGGTACAACTGTAATATTCACAGGTTTGCCACTGAGAAGATTCCCTTTCTTCGAGAAGGGATGCCCAAGTAGCAGTGATGAGTGACATAACTTCTAAGCATATTTCCATAAAACTGTATGGGTTTCCATTTCCCCCCTCCCTTTCTGTTCCTGTGCAGTGAGTAAATATTGACCATTTGGTAAGATATCAAGGCGGCTATCAGTGTACAACTGTCACATAACTCTAACCCTCACATATGGGGAGCGGGTGGCGCCGTGGTCTAAACCACTGAGCCTCTTAGCCTCGCCGATCGGAAGATTGGCGGTTTGAATCCCTGCAACAGGGTGAGCTCCCGTTACTCTGTCCCAGCTTCTGCCAACCTAGCAGTTCGAAAGCACACCAGTGCAAGTAGATAAATAGGTACGACTGTGGCAGGAAGGTAAAAGGTGTTTCCGAGCGCTCTGGCTTCTGCCACGGTGTCCAGTTGCACCAGAAGCAACTTAGTTATGCTGGCCATATTACCCAGAAAGCGGTCTGTGGACAAACGCCGGCTCCCTCGGCCTGAAAGCAAGATGAGGGCCGAACCCCATAGTCACCTTTGACTGGATTTAACCGTCCAGGGGTCCTTTACCTTTATATCTCACGTTCATGTGGCCTAAACCTCTGCTTGGGGATCACGTGAGGTGATCTGAATTAAACTCAGACAGTACAGTACTGAGGTGATGAGGCATGGGAGGCCTTGAGAGAAGATAGGACAACCACTATGTTCCCTGGCTTAAAAACTTTTTTTTTTTAAAGGAATTTGGTAGAGAGTTGCTTTTGTTTTTGTAAGGCATTCAAAGCCAACAGTCACAAACAAAACAGGTGGTTTGGAAGGCTGTTGAACTGAAGGGGGGGTGGTTAAGTAGAAACAATGGATTTTCCAATCCTGGGACTTTGTGCTGGTGAAGTATGTGGAGAATTTCAGCCAGTTCTTGTAAAGGAGGTTTTTCCTGGAAGTCAGTGGCACTACTTGTGCAAAGTGTTTCAAAGAAGGTGTGGCAAGAGCTGAAATAGATAAAATATGTAGTAATAAAGATCTGGACTCCCCCCCTGCTCCCCTTGATCATAATTTATAGTGAGGAAATTTTGTGATTGGAAGGGAACGAGAATATTATACTCCTATTTTGAGACTAATGTTTTTACATTTTTAAGATTCATATTTATCTTGATTTGTTTTGTTTTTTTAAATAGTGTGCCAAAAATCTAGAGAGTTTGGTTGTCTGCACATGTCTTTCTTTCACATTTTCACATGTTTTATAGTTCAGGGTTAAAATTGTTCCTCCCTGCTTGGTGTACCTCACTTTAAAATGGCCAAATGATGTGTTCCAGACTTAAAGTAAAAAGCCTTCTTAACGTCACTTCTTAAAATGCTTTTCAATTTATTACATATGTTATTTTCTGAAGTCTTGCAAAACCCTACCTCAGAAAACTCAGTCCTTTGCTTCACATGCCCTCTAGTGGAAATTGTGTTCCCTGACTCAACTGATTTTAAGTACAGCTGACAAATAAATTGCATGCTGTACTAGATAAAAGAAATAAAATCGGGTTCAACCGTGTATTCACTGTGGCCTAAAAGCTGTATAGGGTTTCATGGTGGCCTTTAAAAAAAAAAAAAGAGAGAGAGAGAGGGAGGGAGAGGGGGAAAAAAACTAAGGACGATGGTTGGCTGAACGGTGATCCAGACATTTATTCAGTTCTGTTGTTGCTGTGCCTATATAGCTCCTAAGTAATGTATCAGGAAAAATACATAAACTAACTGTGAATAGTAAGTGGAGAGGGGGTAATTCTCCCCATGTGCATCAGTAGATGGGAGCTAATTCCTGTGCTCCTTGCATATTATCCATACAAATTACATACAGGCCCAGAGTTCTCAGCAGAACTGCTCATTTGTACAAATAATTATAATTTTATTATTTATACTCCGCCCATCTGGCGCGGTCGCCCCAACCACTCTGGGCAGCTTCCAACACATATGAAAACATTATAAAGGATCAAACATAAAAAAATTCCCTGATACAGGGCCACCTTCAGATTTCTTCTAAAAGTTGTGTACAATCGTACCTCGGGTTAAGTACTTAATTTGTTCCGGAGGTCCATTCATAACCTGAAGCACCACTTTAGCTAATGGGGCCTCCTGCCGCCGCACCGCCGGAGCACGATTTCTGTTCTCATCCTGAAGCAAAGTTCTTAACCTGAAGCACTATTTCTGGGTTAGCGGAGTCTGTAACCTGAAGCGTATGTAAACTGAACCATATGTAACCTGAGGTACCACTGTAGTTCTTTATCTTCTTGACTTCTGATGGGAGGGAATTGCACAGGGAGGGCGCCACTGCCGAGAAAGCCCTCTACCTGGTTCCCTGTAACTTCACTTCTCGCAGAGAGAGAACCAGCCCTCAGAGCTGGACTTCAGTATCTGGGCTGAACAATGGGTCAAGGCGAAAAGGGGCTTGATCAAAAGACTACTGAAAAAGTATTTCTTTAGAACTATGTACACAACCCATCTCCATGCAAACAGGGAAATCCCACTTCTACATAAGATAGGGCAAATGGCTTAGAAACCTTACCTCCATTTGATGAGTTTTCCACATAGGACATGATTCTCCCTCCCCAAGGACTGGAGTCAATCTAACTCTTGACTCAGTCCATTGTTACCATCCCAGTTTAGCCGAGTGTAGGCACTGAACTGAGCACAGTCCCTGTTAAAGGAGTATGCTCTATAAAAATGAATGTAAGATTCTGCTGGTAGGCCTAGTAGAGGAAGAAATATACATTCACGTGCAAAAGGGTATAAGAGTCTGCGAACAAAGAGGCTTGGGTTTTGTTTTTTTAGCTGTCTAACCTTTAACGCGCCTTCTAGAGCACATCAGAATTGTTTGTGATCACCCAGAGATGTCACGTTGCAATTATGAACCAAACAACTAAGCTAGCAGCTGTTGCTCAACAATCAGTCCAAGGAATCCAGATTTCCCATCTGGCATTGTAAATTATTTTGTCTAGGTCAGTGGTCCCAGAGTAAAGGAACAAGGCAGGAAAGACGTATGTAGTATTTCTAATATTAGTTTCTCTGGTTTTTCAGAACACATGTGCTCAGTTGAGCCTGATGCTTCACAGGTATCCGTTCCCAGCTTTTGTGATGAAGAACGGTTTTACGGGAAAACCCGGTTTTCCCAGGCCTGAATCTAGTAGCCAGGGATTGCTCAGCAGAATTGTGTGCATGACTAATCAGAATCATTGCTGCCCCTTATTTTAATACTGTAATAAGGCTTCTTTGTGATTCTAATTATATCCGCTAAGCTCAATTGCAGGCGGCACACAGATTAAGCAAGAAGGGGACAGGCTCAGTTTAGAAGCCTCTGGGGATTTGGTTCTCTTAAATAACAGGTCAGCCTCTTTCTGCTGACATGCAAAATGAGAATTTTGTATTCCGGTAACCATTATTGTTGAAGATGTAAGTTTGTAAAAAAAATTAATTTATTTTTTTTAGCCCTTCTTATTTCTGAGTGTATTTTTGCATAATCGAGCATCAGATCTATAAACACCTCTCCCCCACCCCCTCCAGAGTTAGGTCTTTTGGACTGTTCCATTGACAAGGTAGTCCGAAAGTCAGCAATGCCCGATTAGCACAGATGTTCATGGGAGCTCTGAGTAAATCTTTAGTCAAAGGATTCAATATTTGAAAATGCACTGAGGAAAGTACTTTATAACATGGCATATATTTTTATCTAGGAAATCTTAGATGGGCTGTCTCAGGTTCTAATAGAGGGTATGTACCTATGCTTGTGATACAGTCACATGGGAAAGACTGAGAGTTAAGGAAGTAAGTATAAATACTTTCCATGGAACTGTTGTAAATTATTAGCCACGCAGGTGGGTTGTTTGATGTTGTTGTTGTTGTTGTTGTTGTTGTATATTTAGATGCTCAAAAAGAGAATAAATATTTTTATTTTTTAGCTATCTCTTCATTTTTTTGGTATTTGTTTAATGGAAATGTCTGGATTGATACTAGATTCCAGGTTAAGGGGAGTAAACATCAGTCTCATCTCTTGATATAAAATCACTCTAGAAGGAGGTTTTTTGTTTTTGTTTTTTATAGCAAACAATTCATTGGTGTGTTTTTTCTTACCGCTTGAAAAAATGATTTTTATCTTCCTGACAAATGAGCTGATGCAACTCTTTGTAGCAAGGGGAATGAGTGTGTTTGACTTGTTTGAAGCCTATTGAGTTCAGAAGAAACTCCCCGTGGTTAGTTTTCTAGGTTCCCTGCTATTCTCTTAACCCAGCGTGCTAGTTGTAATGTTTCAGGTGCTTCCTGTATAAAATAGAACAATGATTACGTTATGAAATCAGAATACCAATGTCCCTTAAGCAGGTCAGTCTCCCTGCTATCTTGATACAAGATCACTCAGGGAAAGAGGCTGTTTTTATGGTGAACCAGTCATTGCTGTTCTGAGACTCATCCACAGAGACTCAGGGGATTAAAGCAAAACAATAAGCTGGGGAACTGGCAGGAGGCTATTGCTAATTGCTATACTGCCAGTGATTTAAAGCAGGAATTAAAGATTTGTTCTTTAAACAGTTTTCCTTTTAAATGTGCATACCTAAAACAGAGGGAAACTGCTTTAAAACGTTGGTGTGGAACGGCAAACCCTTGTTTAAGGAACCATTTGATGCCTAGCATATATATCAGGGGTCAGCAAACTTTTTCAGCAGGGGGCTGATCTACTGTCTGTCAGACCTTGTGAGGGCCGGACTATATTTTGAAAAAAAAATTATGAACGAATTCCTATGCCCCACAAATAACCCAGAGATGCATTTTAAACAAAAGCACACATTCTACTCATGTAAAAACACCAGGCAGGCCCCACAAACAACCCAGAGATACATTTTAAATAAAAGGACACATTCTACTCATGTAAAAACACGCTGATTCCTGGACTGTCCACGGGCCGGATTTAGAAGGCGATTGGGCCGGATCTGGCCCCCAGGCCTTAGTTTGCCTACCCATGATATATATAATGAGTTTCTAAGACTGATGGGGAGGCACCACTGATGGGGAGGGAATGGATAGTTCCCTCCATTTTATCCTCACAACAACCCTGTGAGGTAGGTTAGACTGAGAGACTGTGACTGGCCCAGGGTCACCCAGTGAGCTTCATGGTCTAGAAGGTACGAGAAAACTGGTCTCCCAGGTCCTAGTCTGCTACTTTGTTCAGGTGTTCAGTTCAGGTGTGTGGTGTTCACCATATGGTTTTATGTTGATAGTGCACCCTTTTTATTTAACCACGTGACTTACTAAATGAATTATTATAGGGAGATGCTATAGCTCCATGCTATAGTTCTGTGCAAGTGCTGCCAATGCAGTGCCCTCCAGATCTTGATGGACTACAACTCCCATGAGCCCCAGCCTATCCGGCCAATCATCAGGAATGATGGAAATTGTGATCCATCAACACCTGGAGGGCACCACATTAGCTAGTCCTGTTTAGCTTCAAAGGGGGTGGGGGTTACATAGAAAAAATGATTCTATCCTTAAAGAGATACAAGCCTCCTCAGAGAGGAGGACAACCAGTTTCCTCAGAGTACTAACCCGGTCATGTTGCTTCAGCTTCCCTTTTTAGGTAGAAGCTGAAGTTTAGTGAAAAGTATAGTTTATAGCTTCATCTTCCAAGAAAATCTTCAAGAAACAGAATTCAAGAAACACATTCAAATAATTAAACTAACAAAGTGTTTGGCTTAAATCAGAGGAAGATAAACCTTGCTGTAAGAGCAATGAAACATTACATCTTTCTTGGGGGCTCTCGGTAGAAGGGTAAACTTGATCCCGTAAACACAGCTATGAATCTCCTTTTTGTATCATAATAAGACAAACATGAGGCATCAGTAGGCTGCCCATCTGTCAAGGTGTTTTATTGCCATCTGTACCAGTAAGGCTACAGGTCCGTTGCTGCTAAAATGCACACACATTTAAGAGACCAATAGCCGCTTGGCTGTGTTTTGCCCTTGCACTCAATTAAGCAGAGATGGAAAGAAGCATCTGTGATGCTGTTCCACAGTTAATTCTCCCAGTACTTTTGCCACCATAAGTTCATGTGACATGGTATTTTTTCTAGCACTGGAGAAGGGGATGATGGGGAGCAAATATATTGGTTAGAGTACACATATCCTGAGTCTCCAGGACTAGATATCAATTAAGGACCTCAATTTGACTGGCGGTACATGGAGTTCATATTTGTTTTCAAATTAGCAGAGAACTTGACTCCCATGGTGAAAATATAATTGATCTAACAGTGTGTGGTTGCATTAAAAGGAGCAGCTAATTTGGAGTCATTAAATTGGTGGCTGAAGTCTTATTGATTGAGGAGAGTAGATATAGCTGAATCAGAAAGGAATTTCCTTTCAGAATTTGTTTGGTGGTTAAGAGCAAGAACTTTGGGACAGAAGTCTCAAGCATGGTCCATCTCAGCAGTTTCCTGGGTGACTTTGGGCAAGCTGCCATTTCCCAAAACGGGCCTTACCATCTATATCAGGCAGCAGTGGTACTGACTTTTTTCCATGGGGTTTTGTTCAAAGGATTATGGAGAGAATGCTCATGAAGTACCTGGAACAGTTAAGGAAAGTACAGTGGTGGTGTTGTGTGATGAAGCAAATAGTTCTTCACTGTATATCATCTGAAAGGAACAGGCAGCATGAAATGTTTCTTGAAGGGATGATAATGTCATCTCTTACCGGCCTAGACTGTGTTACAAGAACTTGATAAAATTGCATAAGTGTTGGTGATTGGGAAAATTCCCACATCAAGAATCCCAAGAATGACCAAGACGCCTTTTAGTCATGCATGGCTCAGTAATGGGTGCTGATGTGTCAATTCTTATCCCGTGGGAAATTGTTCCACCTTTTACCTGAGACTTCCGAAGTCAAAAAAATGCAGACCTGTGCTGCGTAAAACTGGAATCATTTGATAACACATTTCATTCATGTGTAATATATGGCTGTAATACCACTACATTTTCAGTTGAGTATTTTGAATGCTGAATTGCATGTTTTCTTGGCAGCAGGTAAGCTCATAAGACGTACCATAGAATAATACTTTTGTTGGTACAGTGGTACCTCGGGTTAAGTACTTAATTCATTCCGGAGGTCCGTACTTAACCTGAAACTGTTCTTAACCTGAAGCACCACTTTAGCTAATGGGGCCTCCTGCTGCTGCCGCACCATCGGAGCACGATTTCTGTTCTCACCCTGAAGCAAAGTTCTTAACCTGAAGCACTATATCTGGGTTAGCGGAGTCTGTAACCTGAAGCGTATGTAACCCGAGGTACCACTGTATATGCTTGACGGTGATGCGTCCAAACTTGGGACAGTTATTGTGAGGAGCATGCAGGGTAGTAGCTTGAAGATAAAAAGCAACAGATTTTGTCAGCGTGGAATTACTATACAGGAAGAATAGCATCATAATGTAATTCTGTCTGAATCAGTGAGGAGTTAGATCAGCAGAGAGACATTTCAGTCTAGAAAGACTTAGAGACTGATTTGTTCTTATCTCCTCATTTTCTAGCTGGCATTTCTTTCTTTTCAAAGTGGTACTGATTTTGCAGAGGAGGTGGCCAGTAGAGGGAGGAATTTTGTAAATGTGAACAGCAAGCAATTGCTGTCATCTTATAAAAAGAGGGTGGGAATGCTTTTCTTGAATAAAAGAACGATGAGTTGAAAATTCTCGTTCCTTGTCAGCATGTATTTTCTTTTCTAAATTTATCATCCCATCAGTAAGTTCATATCGAGTTTGTGTCACAGCACGAAACTGCTGTGTGAGATGAAAATAAATCTGAGCAGCAATGTTACCAAATCTCTTGGAATTGGTAAATATCCTAGCAAAAATGTTAAGTGGCAGCTGTCATATGCCAGGCTTAGTCACAACTCTAAGTCCCATTGAAAGCAGTGGCACATATTTTAGATTTTAGCTAGGTCTCTTTGCAAAGTGTGAGCTTAAAAAAACAAAGCAACCACCACCTTTTGAATACAGTACAAACATACACAGATATACAGTGGGTGATGTCCAACTAATTCATACCAGAGTAAACCAAATGAAATAAATAGATTTAAGTAATACTTTGAATATGACTTAGGTCAGTCTCATCCAATACTATATGAGCACAAACATAACATACAAGCATACAGCTATGTATTTCAGGGGAAAGGAGCATAAACTTACTGTTCAAAACATTGGCCACTTTCTCAAAAACAAAATATCTGTAGAATGACATTGTCACATAAGTATATAGTGATAGATAGATGATAGATAGATAGATAGATAGATAGATAGAGATATTCCATTGTGTGCGTGTACCACCTGCCATGTAAAAAAATATCCAGGTAGATACATATACAGGGTGAGTCTTTTAAAAGAGGCCCCGTGGAACATGTGTACTCTGTATCCACGGGGCCTCTTTTAATGGACTCACCCTGTATATATATATATAATGCTGACCCTCACCAACATGTGTGTGTGTGTGTGTGTGTGTGTGTGTGTGTATATTGCTGACCCTCACCAACTTATGTTTTAAGACATACCTTCATAAATTCTCTTTGTGATCTTGTCTATTTTATTTACTGTTTATTTTTCAAGACTGTTTATTGTTTATTTTTCAAAACTGAAACATGTTTTAGGAGGCCAGTGGGTGGGTTCGAAAGTCATCCCGCAAAGCAACTGGTTACATTTGTTGTCCAGTTCTATTTTGGTAGTAGTATGTCATTAAATTTGCAAGTATTGCTGGTGGGTTGGTGGGATTGTGTATGTGTGTTTGTTGAGGGGACAAGAATATAGAATACCTGTATGTAATTCCTGTTTATTTTGTTTCACTCCGTTTATGTGCATAACACACTTTGGGACACTATGCAAATAATGCTTATAACTATACAAATTCATGTGTAGATGCCATAGTGAAGGCACTCTCTTTAAGTGTAGTCGGGAACTGAGCTTCTAGCTTTCTGTGTCAGAGAACTCTGCTATGTTTCAGCTCTTATAATACTGGGGTGGGGTGGGGGGAGAAATAGATTTCACTGAAAGTGTTAATAAAGATAACCTCATGCAGTAAAAATTTGAAGACTTGCTATGAAGTGTGAGCTCCTCGGTGTAAAAAATACGCCGAAATATTTTCTTTCATTGTCTTGTCCCCTCAAATCTTAACTTTAGTTTTCCTTCTCTCGGACGACTTCATAGGTCTGTTTAGGATAGGCAGGCAGTTATTACTATTGCCATTAGTAACAGAGTTGCTTTCTGGGTTCAGGTGTTCTCATTCTGTCACTTACAGTTAATACAGCAGAATTGTAGGAAATACTAACCACTCTAGTCACCTGCAAAGTATTTCACTCTAGCGGTATAATTTTTGTTAATATCTTGCTCTTTCTCTTTTCAGACTTCTTTCTGTTTGCACCAAGGGATTTGGGATTAATTTCTGTGTTGGATAGCCTATATATAGTGGTCTAAAATGCAAGGAGGAATCAATGATTGAAGGAGTCTTTTCAATTTAAAAAGCAACAGCACTGCAGTTCGGCTCTTCTCAGTAACTAGCATGTTGGCATGATACAATAATGTAAACCAATCCTCTCCTATATAGCAGCCTATAGCAGTGTACTAACAAAACTGAAAGCATTCACATAGTATTTCAGAAACATGCAGTGTGGGGTTTTTTATTATTTAAAAAAATCCAAAAATCATCCACAGAAAGAAGCAAAACCCCAAATCTCTCTCCTCTGTTTTGCTTTGCTTCTATCCCCATGGTTTTCAAATGGGTTTAGGCAAATTTCTCTTTTTAGTGGGCTTTATGCTACTCTAGTGTTCCTCTGCAGACTGGCATGACCATGTTCTCTGTATTTCCTTGCTCACAATCACGGAATGAGAGCATGGAGTGTCAGTCAGCTTGCTTTTTTCTTTTCTTTCTAATGTGGGGTGAGACTCACTATGGAAAAGTCTGAGAATTTCTGGTCTACTGTGTTCCTCCTCTGCTTCCCTGACGGCTCAGGAAGATGAATTTGGTGGTGGATATTGTAACACAGAAAATGCCGTCTGAAAGTGATGTTCATGTGGCCAGGAGCTATCTTACGAAGATCTTGAGAAGCTCCATGAGGTATGGTGTTGGTTTCACAAAGATAGCATTCCCTATCCCTTCTCCTAATAGAAAAACCCTTCTCAGTAATCCAGGAATCCATTCTGAAATCCTCCATTCCCACTTCCATTTCTCCATGATAAGCATCTGGCCATGTAGTCGTTCTGTAATCTCATGTTTCATTCACATTTTGTACAAACCATTCTGGCTCCATGCATATATATCAAGCAAACAACAAACAAAAAGTTTGTGGTTAAACTGCTATCCTACCAATTATCACTTATCAGAAAGTAAGTTCCATTGAATTTCAAAGGGGCTTCTAAATAGACATGAATGGGATTCCACTGTGAGGCTACTGTTTTTAAACTAGACAATTGCATGATTCATCAGCTGTGGAGACAGCCACAACAATTATAACTGAATTTGTGGGATTAGATTTGCATGTGCAGAACTCCATGATAGCATTAAGTTGGCAGCATTGTGTGGGAAGTTGGAGCACTTGGACATGTGTTGTTGTTTTTTAGAAATGGCATTGCTCTTACAGAATAGCATGTCCACACAGGCTATTCAACCTCATGCAACTGCTACAGTGTTGGTTCCCACACATGCCAAGCTGTGTGAAACCCTGAAGCAATTAGCCTTCAAGCCATTTAGCTAAAATGGACAACTATTGCTTCAGCATATTGGATTCTGATGCTGGCTGCTTTATGGACATGGGTTGAGAGACAACCACCATGTGAAAACAGGCCCCATGGTCCTTTGTGACAGATTTCACAACAGAACAGTCAAGTGACCAGAGCAGGTAGCTGGTCTTGAACCTCCCTCCCTGCCTCTCCTCCTTCTACATGCCCAACAAAGCTTTGCAACCAGGTGCCTAAAACTGGTGGAACACTGTTGGCTCCCAAGTTTTTAGGAGGCCATTGGGCAAGATGCCACTGAAGAACTCCCTGCCGCTGTCACCACTAGCCATTTGCTTGGCTTCTCCCTGTGAGCCCACTCTCTACTTCGGCTCACAAGGAGAGGACAGGGGCTCTTTCTCTAAACTATTGTCACCTTTTGCATGCTTGAAAAGGGGTGTAGTAAGCAGGCAACAGCAGTAAGCAGGAGCAAGGTGGGATGGTTGGCTTCAGGCCCCTGCTGGTGTATCGACCTCCTAAGGTGCTTGTGAGTGATGCGGACCTCTGAATTGGATGCTGTGCTGTTTCAAGCAGGCAGACTGAGGACAGTTTGATAACTTTCTCCATTTACTGGATGAGAAGATGGCAATAGTGAATGGCAAGGTTGACAGGGAGGCCTAAGGCTTGCTTCTCGAACAAACGCTTGATAGCCCAGGAAGCTTTTGTGCCAGTCGACTGGCAAAACTGGGCTTGCAGCACTACTGAGAAATGTGGGGAGCACCCTCTGTTTTTTTTTACATTACGTTTTCTCTCTTAATGAGCAGGTATTTGAATCTGGATCAGAGTTCCTGGCCATTGTCACTGAACCACACCTACTCTGGTTTCAAAAATGAGAGTTGCTCAAACACAAAGTTCCTCATTTCTGTACTTCCATGCAATTATACAAGACTTAATTGTTATAGACGGTATGCGTCTATATTATAAGGGATTTCACAGATAATCAGTAGGTGTTTTTATCTGCCTAGCAGAGATGAAACATTCCAGGCTTTGACTCACTGTCTGTATTTCAAGTGCTTTAAAAAATAAAAAAAAGCACCTGGATTCTTTTCAAAGGTGATTTCCTAGAGCAGCAGACACTGCTCTGTAACCTGAGCCTACTTACTGTGTTTGTTAATTAGGTCTGAGGTTGATTGCTTAAAAAATATATGCAATAAATGCCTATGTTTTTCCTTTCTCATTCCAGAAAGAATGATCTAGCCTGCAGGCCCCACTCCTGGCATGCGACCAAATTCACGGAGAGTCACCCTGAGACAGCCACGTCACGGCTCTCCTCAACCAATCCCTGTGCTTCCTGGCACTCTCGGTACCATGCAAGGTGAGTTCCTGTTTAAAATTAACATGCATCCAGCTCCAACGGTAAGAAAATAATTGCTTGCCTCGGTTTGTTCCTTATCTTAAAATGGCCAGCAACTGCACGATTTTATTTTAAGTTGGTCTTTGTGCACGAAGCGAGTTGTGTAATGAGGGAACTTAGATATAACAAGGGCCTGATGGCCCTTAGTCTGCAGGGTATTTTCCATTATGCAGCTAAGTAAATAGAGAGAACTACAGGTTATTCCGGCAGGTTTTCTTTTCTTTTCTCTCAGCCTTTCTTCAGGCGTCAGTTTTCAGGTGTGTAAAAGCCCCTTAAAAGTACTAAAATGCAATGGAAGGAGTAAGAAACCAAATCTCCTATAACAAAGCAATTATTTAAGAGGAAAACACACTCTGTGTATGCCTAAAGAATTGTCATGCAATTGCTTTCTCTAATTACATCTCTGCTTGCTATGTAGCAATTAATAAGAATTGGGTAGGGCACATTGTCGCCTGTTCAGTCGCTGAAAGTTTCTCAGTAATGAGTTGTGTGAGAGCTACTTTAGGGACAAAAATAAAAAAATTACATCTTAGTTCAGGTGGTAAAATGTCTCTCTGTAATCCAGGTATACTATGATCTGGTTACAAGCTCTCACAAAGCGTTCCTTTAGCCACAGACCTTGCATTCCATTTGCTTCTTTGTTTTGGTGGCATGTAAAACATGTCTCAGAATATGCAGACTTTTAATTTACAAAAAAAACAAAAACACCTGGGAAAAGTATACTTGCCATTCATGGCCCTAAAGTGTTACTTGATTCAGTTTTATTGGAGTACTAAGTAATGTAATCTTAAATGTTTCATGCTATGTTTACTTTTAAATAGAAGAGCATTAAGTGGCCTTTAGACATTTGCTACCATTTACTGCTTATGTTAATAATACAAATTCAAACTTTTAAAATAAAGCTGCTTTCTTACTTGTTTTGAACACTTAACCTGCCCCTATGGTTCTATAAATCTTGTTGTCCAGTATGCTGGATGGCTTCAGAAACAGTTTCCTCTGTGCCTAATCACAGATTTGATTTTATTTTTAAAAATGCTTTTGTTATATACTCTTCAAATGCTCTTGTTGACACGTATTACAAAGTAGAATGAAAACCTGTCATGGACTTTATATTCACAGATGGGTCCTGGCTGCATGGGAACTTCTACTTGTTTTGACTTTCCTCAGGGACAACCTGGGAGTAGGGAGATAAATGTGGAGAGATCACTAAGCCCATGCCAAGGATTCCCTGTTAGGGCCTGGGGCATTCTGTTGGACTCATCCTCCACAGGGCATTCTGTTGGACTTATACGCTATGCAGATTATACTAGTATATATACAGTATACATACATACACATACACACACACACACACACACACACACCCCTTCATCAAAAGGTCACAGGACAGTTTACAGCTCAGTGGCAAAAACACCAAAATGCAAACACATAACATAATATTTCCCAACTCTTACATTCTGTGATTCTATACAACAAGCACATAAGCAATACATAATAAGCAGCAGTGTCAAAATACTCACGATGTAATAAATTCCACAATTCAATCCTTGTGAGAAATAAGAGTCTAATAACTTATTTTCTGCTTGTCTCATATACAGCTATAAGGCAGAATACATATTTAACAGCAGATGTATTATTAAAAATAGGGGTGGGGAAAGGGCAGCAGCATATGTAAAGTAAATAAACAGTGTACTTTGATTTTATAATATTTGCATTTTGATTTTATAATATTTGCATTTTTGTAATATTATCTAGTATGGCTGTTTCTACCAGCAGAGAGTATGGGTTTTGTTGGTGCAATATTGACGAGAGCCCTTTTCATATTTTGCTACAGCTCCTCTTCCCATGATCTGTCAAGCTCATGGGACCAGTCAAATCTCCATCGCACCTCAGACCAGTTCAGTTCTGCTGGAAGCATGGACAGCTGGGATCACACACCCCAGGTGTATCAATATGGACAGATGTCTTCTGCAAAGTCCAACAGTAGTATTGACCACTTGGGGAATCCCAGCAAAAGGGATTCTGCCTACGGCTCTTTCTCTACTAGCTCTAGCACACCTGACCACACATTGACCAGTGCAGATGCTGCCTCAGTTGAGAATGCTGGGTACAAGGTGGGTCACTGGGAAACCCCAAAATCAGGAAATAGCAAGGCTGCCTCATTTCTAAGTGATAATGGAGGATTAGATGAGAAAACTACCTGCTTTGCACCTCAAGTGCCACAATATGAAAACAACAGGAGCCCCCGGCTGGAAGATCATTCTGATCCAAAGTATTCTGGGTCCGGAAGATCAAATTTTGGGCCTGTGTGGTATGTCCCAGAGAAGAAAAAGTCTCCCTCCCCTCCACCACCACCACCACCTCTTCGTAGTGATAGCTTTGCTGCCACCAAAAGTCACGAGAGAGCCCATGCTGCTCCTTATTCAGAGGGTATTCAGAGCACCCAGCACTTTGACGTCCAGCACAGGCTGCAAGCCAAGAGTGACTGGAGTGCCGAAACTGTAGAGCAACAGAAGAGAGATACCAGAGCAGTCGACAGGGCCTCCGAAGGTAGGCAGAGCAGCAAACCAGTCTACAGATCTGATCTCAGTCTGGATTGTGGTTTGTCTTCTGCCGGGGACAGGGTCAACAACAACATCATAGGAAATTTCAGCAGGCTGCAATCATCTCTGTCCAGCACGGACGTTCGATTTGCACAGTCCACTTATGGCCACCATCACCAGCGCCAGTACAGTGATGAAAGCACTTTCTTTCGCAATGCAAAAGTCTCTGCATCACCTAAAGAGCAGCGGCACCTCTCCACTTATGCTGGAATTCAAGAAAGGCCCACTGACAAACGTAGCTGTCATCCAAACCACGCTAGGATACTTGATAGTACTGCTGCTGCTGCCACTTCTTCTGACGTGAGTGCTGAGGAGAAAATGGACAACACAGGGCTAAGCCGCTATTACTGTGTGACAGTGAAACAGCCTGTTCAGGGAAACTTGAGACCACTACTCAAAGATGAATGTCGGAATACTGGCATAGGGAACCACACTTCCTCTGGACCACAGGAGAGTCCTGCTATGACTACAATGATCCAAAGTCCCAAATACTGTCTACCTCAGCAGCCTGTTGAGCCTTCTCTAGATGTATGTGAAAAGAGCAGTCATTATATAGTTAATAAAGGAGAGGATGTTAGAACAATTGTAATGGAAGAATCTAGAAAGGTAAGTTTCCCTGAAAAGCCAGTGCAAGCCAAGAACTTTGAGGAGAACCACGATAGTTACTGTGAGCGGGAATATGGGCGGGAATGTGCCTTAGTGCCCACCAGTAAAGCTCCTCCAAAAGATTTCAAGTGGAGTCAAGAAGAGAGCTACAAAATTTCTCCTCAGAAGACCCCAATGTTGCACTCTTTAGCTCAGGAAGGGAAAAGCCAGGCTGATCCTGCTGCCGAAGCGGAGATGACTAAGCAGCCTGCATTTGATGCTAACCTGGGCAAAAACACACGAAGGAGTGATCGTTTTGCTACCACACTGAGAAACGAGATCCAGATGAAAAGAGCAAAGTTACAGAAAAGCAAAAGCACAGCTGTCTTAGCGGGGTCAAGTGAGACCGAAGAGTATGCTGAGAACTGGAAACCCGATTCAGCAGAAAAGATAAACTCCTCATCAGAAAGTTCTTTTACTAATGTATACAAAGACAATCTGAAAGAGGCCCAGGCCAGGGTCTTGAAGGCCACCTCTTTCCAGCGGAGGGACCTGGAGCCCAGTTCTGCGGATTATCTTCCAGACCGGAAAACAAATAATTATAACTCTTCTCCACTGGCTCTTGTCTCTGAAGACGAGGCAGGCTTTCTTGGGGCTAGGCAGTCTTCTAAACAGACTTCACCTGGTAGTAACATTCACCACGTTTCTCGCATTGGAGCTAGGAAGAGGTTCACAACGGAACAAAAATTGAAATCTTATTCTGAGCCCGAGAAGATAAATGAAGTGGGGGTGTCAGATGATGACTACCGGCCACGCCGTCGTCCAACTACTTCTGAGGAAGCTTTGGGTTCTTTTGCAGATAGGTGGAAGTTCTTTGAAGAAACGAGCAAGCCTGCCTACCAAAAATCTTCACAAAGACATGCACCTTATGGTCGGCCAGAAGTACAGACTCCTAATGATCCTCATACCAATTCTTACGAAGGTGAGATTGAAGGGTCATGGTATGAAAGGAGGATGAGGTCAGCTTCTTTTGGAGTTGAGAATATGGTTGGTGCATGCAGTAGACCCAAAGAAAGTGTCCATTACAGTGGCCGCAAAGCAAAATCTGGACAATCTCCTAGGTTGGAAACTTTTGCAGAATACCAGGCATCATGGAAGGAGCAGAGGAAACCTATAGAAACTCGGAACTCTGGAAGATACCATTCAGCTGACAACATCCTTGATGCTGGCCATGAGCAGCTTGAGAAATCTCCATATACACATGAACGGTCCAGGTCATCCCCTTCCACAGATTTCTACAAACAGGTAAAGGGCACTTTTACTCCTATCCTTAAATGTTTTGCCTTGGAGAGAACAAAATGTTTAAGACCAAGAGATTAACAGGACCAACTGACAGTAATCTAGGAGATTCATGATTGCTTTTCATTTTCATTTAATTTTACAGCCTGCTGTACGCTTACAAACATACCGAAGGGTCTAAAAATATCAGCTTGGCTTACCAGCCAAACAGGAATTGTATTGATAGGCGTTATCTACTTTTTCACAGAATTCCTCACGAAAGGTTTCTGATTAATATCAGTCTTGGAATAAGAGGACAGATCATCTTGCTAGTCTATAATTGGTCACATAACAAGAACCAAAGGATAGGGATAAATGGACAGTACTTCCAATAGCGGAAAGTGAGCAGCAGGATCCTTCAAGGACCTGTATTTTGATTGGTACTATTTAATTCATTAATAAATGATCTGGAGTCAAGGGTGAGCATTGTGGTAGCCAGGATGACTCCAAATTATTCAGGACGGTAAAGTGCCAGGCAAATTAAATAGGCCCAAAATAATTTCTCTAAGCTTTGCTTTTGGGCAACAAAATGGCACATGAAGCTCAATGTTAAGTATGTAATCTTAGGTAAATTGGAACAGACATGACCTTACTTCACAGACAATGAACTGGCAGCCCTAATTTAACTGTTAATGGTGTATAACTTAATGAAAACAATTGCAGTAGCAGTGAAAATTCCATAGTAGAGACAATTTAGGTCCATTACCATGATGAGTTGATGAGAATCTATGTATGGCCATTTTTGGAATATGGTGTATAGTTCTGGGCATTGTGTCTTAGAAAGGGTATTGCAGAACTGAAAAAGCTGCGGATAAGGGCAACCGTAACAATCAAGGAGTCAGTGCACCTTTCCTGCAAGGAAAAACTGAAGAGTTTGTGACTTTTTAGTCCAGGAAAACTATGACTGATTGGGAGTAATGACAGAGGTATATAAGATTATGCATAATGCGAAAACTTTTTCTCCTCCAGTAATACAAAAAATTGGGGTTGCACAATTAAATTATTAAACAGCGGATTCTGAACAAGCAAGGCAGCGTCAGCAATACTGGGATGTTTGGGCCAGTGGTCTAACTATGTACCAGCTTTTATGTTCCTTTGGTGGCAGATGACAGCATATGCAACCCTAGAACACGGACAGGTGAACAAGCAGCTGATGTTGCATAGCTGATATTTTTAGGACCAGCAATAGTGTTGCCAGGATGGATATTGTAAGGGAGTGTTCCTTTAAGGGCACCTCCCACGTCTACTTTAATTGGTTAGGCCCAAACAGGAAGCAGGGCTAGAAGCAAAGTGAGAAAGTAGCTAAAGGACAGAAAGCCTGTTGTACATAGTCCTTTAATAAAGTTGTTTCCTGTTTGGCTCCTCAGACCTGCTCATCAGTTCAACAGAGAACTTTCCAGATATAGAGACAGCTTGATATCTGGGTTGGTTTGAGGGTCTACTCCTTGTTTGTGAGTGTTCATATATGGTCTGCTGTTGCTGATTAGTAGCTGGTTTAGATTGGCTGAGAATGCTATCTGTGGACAAGGACATACCATTCCAGGCCTTTGAGAGGGAAGTATCTGGAATGGACTGTAGCTCATCAATGAGGATAATGGGAATGTGTTTAGCTGGGAACTAGGTGACAGGTGGTGGTGTCATTTTTTATTCTGGATCTGTCTTGGAGCAGATGTAGTTGTAGCATAGGATGTAGCTGCGGACAGTAGACATTTGGTATGTTCTGTGTGGAAGCTGTAAGCGCACAGATACGTGTAGCTGGCAATAGCTTTCTTGTACAAGGTGTCTTGTACACCCATCTTTTGCAAGTTTGATTATTTAGCATTTTTAAGATAATTAAGTTCTAAAAGCTCCATGTCTTAACTACTTTTAAAAGAAATGTCATTCATATATATATATATATATATATATATATATATATATCCTCTTTCCTGTGTGCATGTGCCAAAACACACCCATTTGTGCACGCACACAGTTCTTGAGAGTCCTAAAATGCTTGCAAGTAGCAAGTTTTTGCCAAAGTGAAAAAAAGTTGTTCCTTTCTAGAGCAGTCAGATGAATTAGTAACTTGAGTACAAGGATTGTAAAGCCAACTGAGAGGTTGCATGGAATATACTATTGTGCTTTAAGCCAAATCAGCATAAGAGTGGATACATTATGGACTCTAAACAAACCCACTAATGAAGGGGTGTGTAATAATATATTTTTCTGCAGACTGAAACTTGATGATTTGGTGCTTTACTATGTTATGAAACCTTTTTTCAGGAAGCATCAGCTGAAGCAAGGAGACATGCAGAAAATAAAAGGGAAGATGAACATCTTACGTGCTCTCCAGCAAGATCTGGTGAAAGGATCTGCAATTTAAGGTAAGCAATTTTATGTGTTTCTGTGTACAGGGCTTATTGGCATATACTGCAGAATATGGTTAGCTTAATTTTATCCAGCAGGAGTTGAAACTATTAAAAGAACTTGCTTTTAATAGTCTTTTTGTTTTTGCTTTTAATATTCTTCATCTATGTGATATGCCTTTATTTCTCAAGGAAAAAGAAAATCACTATTAAATATGCAATTCCTGTTAAGAGTATAGTAATACTACAGAGGTAATTCTCAGATATTTCTTGCATATATGTTAGAGTTGTTTACATCCACATAAGACTCCAGGCTGCATTCCTAATCCCATTTACCTGGCAATAAATCCTATTGAATTCAACAGGACTAATTTCTGGATAGAAGTGGTTAGGATTGCTTGTAGGTGCCTTTGAGCCTCTCACATACTATTCCTGGGGGAGTGTTAACTCTTTTATCACATGTTTTGTTTGTTTATATCTCACCTTTTTCAATCATGGAATCCTTGGTAGTGTGTTGGTGTTCCTCAGGAGGTTTCCAGGCATTGACCAGACTCAGACCTACTTAGATTCAGCAAGATGATAGCCTCGTGCCTCCAGATCATGCCTTGGGGGAGAGAGAGAAACCTGTAGAATGTACTTTATAGCCAATGTAGGTTTGGCACTGAATTGTATTTCTGGGGAATGCATTAAGTGCTTTCAGCGAAAGTGCTTTTAAGAATGGAACAATGGATAGTTCATTCATAAGAGGAGGTGCCTGATTCTTTTTGTTTTCTTTACTGGGTCAGGTTATTCCTTTTGGCTTAAAACATTGGCATGGGCAGCCTTGTGTCACTTGATCCCTTCGCATACAAGGAGCTTTGACTATGTCCTGTTGATGGACAGGACAAAAATTGCTTAGTAGGCTTGGAGATTTGTGTGTGTGTGTGTGCACGTTTTAGCTAACTGTGACTATCTGAGAAGACTAAAAGTAGGTTATTCCAGGGAGACGAGTTTGAGAACTATTGTCACAGCCCTTGGAAAGTGGCCCCATTTTTGTCATTTTTAGCACACGTAGGTGCACAAAAGTGTTTTGCTGCTCTTCACTATGGCATCATGGCCACCACAGCATGTTGGAGCAAAATAGGAAGCATAGGCAGATTTTGTATTGGAAGTGTGCCTCAGAGCATGGCTGCATACTGGAAGAATGAAAAACTGAAAGAAACCAAAATTGACCTACTCACCCATCCCTAGCTCAGGGTCTGTTTGACCTTGTTGTATCCGCTGCATGAAAGAAACAGCAGCAAACTGAGGAAACTGTGACCAGACGCAAAAAAACATGGGATATAATGGAAGTCATGTTATTTTTCAGGGACCTTTTATATATGCATACATGTGCACTTAAAGCATATTTTTAAAATCCTGAAATGGGTTGCACGTTTAACATTTTGATGCAGTACTTTATTATAAGTTTTATTTTTTAATAAACCCATTCCTTTGGCTGTACAGTACTGTTTTAAATTCTGAACTTTAAATTGTTATAACCCATCCCGGCTGCTGCTGCTGAAAGATGGGTAATAAATTTAATAATAATAATAGCCATTGATAAAATACATATGGGACATTGCTGTTCTTAGTTGTTTAGTGTAGGACTCCTTTTACTGCTTCCCCACCCATTTCAGTGAGCCTAAAAGAGAGACACCAAATCTTCTAAAATCAAGTTTTCTTTCAACATTTGGCATGTAACTGTTTAGTGACCACCTAGTTGAAAAAGTATGTAGTTTGTTCACAGTATTTTTTTAGAAGTGGGGCTTACATATACAAGACTGAAGTCTACCTACTTTAATATAATGAAATTTCTACACATACTAAAGTCACTTTACCATGTACATTTTTAAAAAAAGAAACAAAGCTAATTTTTTCTGTATTTGGCCCACGTTTGAAGGACATTTTTAGTTCATCTGTAGAAAAGTGGTATTGACATGCTAGATTGGAACTTGTCCATTGTAATCTGAAAGTGTGCATGGGAAACAAAAAGCTCTCAGTCTATGAAATATTAACAGACTTCAAAGGAACATGGACATTTTATGTTTACATTTACCTTTTTATCAGTAAGCTGCAAATCGTTAATTTATATGACATAAGAGTCCTGGAACCAGCGGTGTTATTTGTTTTGTTATATTTACACTGTGATTAATGCAAAACATGGAAATCTCTCTGGCTTCTGAGAAAAAAATCTAGTTTTTTGTGCAGCCCTGCAATGCTGCCATAGGCAGGTTGCAGCAGCGAGGTGGCAAGTTTGTGCATATATGTATTGGCGAAGTTCTTGGAGAGAAGGATTATCAGTTGGGCTCAGGCTAGTCAAAGAAGTCACTAAAAGGGTGTACATTTATAACATGTTTCTGGTTTATGCTATCATAACCCTCCCCATACAAAGTAGCAGAGGTGAAGTGAGTTGTGGTCATGCCTGTGGCCAAGGTCATATGACCCAGTTTGCAAGAGCAAGAACTATGATCTGCTTTATTTACAAGTTTTTAAGTTGAATAAAAATAAAACTTAATGCAACTTCATTAATAATAAGATTTCATTTATCTTATATGGATTAAAAGTTGTTTGCAAGTCTGTATTCTTAAACTTCAAAATTGCACTGCCAAACTGAGAGATGGAATATTTCAGTCCTGAATTTTAATAATAATAATAATAATAATCACAACAACAGCAACAATAATCTTTTCCCACCCACCACCTTTTTTCATGTTGCCAAGTAAATAATACAGGGTAACTTATCTTACCCAATGTGTGAATAGTTAGAAGAAATTTATCAAGCTGTGCAATAGAAATTATATGAAGGGCACACAAGGTGGCCACTTCTTATCTGCTTTTTTGCTTTTACCATTTCTGACTATCCTCATGACTTAAGAATGCTGGTTAGGCAGATTTGCCAAGATGCTTTATAAGTAAACATATAAGTAAATAATTTTCTTTCATAAAACATAAAATTACATTGTGTGGTGTATGTGCATACAATTTGTGACTAAGGTTGCAACCTACAAACCCAGGCTTCAATGAAGTGACTTCCTAAACCACGCTGGGATGCTTTCCAGAGGAGAGTGTTTGTTGCCCTCATGTTCTCTGCTCAGCATCCCATTGGCAACTGGTTGGCTACTGTAGGAAAGAGCATGCTGGACCGCACAGGCCTTTGGTGTGATCCACCAGGGCTCTTCTTACGAGGAACAAGCTTGTGCATCGTTTCTGACCCTGTTCACACACCATGCTTTCATCAGACATATATCTGGTGGCACTGAACTGCTTGCACACCCCTTTCTTTCTGGTGAATGGCTAAGAATGGTTTGTAGCCTCAAAGGTTATTGCAAACTATATTTTTTGCTTTGTTTTTAAAGATACACAGAATGTTTATTTGTGCCACAAATATGAGCAAACCCTTTAGTTCCTGTAAACCTACTGAAGGTCTTAAATTTTGACAGCAAGGGCACTTTACTAAGGCTGTGCACAGATATCCCCCTCACCCTGAGATGTGAAGGTAACATGATAGAGCCATTGTTTCTGGCATTACATGTGTTCAATTTTTTGTGTGGCTCTCTCATCTTTGGTCAAACTGGTTGTGTCTGTGTGCAAGATAGCTTCCATTGTTTTGTTTTTTTGACCAAACCCAAAAAGTGTGAAGGTGTAATTTGCAGGGCAGTGTGTGAGATTTTGAAGGCAATTATAAAAGATACCTTCCTTGTACCTGTCACAATTAGGCAATAATTAAGCAAGCACAAGAATATGTTTTCTTCAGGTTCCACGCCTATTGTTTATGACACTAGAATGCTTAATAATAATAAAAACAACGAAACTCACAACAGTGCATTTGCAAAATTCTTTTTTGAGGGGTTAAAAAAGAACACAAAGCTTTGAAGTCTACAACCTTTTCTGCTGAAGGTCAATAATTTCTGGTGATGTAACGTATAAAACAAGCTGAGCCTTCTGTCACTGAGGTTAAAGTTGACAGTGCTTGTATGAACTTGTCAGTCACATGAGAAGGCAAAAACAAGCCAGCTGTTGTGAGGCATGGCTTTGAAAACCATCTGTATGTCAGCGAATGAAACAGAGGCTGGGGCAGATTCCATTCACTGTTCCTCGCTGGGATGTATTTGCAAGGATGCAGCCTTCCTGAATCCATCTGAATAGCAGCAAAATGTTTATAGATTCTGGTAAGTTGACAAATCTTAGTTCTCCGGTAGCACTTAGGTCTATAAAGTACTGCATTGACTCTTAATTAGTAAGTTCAAAGCTTATTTTTCTTGCTGTCGCTGCAGCGCTCAGTATTCCTTTTGTTCTTCTAGAATGCAATCCTGACCACAGAGTTATGTGTGGGTAAATCCCACTAAAATCAATGGAACTTCTCTCCATATAATCGGAGGCAGGATTGCAGCCCTTGCCTTTACGTGCAAGATGTGTTTGCCCATCCCTGCCTGCAGAAAGTACTATAAAAGATTACAGTGGGTGAGGCACTGCCCGATATAGTACTTTTGTTTTTAATGTATCTTCTAGTTCCCGATTATTATTATCATTATTTAAAGGAACACTGTGACGGAGGAACTCTTTCACTGCAGCAAGAGGCATTGGGCTGTGTGTGCAGTTTGTGGCTGCTTTTGTTTTCACAGTTAGCATAATGCAGTCTGGAATTAGAAAGCAGCGCTTTTCAAAAAACGTTTGTTTTCTGGTGTGAGCCTCGTAGCCTGTCCATCCCTCATTTATGTGGCTTCAAGCCTGTCTTGCTGCTGCTGCTGCTGCTGCTGCTGCTGCTGCTGCGTGATGTGAGATCTCCATACTTACAGCTTTTTGAGCAGAATTGTCACTGCGTGGTGCAGGTTCAGATGGAGATTGCTATTTATTTTTGCTGAAGCATCTGGAAAGATGAGGCTTAGTATACGGAAGCATTGGCTGGGGTTTCTGAAAGCAATTGGTGAGTAAAAACAAAAAAACCAAAACCCTAGTTGGAATGAAAAACTGATATTGAAAGGTGTGCCTGCTTTGTTAACTGATGAAAATAGGTCAGGGGGGTGGGGGAGAACTGAATGGATTTATTTTTGCTTCCTGTTCTTTAGCCCTGTGCAGAATCAGCTATTAGTAAAACACGTAATTTTATTTTTTCTCTTATACTGTCTTATTTACTAGTGTTTAGCTGTTGGTGTAGTGTTGGTCTTTTTTAAACGTTTAATACCAGTATGCCTTGCTTTGAGACTTCAAAAGAGGGGGTTAATCTCTCCCTCGCACGCACACACAAAACAATCTTTTTTTTAAGGACTAAGTGCAAGGAATGCAAATGATTTTTGTATCAACCCTTTTGCAGCAATGCGAAGTATTCTTTTCTTTTGTTCCAATAGTGATTGCCATTTATAGAATGGGATTTGACTCCTTTTAAGTGGGTTGCCTTTTTGCAGCTGGTTTAGAATCTGCTGCAAGAGCCTGGCAATGTATCGTCGTGGCTTAGTTCGCTGAAATAAAATCCTTTTGGAAACCATTTCCAGAAGGGTAGCTGTGTTGGTTTGCTGCCGCAGAAAGAACAAAGAGTCTTGTTTCACCTTAAAGATAAACACATTTATTACAACATAAGCTTTCATGGACGGCTTTCTACTTCCTTAGATATATGAAGTGCTATCCTGTTACAGGTATATATGTGGTTATGAACAGTGAGGTCAGAGGAAAATGAATAATTAGGAATTCAAGAGTGGTAGGTCTGCAAAATAGTTGTTGATAACACAGGTATCCTGGCATTGGTAAGCCAAGTAACACGCATAATATGATTTTAAAAAAAAAATCAGCCCACAAGCCGTAGCATAGCATCGACCCTTTTGATGTATTGTAATTCGGTAGTTTCATGTTGCCTTCTCACTTTGAAGTTCCTTTGCTCCAGGATGGACACTCTAAGGCTACTTTCACAGTGTCCTGGGAGAGGGCAATGTTTTTGAATACTGGTTTTGAACTTTGCCATTTAAAATAAGAGGTTTCAGCCCATTTATTATTTTGCATAGCAACTGGCCTATTTGCCCTAAATAGAATGTAGAAGGGTATCGCCGGTAGATGGTGGTATATGTCGCATTGGAACATGAGCAGCTGAAGAAGCCGAGAAATTTCAGTTTCCCCCCCATACCATTTTACCAGCTTATGATGCAGTAGGGCAAGTACAATCTTTAAATCGGGAATGGGGAAGCTGGATGACCCTCCAGATGCTGTTAACCTCTAGTTCCCACCTGCCCTACCTATTGGCCCTGCTAGCTAAACTGGTGGGAGTCGGAGCCTTGCTCTCAAATAAGTGACTTGTTCAAATCTGAATGAGATTGAATTTGAGTGTCATTTATAGTGTAACTATTAGGTAGCAGTTATACTATTTCTCATGACCTAAATTATATATGCATCTTAGACATAGTGATACTGCATCTAATAGGCATTTTTCAGGGCCGTGGAAATACATTTTAAAATATCAGAATATATTTTACAGGGGTTATAGCGTGTAATCTCTGTAATATGTTTGAACTTGCATTTTTCCTCTCTCTCTCCCCTCTCCCTTATATCTCTCAGGAAGTCCTTGGATATGTCTTCATGTGTTCCAGTACTATTAATTTGCTTGTTCTGTGATCAGATCCTTCTTTATATTTAGCTGTACACACACGCACAGATATAGAATTGGTTATATAGATATAGCATTGTTTGCAACACACAACTTAGATCATAGAATTGTAGGGTTGGAAGGGATCCATAGGGTTCAGCCCCCTGCAATGCACTTCTGGGCGCTGTTCCTGGGCTAGGAAAGGGGAGGGAGACTCTGTTACCCCTGCAGAAGTAAACGTGCCATTTTGTAAGGCTTGCCTGCTCAAATAACAAACCAAAATAAAGAGAAAATATCTCTGTAAACCACAAGGCAAAACACAAAAGTCAAGGTGATCAAACAGTAAATAATAATGCTGTATTTATTGTTCATAATAAATATTTCAAATGCAGCCATTGGCATTATAACCATCAGCTTTTGTCAACACATAGGCTGGAAAATGTAGTGTTATTATTTATAGTTTGTTCACCTTGGATTTTTGTGTTTTACATTACTGCTCAAATGGTAATAACGAAGAGTGGCGTTCAACTGCATTTATCTCAGAGCAGACCTATTGAAATAAATGTAAAATGACTATTTTAGATCCATTAATTTACCCTGAGTGAAATTTACTTGAATGCCACCCAAAGTTGTCATCAGAGAGTTTCAGAAATGCATTTCTCTGCCTTTTTGTTGTATATGCATCAGTTTCAGACTGTTATAGATTTATAATAGGCCCATGTTTGATTTGCGCTGCCTTCAGCACACATCTGATCATAACCTGCTTTGTAGATTATAATGCTACACAAGTCGGACCCATAACAAATACTGCAGCAGAGACTGTTCCTGTTCAGTGTTTGTTAATCAGCCATGCCCTTCTCCAACACAAGCCATTTCTTTCTGCCTCCCACCCAGTTTTCAATTCTCCCTCCCAGGAATCAGCATTCCAATGGCCCCTAAGGATGCACAGTCTTCATTGGCTGTTAGTACAAAGAAACCCTTTAAAAAAGCCCATATTCTCACAAACCTCCAGGTTACCCCAAGCCTGCTGATATATCCCTCTTGAGCACGGGTGGTGCCATTTTGGCTACGTTTGTGCAAAGACTTAAATGGGGAAAAGAGGGAATGATGACAACTTGCTTATGAATATAGGTAAGCATTAACCAAGTTCATGAGGATAGGCTTTGTTCTAGCTTGTTACAAGCATTCTTTTTCCACCACAGTATATTTATACTGTGTGGGTGTGGTATAGCCTGGGGCTAAAAAGAACCCTGTGCCCTGATGTTGTAGCCAAAACTTCTCCCTGGTTTTTCAAGGATCAGAGATGTTTTGTTAGGTGAGAAGAAAAGCCCTGGCACGTCCATGCTGGTGAACTTATTAGGACTCAGAATTGCAAGAGGAGATGGCTATGCAATGTGTAATTAATTAGGGAGCTTATTGCAGTGTGTGTGTTTGCGTGTACGTCTGTGCACCAGTACCTAAATATTGTTTCCCTGGGCCAGGTACAGACCTGTAACATAGCTCTTCCCTTTCCTTGTTTTGAAAAAAAAGGAACACAATGGAACCTGCAACAGAATGTTGTAGTGTGGAGTCCTCCTCTTCAGGGTTTCAGCCAGCCATATCTTTTTCTGGGATACTCCATTACACACATTCTCCCCCCCCCCCCATGTTCCACCTCCACGGTCTGAGACAGTATGCCTCTGAATACCAGTTAGTGGGAATCACAGGTGGGCAGAGTGTGGTTGCGCTCAGCTCCTGCTTCCCACAGCCATCTGGTTGTCCACTTTAACAATACTTCCCATCAGTTTTCCCAGGGCAGTGTTCTGAGATCATAAGGAGACATAAATAAATGATCTTCCAATGGGATAAGAAATGCAAAGCTTTTTTAAAAAACAAACAAACAGCTGGATCCAACCATTGCATTATCAGAGCTGTCTACTCTGCTAGCTGTTTCAAAGAGGGCCAGGATTGGTTGGGGAAACTTGTTGCCCCATATTCCTGGACATCAACTCACATCAGCCCCAGCCAGCATGGCCCAATGGTCAGGGATGGTGGGAGCTGGAGTCCAGCAATATCAGGGGTGGGGGTGGGGCATAGGTTCCCCATTATTGCCTTAGGCCTTGCTGCCTGAAATTCTCTAATTGGAAGTGCTGTCAGTTGTCAGAGCATGAGACTGTTAATGTCAGGGCTGTGACTTTGAGCCCCACATTGGGCAAAAGATTCCTGCATTTTAGGGGGGTTGGACTAGATGACCCTCGTGGTCCCTTTCAACTCCACAGTTCTGTGATTCTGCAAACCAATAATCTGTGCATCTCCACAACCCACAGCACACTGTTCAGAGGCTTCTCCAAGTTCCATTTTACCTGTAAGAATCCTAGGGCACCTGAATTCTGCTGCTTTGTGACCTGGGCACTTTTGGGTCAAGCAGTGGGAATAATTATTATCATTACTTTGAAAACCACCTTTATTACTCATCCTGATTTTCAATGTTGAGCATTTTGGGGTGGGGGGGGAGCCAGGTGCAAGCCAAGTGCAGCAAACTCAGTGGGTCCTTCCCAGCATCACAACTGAGGTGACAGGGTAACCATAACAGCAAAAATTGGTCCAGGCTTGCTCTATTGCTTCCTTGTTGTAGCTCCAACTCTCTCCCACATCCCAGTGCTTGAGATGGAAAGCATCCTGTCACGTGCACCGAGGCACACACATTAGTTTGCTAACTTTCCCCAGCACAAGGAGGAAGTGGGGACGACAGCCAAAAATGGAACGGCAAGGGAGAGACAAAACAGACACATTCATTTCACTGGCATGGCAGCTCTGCCAGCTCATTTGTGAAGCTGGGATGCAGAGTGGCTGAGCAATGTACTTTTGGAGTCCTCTCTTGATGTAATGTCTGTCCTCTGCTTTGGTGGCTTCAGAGAGATTCTCATAGGCCACTGTGATAACAGGACGCTGGGCCAGATCTGATCCTGCAAGTCTCTCCTTATAAGAACATAGGAAGCTGTCGCATGCTGAGTCTGACCATTCGTCCGTCTAGCTCAACAATGTCTACACACTCACTGGTAGTGACTCTCCATAAGTCGCTCTTATTATATAAGCTCTTGGGGACATATTCCTAGTTAATCATGCAAAGAATTGCAGCTTGATTTTCCTAAGAGCAGGCTTGCACATATCTCAGTATATGTATGCATGTAACCTGGACACAGTGCCCTTCAATGGAGTTTACAAACTGAGCTGGGAGTTATTACGTGTTTTGCAATCAAATGGGATTTCTGTTTAATATCTTAGACTATTAAGGATATATATTTATATCTGTGTCCCTGAATGCTGTTGTTTATTTGGCTGTATCGGCTACATAGTTACACACCTTTATGATTTCTAACTATGTGTAGCCCATACAGCCAAATAAACAACAGCATTCGGATATATGTGTTTCCCCCCGCTATAAAACTCAAAAGTGGTGTGCATAGGGTTTCAGATGCCTTCCCATTAAGGCACTGGGTAGACACAGAATTGCTTAGCTTCAGTATGGTTACATCATGTGCTTTCAGTCTGTGCTCATGTCAAACTGGGTGAGCATTAAGAGGTTTTCAGCAGAACAGGGATTAGGAGGAAGAACAATGCACAATTTAGATGTATCCCTACAGAGCCTGACTGTTACTGCATGGAACGTTATTATACAGCTTTGGGAGGAATCCTTAAGAGTATCTCTGAATTATTTTTTTACAGCGCCACAAATAATGGCCCATAGTTAAGTCAATCAGATTTTTATTGCTTTTAGTCAATAGCCATTACAGTGTAACTAGAGGGGAGGGGGGAAGGAGGCTATCCGAATGCAAGTTAAACACAAACACTTTCAATAGTGCTTTATTACATACACAGCCCAACAAAACAACACAAACCTACCAACAGCATACGAATCAGTATGGTTGACTTGACCTAACAGTCGTTGTCCCCTCACACACCAAAACAAATCTTACTGCAGTCAACTAAAGACAACCAACCATGCCCTGCCCCCCCCCTCACTCACTGCCAAGGAAAAATAATAAATGAATAGAAAGACAACCTACCCAAGTGACACAGACACAACCCCCCCCCACATACATTAAGTAAAATAATGTAAGATTTACTACCCCTTCTCCCCACTTCTCTTCTCCCCCAACCTTATACTGTATACAACATTAACATCTCACATTGAATGTAACTGATCAGTAGAAATGATTCTGTTACTTGAAAAAAGAGGCAATGCATGTACTTTTGTAACCAAAGAAAATATTTAATTATCTATCTATCTATATCTATACACACGCATACACACAAATGAGTATGCCGTAGAATGCTTATACAAAAATGAAGCCATTAGTACAGTGGTACCTTGGGTTACAAACGGTTCAGGTTATGCGTTTTCGGGTTGCGCACTGCGCCGAACCCGGAAGTACTAGAACGGGTTACTTCCGGGTTTCGGCACTCGCACATGCATAGAAGCGTTAAATCACGACCTGCGCGTGCACAGACACAGTACTGCGGGTTTCGAACGTGCCTCCAGACGGATCACATTCGCAACCCGAGGTTCCACTGTACTTAAATTACCATCCTGGGCCCATTTGTGCCTACTTGCAGTTAGATTCAGAACTGGAAAGTAATCTGTGTATACCTTCTTGGGATAATGAAATAAGAGCCACTTCACAAAGCAGCACTAGATGATGTTGGTGGTGGTGGTGGTGTTGATGTTGGTGATGATTAACTTATTAGTGTGGGAGGCGAGATGTGCAGCTTTGCTTTACACCCCTCAATATAAACACTGCTTTCAAAATATTGCCTCTGAAATATTGCCTGTGGGTTTGAATTTTAATATTAACACCGGCCACCTGAAAGCTCAGGCAGTCAAGCAGGAGACTCTTAACCTCCGGTTTGTGGGTTTGAGCCCCATGTTGGGCAAAAGATTCCTGCATTGCAGGGTGTTAGACTAGGTGAACCTTAGGGTCCCTCCAACTCTACAATTCTGTGATCCTATTAGGCCAAAGAGCCAGCGGAAGAATTCCAGAAGTAAGTGATTCCTCTGTGCACGCATGCCTGTGGAGGCAATAAAAGCCTGGGTTAGGAGAAGTTGAGTTTTCAGCCCTAATTGGGGGGGGGGGGGGATTCTGTTGGGGAATAGGGAGATAGGGCTGATAGGCTATCTTTTATAGAAGGGGAATTCTTCAGTGGGAATTGTTCCCTTTGTTCAGATGTGACCTCGATACACGAAGCATTCTGAATTACATTTCTTGCGTGTGTTTGTTCTGCAAAGTCTTGGACATTGTAATAGTAGGTCCCTCCACCCCAGTATGGACTTCTTGATACTTAACTCTGCTGTCACACTTTGCAGGTTTTGCCTCTGGGTTCTTCTGCTGCTTGAAGCTTTCTTTCTTTTCTCCTTTCTGAACAGTAAGATCCAGTCTCTTCAGGGGTAATATGCTTGGCATGTGTTGCATGAGAAACCACCACCCTGGATGTGTAAACCCCTTTGTGTTGAATTTGGTTAGATTTTCCTTATAGCCCTAATGGTCAGCCACTTCTGAAGAAATTACTTGGTGCTCTGAACAGTATTCTGTTGGTGCCAAGCAGAAAATCTCATAAGGTCATCCGAATGACAACGTTGTTGTATTCATTTTGCTACTTCTGCAACTGTGCTAGAAGCCAAAAGGATCCTTAAAGAAGTTGTATCGGAGACTGAAACTCTTGTTCAAGCATGCCATGTCAGTCGTACATATTGTCGGTTTTGGCTTCCTTACAGGCCCTTCTCAAATTTGCATGCTGAGATGCAGAGTGTCTTTCTTTTCCATGTTGAAATACCTCTCCAGTTTCTTTTTTCATCTTCCTTGCATGAACACGCATTCAAACGTGCAATTAAAAAAGTATGAGAATTTGTCTGCCTTGGTGCATCTCAAACAATATAATAACAAAATGAATGTATACTAATGCCTTTTTTTAAAAAAAAGTTTTCTATAAGCCATTTCAATAGGAGTACAGCACAGGTTACTTCCATTTGCTAGCTCCCTTTGTATATTTCCTACCACTTGATTTAATATATTAATGTCACCATGACAAAAGCAGTGCCAGGCTGACAAGGATCCTACAGGGAATCCCAATGCATATCTCTGTGCAGAGAACACAGGCACACTGCAACCTACCCCCTGGGGTATTTGCAGCAGACAAGCCCTTGCAACACACACACACCCCACCTTGTGTCATCATAGTGGCCATTTTCTAGCATATAATAACTCTGTACCAATTACTTAATGTCCGTCTGATCTCTCAATTTCATTCTTCTTCAGTATGCTTTGGGGTGGCTTATAGATGAAATAAACCTACATTTGAGTGAAATTCTTCTGTTTTTGAAGTTAATGGGCAGGCAGACCATTGGCTTCCATCAACCAAGGGTCCTTAGCATCCATATTTAATTCTTCAAATTACGTTAAGTTTGCTTCTATAACTAGAATAGAAGTTCCACTCATGGAACTCCCTTCCCGATAGAGACCCACCTGCCTCTTCCTCCTCTAATTCACTTTCCAGAGCAGGATGGCTTCTGGCACCTCAGCTGGTGTTCAGATGCATCTGGAAAGCTGGATTCTGTAAAAGCCATTTATGTAAGGGTGCTTTAGAATGGAAGCCGGCATCCTCAACTGTTGACCAGAATGAAGAATGACTCCTTTACCCGGTCGGTGTCTTAACAGTGCTAACCATAACAACAACCTCCAAAATGCTAATGTAACCAAACTTTCATTATAATAATTACTTAGAATGTATATTTTTGAAGTATGTGGCAAAAGTTGGGATGAAGAGGACGATAGTATGTATGGTAGGTTAAGGTTTCAACTTCAATGGATTTTGTCAGGCCACTGATTTGTAAACCCGGGGACTCTCACCGGGAAACGGGGACGTATGGTAACCTTATGGTAGGTGCACTTTAGCAGAAAGATGGGTAAAATAATGTAACATTTGGAAGCTGAAGCAGCATACTAAGATCCCTTTTACCCAACTATATAAATAAAATTTTAAAAATGATTTAGACATGCAATTAGCGGTGGGAAATCTGTTGCCTTCCAGATATTGTAGGACCCAGCAAGCATGGCAGAGATGATGAGGGTTAAAGTCCAATAACATCAGGAGGGCCACAGATTCCCCATCCCTATACTGCAGCTAATGAATATATAAGGATTATAATATATATAATAATACATAAAGGTATAAAATCTGTCAATCTCACATATATATTAGTTTCAAATAGATTCTAATGTTGGCCTCATTCCCAGAAAAGCATAGGAAACTCTTTGAGGGAGGTAAGAAGTGATGAATTAGATCACTGTTCTACCTTGGTTGATACACTGTTTACCTAAAATAGCCAGACAGGTAATTCATAAAATTCAGTGCTAAACACAATACCTAAGCCTGTCTTAAGCAATTTGATGTTAATAGGAGACATGCTAAGGATATATCACACCCTCTAGCCCTTGATATTTCTATCATCCACATATCAATCTAAATCTTTTTAATGCATTTATATTAGTTGCCACCGCAATTGGCATTTCTCTTTAATTTTCAGAGTGATTGCTAACAGCATGCTACAGGATATACAGGCAACCCACATAAATGACGCTGGAATAATCCCAAAAGTAACTTCGATGTTTTAATGTGCCTTATCTGCATTAAAAACATTTTAAATTGTCACCCAGAGTAGCATCTGGAGTTTGCTTTTGTTAGAAGGCATTTTTCAGATGCAAAGTCTTATAGGAATGCTAAGGTGTTTGGAATGCGAGCAGCATCCTTGAACATATATTTTAACTAATATGTAATAATGGGTTGTAGTTATTTCACTTATTTCTGGGTGCCATGAACCAGTATTCTTTCCAGAACAGCAAGAGTAGTTCTGACATTAATTCAATAAATATAGACTGTTATAATTTAGCTTTAATTAATGATGGCAGATTTAAGTAAAATCATGGCTTTCTATAAGATTTCCTTCAGCATCCACACTCATAGAATTTCAGCATATGTGTTTAGTTCATTAAGTGAAACTGTGTAGACCATTGCACTTGCTCTGTAAAGAAGCAGAATTCCTAAAGACTCCTGCTTTTCTGTTTCAGCTTCTTTTCTACTCTCACAGTATCTCTCCAGCCTTCTCTAATCAGAGAGCAAACCTGCCTTCTTGCTGGTTCTCAGAGGTACTTCCGCTTGCTTTTAATTCTTTAATTCTTGAAGACGAAAAAAACACCACTATTTGACCATATACTGTACATTTTTAAAGGGCCAATTCAGTCCTTTAAAACATGCTGAGACCTGGCTGTCTTTGGCCTTGGTGCACCTCCTGTTCCCACTGATCCCCCACCTAAGCATTCCCCTCCAAATCTTCCACCTCTGCTATCTCCTCCTCCATCTGAGCCCAATCCTTCCTTCTCAGGCCCTCCATCCATTTTTCCATCCCCTGTACTGTGCACTGTCTCCCTGTCAACTGCCCCCTTTTCTGTCTCTTTCTTGCCCCTGCTTGCCCTCAATAGTCCCCTCCATTTGGGCTGTTCCTTCAGACAAAGCTCCCTCCCCCATTGTTCATCCCTGAGCCCATTTCAGTGAACCAGAGTATACCTTGGGGGTTACTGCCTCATCCCAAATGGCTCTCTTTAACCACAGTAACATTCAGTAGAGGTCAATTGGTCTTCTTACTCAAATGCTGCCATATCTTGTTACCTTCTTCTGCACAATACTTACATTTTCTCTGCTTTATTCAACCCTTTCAGCACCATCTCAAAGTGTAGTATAACCTAGCTGTCCGAATTTTTTCCTAGAAAAAAATAGGAAGGGGGAAGATGGCAATATTTGTTTTAAATATCATTATATAATTGGATACTGAGCCCATTAATCAATGAGAACCAGGAAGTTTGTGCATAATTCTATACACGCAACCACCTCCACAAGCAAAAGAGGGGGAAATTCTGTATTTCTTAGTTGTATACCTCCCCGAGTTAACTCACTTTGCATGGTACAACATAAGTTGAATGTGCCCTGACACTGTGTTTTGATTTTATTAGAAATACCATATATTTTCTTGCAGCTTTTGTATAAGTAGCATGGTGCTGTTTATAAGTAATTGAGGAAAGTACAGTGGTACCTTGGTTTTCGAACATAATCTGTTCCGGAAGACTGTTTGACTTCTAAAATGTTTGAAAACCAAGAACTCAATACGGAAGCCTCAAAACGTACAGAAAACTCAAACAGGAAGCCGCCTCTGAAGTTTGAAGCATTTACCTCTGGGTTTTCGGAAACGTTTGGCTTCTGAGATGCTTGAAAACTGAGGTACCACTATATATCATCATCTTTGGCGTTTGAAGGTACATGGTACACTTGTAGTGATGCTCAGGGAATGGCTAAACAACTGTGATTCTCCCCTTTGTTTTTCTAGACCAGCTGACACAGGGTACTCAGAATTCCGTCCCGAAGAGCCTGCCGCTCAGCAGGATTACAGCTTAGGAAACAAATGGAAATTGTCTGCTAGGCCCTCACATGCAGTACAGGCTACACTTGCTTCTCAGGGGAGCCGAGGTAGATCTGGGACACTGCCCAGTGATTACAGATACTCACAGGAAAATGTGAGGGAGAAAAACAAAGATTACAGTGCACTGCCTCTTGCTATTTCTGAGCTGCAAATATCCAACGGGGACCGCTTCTGCCCACCACAAGTCAGAGGAGAGGGAAGCCTGCAGGAAGATCCAGCCCTGCTGAGTAAGAAACATGGGCCTGTGCCCCAGAGGCCTTCCCCTTCAAAACGAGAGAATAAATACAGGCGACAAGACAATTCTTCAGCGTCACTTGCTGCTTCCTCAGAGTCTTCACTGACAGCGCCCAGCAAGCCAGCTCATTCCCATTCTGCCATTGCTGCCAGTGCGGTTGAGGTTAACGTGTCTCCTTCTCAGACTCCTGTAAAGGTTTTTGAAAAATTGAAAAGCACTGAGCTGCCCGAGCCTCGCCAGTCGGTGCCCATCGAGAATGTTTGCCAGCACTTAGAAGAAAAAGCACGCCTCAAACCTGAACCTGGTCCATCTTCAACTTATCGCTACCATTTGAAACCTGGAATGGAGACCTCAAGGTCCCCTTCTCCACAATTTGCTCCGCAGAAGTTGACAGATAAGCCTCCTGTGGCTGTTCAGGATGAGAATCCCACAAGGTAAGGCAGTTTTACATGAATTGTTAACCATCTTGTCTTAAGATTTACATTGACATTATTATTGCCCTTAATTAATTATTGTTACCTGTAGCCTGCTCAGCTGCAGCAGTAAATTTATGCTAACAGGGTTGTGACCACTTTTTTCTCTACTGATTTCCTCTTATGGAATTTTGTATGAATGAATGTTGTAGAGTCATACCTTGGATCCGAACAACCCCCAAAGTGATTGTTCCGGTTTGCGAACGTTCTTTGGAACCCGAATGTCTGAAGGGGCTTCCGCAGCTTCCAGTTGGCTGCAGGAGCTTATTGCAGCCAATCGGGAGCCGTGCTTTGGTTTCCGAACATTATGGAAGTCAAACGATTCCGTGTGATTTCCAAGGTACAACTATATTTCACATTCACCTGGCTCTTCATTCATGGGTACTGCCGCCCATAAATCATCTGCAAATAAACACTGTGCAATTTATTTATTTTATCTTTCAAATGGAGCTATCAGTCCAATCCTTTTTTATTCTTAGCTATTCATACTGAGTAAATCTCAGTGTCTCTTGAGTTTTCAGACATTCACAAAACTTGTCTGGGATTGTCAACATCAAATGTGAATGTTGTCTGTCACCATTCAAGACATTCAATTTAATTTGTCAAACATTCAATGCAAAATATGCTGGCAAGCACATAACTTTACTCTTATTTAGATTAAATATTCAAAACTGATAAATGTAGAGAAGTAAATTTATCATCCTGTATTTAATTCCTTGCTATATTGCAGTATTTGCATGCAAAGATAGTGACCTTATATTAATAGATAAGTGCCTCATAGATCACATATGTCTCAAGGACATGACCGTGCTGTGCCAGCATTGGGCAAGATTTCTGATCTTCAAGATACGCACTGACAATATGGCCCAATAAATGATCTGCATCAATGTAGCTATAGCAACATGCTGCATATATCAGAATAGATCATCTCTGTTGTAATGCTACTTGCAAACCGCAAATCCATTTATGAATGGCTGCTGTGGCCTATCAGCTGTGTCATCATCTGCGCTGGCATACCTGGCTTAAAATACCCAAAGCTTTGAATGCTTACAAACAAATGAAAAGTTGGCAATCTTGTGCTCACTTATTTTAATGTTAATGGGGCAAACATCCAAGTTATGTGGGATTGTTTGAAAAGTACAGGTCCCATTACTGATCCTTGGGGTATTCCACTTTCTGCATCCCTCCATCTAGAGAACTGTCCATTTATGCCTACTCTCTGCTTCCTGCTGCCTAACCAATTGAAAGGAAAGGAAAGGTAAAACTTTGATGTGTTGTTTGCTCCTTACATTTGTTGGTCCCTGTATATTTCCCTAAATATCTTGCGCAAATTAAATGTGATGGGCCATTTTGAGCCGTTAACGTTGTTCTCTTTTCTCAAGAATCGAAAGAGTGATGGATAACAACACAACTGTGAAGATGGTTCCCATAAAGATTGTACATTCTGAGAGCCACGCAGAGAAGGAAAGTAGGCAGAACCTTGTGAGCACCATTGAACTTCCTGCTTTGCCAAGCGGCTTGGAGAAGGACCAGATTAAAACGCTCAGCACTTCTGAACAGTCCTATTCCCGTTTCTGTGCTTACACGAGGCAGGGGGTGGAGCCAGAGCCTGAGAACAAAAGCCTTCTCCCTTGTTTGCAGCCCGCCGAAGCGCCTGGGAACAACACAAAGGACAGTGATACTTCTGCCCATGCAGTCAGCTATATGAGGGCCAAAGAAAAGACCATGGAAGACTGGAAGTCGGAAGAGCTGGCCAGAGAGATTGTGGGCAAGGATAAGTCACTAGCGGACATTCTGGACCCAAATGCGAAAATAAAAACTACAATGGACCTGATGGTGGGAATATTTCCGAAAGACGAACATCTCTTGGAAGAAGCCCAGCAACGCAGAAAGCTGCTTCTAAAAAACCCGTCACCAAAAACTGCAGAGGACAAGTGAGTAGAAATATATTAACCTTAAGCCTTTTATCCTTTCTCCTTTCCTTTGCCCAATGTGTGCATTTGATCAGCTTATTTTCTGTTTAGAAAGAGGGACTTTTATAATATAAATGCAAATCAAGATGTGTCCTTGTGGGTTCGTATAATCCAATTCACTTTTTTGAAGCAGCAAAACGTCTCCAGTAAGCTTACAAACAGGGCATGAATTTCTGCAACCTTCATTGGTTGTTTGCAGTTCTTTGGTTGTTTCTGGAAAACGCAGATAGTGGTGGCCTGCCATAATTTGACAGGAATGTTGGTCCAAAGAACAGGGGCAGTCACACTAAAAGCCCTGCCCTGTGTTACTGCGAAGTGGGCTTCTGATATCTTTGGAGGTTGTAGAGGAGAAGCTGTCACATAGACTGCAGTGAGTGGGTATATAAGTTGGTCTATAAAGGAGCCTGGCTATGAGCTGTATAGGAGCCGATAGATTAGCGCCAGCAACTTGGACGTAGCCCAGTAGCAGCCTGGCCATAACTTGCAAACATGCTGTTATATGCTATTTGCTGTTGACAGCTACATCCTACACAGAAACAACACTGTTACTTGACATTTTTATGTAGCAGTGGAAGTTTATAAATTTGCTTGGTCATTAATGACATTTTAATATATCCTCTTTCTGTCAGTAGATTCCACAGTTTAAAAGAGGGGTGGGAATCTCCAGGCTGTGGACCTGATAAGGCCCAGAGTGGGTCTCAATTTAGATCTACCAAGACCCAGTAGGGAAAATCAAGAAAAAATGGGTCTCCCAGCTTGTGCTTTTTCCAGTTTCCTGGGAAAAGGGATTGACAGTTGAATCACTCTGCATAGGGACTAGGGGTCTCCTAACTCCTAACAGCTCTTAGCACCCTTAGCAAACTGTGGTGCCCAGGATTCACTGGGGGAAGCTATGACTTTTTAAGGGGTAGAATATTGTACTGCTTTAAAAGTATAGTGCAGATGCAGCCTTAATCCACCACCTGCCTGTCAACTAAACTTATACCCTGCTTTACAGTACAAAGCTTGTGAGGAAAGCTACACACACATAGATGGATTGATATACAGATAAATTTATTGTCAGTATTGTTGTTGGGCATTCTTGGTGCCCAAACAAATGCTCAGCAGTATTTTAGTTCTAGAAATACCATCAGATTGACCTTGAAATTTTGAGGAAATAGAAGAGACTCATACTTGAAATTGCAAGCACCCTTCTAAAAATGAATAGGGCATGGAAAACCAAACCGTCACAGTCTTTCCCCAAACATTTTCTCCTTAAACAATACCCCACAGTATTTAAACCCCAGTATGCGTTCACTAGGGAAAGTAAATCTCAAATTTGATATCCAAGCAAGTACTGGTTAAATTCTTGCTGCTTCTAGCCAAATGAGATGGAGTCTTTATCTCCTTCCTGCCCACCTGATGGTTCCTCTTATGGTGTTGCCTATTTGGGTCCAGATCATCCAAGGGGGTGAAGCCAAAAAACAGTGTGTCTTATCTATGGCAGAAGTTCAAAGAGTTGTAGGTCCTGTTGAGTTTTCTCAAGTCTTTCCTCAGACTGGTGTGACTCTTGGTAGGCTGCCTAGTCCCATTCTAAATGTTTACCTTTGGGGGAAGGGATGTAAACCACCTTGATCAAATAGGCAGCAACCAGTTTGCAAATTCTATAAATCTTATTTGACAAAACCCTGTGTATGCATGTTTATTTGGGAGTAAAGCCAAGTGGATTCAGTGGGACTTACCTTGAACTAAACATGCATAGGATCCGGCTGCAAATTAGCCAATTGCAATTTAACTTTACTGTCGGGTAATAGCTAGCACATTCTGTTTTCCAAGGTTTGTTCTTGGCTACAGCTAGTGTTGAGTGAAGAGAGTGCTTATCTTGGAGTCCTTGTTCAGACAACACCCTAAGCCAAATCTTGCAAAAAGGACTAGGGAGGAGCACAGAGCCTGCGCATTCACATCACCTCGCTGAGGTTTGCGTTAGCTTAGTATTTTGCGCAAACCTGCTCATAGTGCCTTCGCTATCTTATTTTCAAAATGGCAATGAAATAGCTTTTCCAAAAGGTTGCATTCAGTAACAGGACCCTCTTAAGGCTTGCAGTTTAAGCATTAGAATTGTGAATAATGAAACAAGAGCAGCTGTGTTTTTCACTAAAAGTTATGCTTATGGGATTATATAGTCGGGGCTAATGAGAGCCCCAAAGAGGTTTAAACATTACCTTCCTGCCACTGGCCATATAATCAAGGATACAGTGTGGAAATCTAAACACTGACAAGGGAGCATCAATTAAGGGGCAAAATGGAAATCAGCATTTTCAGGCAATCATTTTGGCAGTTTCTTTTAATTGCCCGTCTCTTTAGCTAGGGTCTGAGAGTGCCAGAATGATATGGTTATTTCATGCGAGACATTAGCCCCTGCAATAGCCCCAGGGTGAAAGAGCCTTTCTCGAAGCCCTACAATTTACTTGCTGCAAACAGTGTTTCGAAATGATTACTGTCCTCCTTTCAATGTGCAGAATGTCAGGAAGCGAATTAGAATTGGGTGTTGCTCTTTTTTTCACCTTGGCTTAGGAAAGAGGAGCAGCCCCTGCCTTCAGCTATCCCCTTGACAACCAATTCCACTTACTACAGCACATCTGCACCCAAGGCAGAACTGCTGAACAAAATGAAGGACATGCAGCAGCAACAGCAGCAGCAGCAGCAGCAGCAAAGTGAGGATTCTGAGGATGAGCTAGACCATGATCTATCTGAGAAGAAGGTAAGATTGTATTTCTTTTTTTCTTTTTTAAAAACCAACCCATGCTGTTGAAATCCATGCTGCTAGAGCCGTCTAGTAGATCTCCACTGCAGCCAGCCCAGCCAAAAGCGAATGTGGCCAGGCCAGAAGCTGTGTGACAGCACAGGAGCTGGCAAGCTGGCATCGCAACTCACAAAAGATGGATGGTAAAGGTTTCTCTCAGACGGAATGAAAGCTATAGGACAACCAGCTGGAGAGTGGGCAGGGAAGTAAGGTTTCAGTTAAACAGATATGGCATGCAGGACCACAGGAAGCTGCCTTATTTATGTCCAGTCAGTCTATTATTCTCTGTCTACTGAGAATGGAAGGTTCTTGGAACTGGGTACAGAGGTTGCTTCGCTCACACCCCTTATGACATTTTAAACCAGAGACACCAGGAGCTGAGTCTGGGACCTCCTGGATGTAAGGAATGTAGCTCTGCGCTGAGCTGTGTTCCCCTCCCTAAATGCAGAAGGGGGTTGGTAATGTTAGGAGTCCTTGCCTCACTTCACTCATATGTCAGGAGGAGCAACTGACTGAACAGCAGCTGGCTTTTGTATTGGACAAGCCAACTTCACAATGCAACATGGTGGCCAAGACATGCAGCAACACTGCGCAGCAGAAACATGGTCCATACAGTACAAGTTCATATCTGGAGATAACAATCTATTTATCTGATGTAGGTATCTCGACACCTACACACACAAACACACAACACTGCCATTTCATAATAAACCAGTTCTGGTTAGATTTCAAAATCTTGATTGAATATAGATTTATGGGTTTCCCTGAACCAAGCCAGGTCTGAGAGAACACAGCCCTAAAGTCTCTCAGCTCCTTTATTCTGAGGCTCATAAAAAGGGAGACTTGCCTCATAATTGGCTGGGCCTTTCCTCTGGCAAAACACTAGGGCCCTTCTGAGGGCCTGGCTCAACTGCTGTTTACATTATTGCTTATCCTAGGCAGTGAGATATGTATTCTCTGCTTAAATGGGTGTTCCTTCAGGCCAAGTGCAAAGGTTGTTCATTCAAGCTTTGGCAACCAGAAACGCAGCTCTCCTCCAGTTTGGGTTCTTAATGCACCCTCTCCCCTCCAATAATGAGGAACCTGGGAATGTGCCTCGGCGCACCTACATATGCAGCCTTTTTCCCTTAACATAGGTGAAGTGACCAGAGAAGTCCTTCAGATGTATCTGCAGCCGGGCCCGTGGGTGGGGGGTGGCATTTTCCATGAAGCAAGCCCTGCTGGGTGGGATCTGCATCTCTCCCTCCATCTTTTGTGCCAGCCAGATGCAGCTCCCACCTGCATGGGATTGCCTCATGGGAAAACAACTCCCAGCTCCAGGTGATTGTAGGTATGTCTGAAGTAAGTCTGAAGATGATACCATGTCAAAAATGTGAAGTTGGCAGTCAAACCAAGGGAACTGGTTGGTGTGGTCTTGTGTCTTGACAAAGAAGACAATTGCTTTTTTTACTAACCAACAATGCAACTTATGCAAGAATAACTGAAATATGCGTGTGACGCCTTGGATGTAGAATCTAAACAACTTTCTTACAAGTAGGAGCCGGAGGCATTGGAATTGCTACACCTGACTCTTCACTTTTGCAACTTTCCTCAAAAGGAAGCATGTAGGAGACATTGCAAGAGCACATTGCAAGAGTTCCCTGGGAGAGGGATTGGTTATTAAAGCACTCTGGGAATTGTAGTGCTGTGAGGGAAACGGGTCTCCAAAGAACTCTCAGTTCCCTTAATGAACTACAGTTCCCAGGATTCTTTGGGAAAGCCATGGCTGTTCAAATTGTTATGATACTGCTCTAAAAATATGGTATGGATGCGGCCTTAAGAGTATTTCGGAGTGAAATGGGGCTGGGAAGGTTCAGTTGTGATTGCGTCCGTTATGCCAAATAAATTGAGCTTACTTCTCCCCCCCTTTTTTTCCCCTCTTCCGTAGCAAGAACTTATAGATAGCATAAGTCGAAAGCTGCAAGTGTTGCGGGAAGCTCGTGAGACGCTCCTGGAAGACATTCAGGCCAACAATATGCTTGGAGATGAAGTGGAGGCCATTGTCAAAGAGGTCTGCAAATCCAATGAGTTTGACAAGTTCCGGATGTTTATTGGGGACCTGGATAAAGTGGTCAACCTCCTGCTGTCACTCTCTGGCCGTCTGGCACGAGTAGAAAATGCACTAAACAACTTGGATGAAAATGCCTCTCCTGAAGAGCGGGTAAGTCTTGTGTTTGTTTAAAAGAGCTCCTGTCTAATGTTGCTCTCTTGATGGCAAGTAGATTTCTTCAGTGACAATAGCTGACCTTAAGTTTAAAAAAATAAAACAAAAAAAAGCCCCAACAAGGATATCCAAAGCAAAAAAGCTAGCCAAAGACCACAAAAAAGACACAGGTGGCAGAGGGGTAGCGATTCCAAGATTTTAAGACAAGCTGAGACATAGAAGAATCATTCCAAGTTTCAAAATGTCTTGGTGAATATGATGATGTTCTAAAAGGTCCTCCGCAATTTGCCTATGAGATGTGCTTAGATTTTACTAGCATTCTTCCTTTATAGCAAGGAAATTAAAATGTTCACCATGTGACTCAAGGAACTAAAACTGAAAACTAAAAGCCTGTGTTTCTATATAGCTCCTAAAACTTGTTCCATTCTGCCTTGCCTTTCTTTGATCTCTCTTGTGATCCTGTGAGCATCACCTTTCAGCCCTTCTCTATTCCACAACCACAGCCTATATTACTGTCCTATTGCTGGCCTCCACAGTTTTTCTTTCCCCAATATAAGGGGCTCAAATTGATTACAGTTTATTTAACTGACGTTTATAAACCAGTCAGTACTTAATAACCTCTTCCTCTGTTTTTTCCCCCTGAAAGCCTCATGATTTTGCACAAGTAAACATGTGTGCAAAAGAGAGAATTAAGAACTGGGTGTTTCTCTAAGCGTAGGAGTAAGGAGGGTGGTGGTGTTTTGTTTTTAAAGGGGTTTTTCAAGTCCTGTTGATGCCATCTTTGTAATCATGCACATTTCTTATCTTCACTATGCTCTCTCGATATGCTCTCAGTGAGTAGGTTTCTTAGCAGATTTTATTACAGCCATGTAGCAGTGAGACTAGGCTGACTTACCTGCCAAATTGCACCTGAAATGACCTGGAATGGTTTTGCTCTCTCCCCCTCAAGCGGATCCTGGTGGAGAAGAAGAAGCTGCTCACACAGCAGCACGAAGATGCAAAGGAACTGAAGGAGAACCTGGACCGAAGGGAACGCATTGTCTTTGACATTTTGGCCAACTACCTGAGCGACGAGAGCCTTGCCGATTATGAACATTTTGTCAAAATGAAGTCAGCCCTCATAATCGAACAGCGAGAGCTGGAGGACAAAATCAAACTTGGGGAGGAGCAGCTGAAGTGTCTGACTGATAGCCTTCAACCTGACAGGCCCAAATGACATTCACCCAAGGACCTTGGAAATCAAAACAACGTGGGTTTAGAAGTATAGAACTCCTCCGTTCACTAGGGGGAGCTGCTCAAAAGAAACAACGACAATAAGTCATAATAGCAATAATATTCAGGGGGAGGGGAATTGTTTCTGTGTGGGGTTATTTGCATTTCTAGAAACATTTCAAAGCCTCTCTGGCTTTCCTTCATCACACAGCCTTAGGAACCCCTCCGGACATTAGAGTCTGTGCTTCAGATTCGGTATATTCAGGAATCTGCTGCAGTTGTGCATGAGTGCAGTTCTTTCTTTTTTTTTTAACAAAGAAAAAAAATGTGTGTGGTTTCTTTTCAGATTCATATAGGTTGCTGTGGAGCCCTCAAAAACTTAACAATGAGGATTTTAGGAGACTTTTTTGGGAGGGAGCAGGATACAGCCATATCAAACAGACAGAACAGATTTAAACATGTTACCTGTCTAGTGTTGTATTCAGGTTGGTGAGATATAGTGACGTTTGCACATTTGATCTGCAATCCTATGCACACTTACCTGGGAGTAGGCCCCATTGAGCAAAGTGGGACTTACTTCTGAGTAAATACTCGCAAGGTTCCACCGGCAGGTGCTGTTTTGAAGAAGTGTTGCATAAGCTCTGCCTTTCCAAAAAAATTATGTCGATACTGTTTGGATGAGTAGACCTTGGAACAACCTATAATAAGCTACTTTCAAACACACCACAAACTGTGTGACTGTACATGGTTTTTAATGTCTTGGCGGAGTGGAACTTGCCATTATTATTATTTTCCATTTGAAGATAAAGTTGGAGAATTTTAGCCAGTCTTGTTCAATTCATTAATTATCATCTTCTCCACAGCACAAATGCAATAATGTCATTCAGCTCAGCTGTCTTATATGAATGAAGTGTAACTAAGGGTCTGACTATAATATGCACAGGTCTATAAATAAAAGGCAGAACTTCTGCTACATTATGCTTGGTGCCATTTGCCAGGGATTCAGTGAATCAAACTACAAATTAGAATATCATTCTGTATATCTTTCATTTGCACAAAGCTAACTGTGTGTTTTTTTAATTTTATCATGTCCTTCGTGCCTAGGACTGCTGTTTGTCCAGCTTTTTCATGCCTCAACAAGAAGCATGATATCCATTTTACTGAAGTACATTGGAAACGTTCACTGTTATTACGTGAGTGTATTCCCATTTTCATATTAACAAATATCCCTGCCACTATGGGACTTCCATTTTCCACAAGGAGTGATGCATTAACACTGCCATCAAAGGAAAAACATCTATCTATAAAAAGTCCCACTAAACTGTCCTCTACAAAACAAGAACGGTGGGATAACAAATGCTGATGTACTAATCTGCACAGTAAGTGTTCCCTCACATTAATGTACATATCAGATGGATAAAGGGAAATCATACTTGTTTATAGGCTGTTTTTAACTTATACTGAGAAAATGATTTACTCAGCACTTAAATCTTCAACTCCCCTGGCTGTAGTGCCCTCCCTGACAAGGGGAACTAATTTAAACATTACGAAAAAAGAATTCTCTTGACACTTGCCGCTTGATTTAAGTGTAGGCAAAATATTTCCCTTCTACGGTTCTCAACATTCAGGTAAAATGCAGTCATAAATATAAGCAATGGTTGACTGTACAGGGTCTTGGCATAATCACTTCTATGTAATCAAGTATTTCAAAGACAAATCCTAGAAGGGGGCTTTCCCCTGAGTTATCAGTGCTATTTCACACCCCATAGGCCACTGGCCTGCACCAGGGTCATTCCTTTAACCCTCTGCTGTACTAATGGGTCCCAGGTTTGTCTATTCCGTTTAGAAGACATCTGACGAGTTATCAACATCATCAGATGCTGTTACATCCAACCAATATTAGAGAAACAGATCCATTTTGTCTTGGAATCTTTTACCTGATCCTTAAATAAAGCCAAGCTAAGATAAATGATTATTTGTACTTCAGTCAGCTGTGAGCTTTTACATGTCACTCTTTTTTTTAAAAAAAGAGACTGTGATTCTGATTGTGTATGTGAACTTCAAATATAATTTCAGCACAGTACTTTGAGTTAAATCATATAATTCTTATGAAGATAGCAATATGGAAATTGATGTATCATTATATATTATCCTTTTCATAATGTGATATTTAATCACTCCCCTTGCTTCTTCCTTTGTTCTTTATTGTTGCTGGCAGGCTCTCCGGAAGGGACCAGGAGTGAGATTCTCCCTACTGCTGTATATATTTCTATAAATAGCGTTTTTGTTGCTTTGTAAGAGAGAGAGAGAAAACCTGGTGCTAATGTCTTGCCTCTGGCACCCATAAGTGAAGGATTCCTTTTTCCATCTTATGGGTCACTGCAGTTTTTAGAGCTTTTTTGTATTGTGGGAGGAAATAAAGTCTTTCCGATTTCTCCTGTGTCCCCCTTTAAGTTTTCAACCCTGAGTAAAAAGCATATAGAGATTTCTTTCTTGCTGCTTGAGTATAACATCATGCTTGACCGAGGGAAATAAACTGAATATTGTGTTTCAGTGTAACGAGTAATTTATTAATTTTAATATGTTATCTACATAACATTCAAATATACATAACCTGCTTTTCATAGAGGAATGTGCATACCGTTTTGGTGATGGTGTCCGAGTTGATTATCATGACCTTTTCCCAATTCAGATCCATTTAAGTTTAGAATCCTTACCAAATTCAGCTTCCAAAAAAGAAAGGATGGGGGGATATAAAGCCAAGTTGTGTTAAGGATCTCCCCCGCCCCCCAATTGTGGAATAACATGAGATTTCCCATATTTTGTGTTATGCTACAGAATAGACACTAGAGGGAGAAAGAGTCAAATATAGGACAATGCCTGTAGATAAATGAAATTATGTATTTAGTTAGCTAAATGGGATAAATATTGGTCCCACTGAGTAACAGCTGACTGATTAATTTAATTTAGACTGCAATCCAATGCTCAACTGGACTCATTGAGAACTAACTTCTGAGTAAACATGTATAGGATTAAGAGTGATTGATGTTTTAAAAAATCATCTACCGTTCCATTAAAAAAAAAAAATCTTAAGAACCATATTAAAGCAATAAAGACATTACTATCAGCAGCATTATGAGAAAACGGCTGAGAATTCACAGTCAAGTGGCAGAAGAACAAAAATAAGAGATTTTAAAATTCCATATGGAGTAGCTTCGGTTCTGACAATATCAGAAGGATCGACCAGAAGAAAGATTAAAACAGCCTGCAGTTTTGTTTTGTTTTGTTTTGTTTTGTTTTTAGCTTCAAAAGGAGAGTTAACCCTGTGGCTGGAGGGACAGAGCATAGTGGACCATCCTTTTGGAGAAGGATGGGATAGAAATGCTTTAAAATCAAGATCCATTAGAATCATAGAATTGGAAGGGATTCTATGCAGGAATCTCAACATGCCCGCCATCCAGTTTGAAACTGTACCAGACCCTGTTTAGCTTTGCAAATTTGCTAGCAGTTTTATTGCTGTGCCACTCGGTGGAGGAGCCTGATGTCTGATGATACATGCGAAAACCTCCATTGATTCCACTAGCTAACTGGTTCATAATGAACATTGCAGTCCCTCAGTTAAGTCAGTCCCAAGCTTTTCAGGGCTTTAAACATCATAAGCAGCGCTTTGAACAGTGCCTAGAAAAGAACTAGGAGCCACTAAAGTGGTTTCAGCAAAGGAAATGCATAGTAAGTCTGCTGTAGTCCAGATTAAACTGTTGTTGGACTGCAATTCCCATCATCCCTGACTATGGGCCATGCTGGCTGGGGTTGATGGGGTTTGGAGTCTGATGACATCTGAAGGGCTATCAGTTCGCTATCCCTCCCTGCACAGCCTTGGGCTTTAGCTAGACAGTAGTTCTGGGAGATGGAATGAAAGTGAATTTAGTGCATATGGCTGCACACGTGTAGATGCCGACATAATAGAAGTCATGGGAAAAAATTCTTCCAAGAGGCAAAAAAAAAAGGGGGGGGACACCATATGGGCATTTATTTTGAGAAGAGAGGGATGCCAGAAAAGCAAGATTGCGAAAAATGAAAACCACAACTCTCGGGCAACAGATGTGTGCCTTTTTAAAAAGAATACTTTTATTTAAAGCACTTAAAGAGCAAAACCACAGATCCCGACAAATAAGGTAAAATAAAGTAAATTAAGACATCAGTTTACAAATGCTAACATTATTACAACAAACTGAAAGTGGCGCATCGTGAAATTTGGCTAAACAATCTATAGCCTTTTTAACTTGGTGGGGTTACTGCTTTGTTTAATTGTTATGCGTTTCTATACAGTGGTACCTTACATACGCTTCAGGTTACATACCCCTCAGGTTACAGACCCCACTAACCCAGAAATAGTACCTCGGGTTAAGAACTTTGCTTCAGGATGAGAACAGAAATCGTGCACCGGCGGCGGTGGGAGGCCCCATTAGCCAAAGTGGTGCTTCAGGTTAAGAACAGTTTCAGGTTAAGAACAGACCTCCAGAATGAATTAAGTTCTTAACCCAAGGTACCACTGTATTGTAAACCGCCCTGTGATCCTTGGATGGAGGGCAGGATAGCAGTATAGAAAATTAACAGTAATAATAGTAAATAAATAAATAAAAGTGTGTGTCATCACAACCAGATCTGCATTTCCCAGGAATGAGTGTAGCCTAAACCATGCAGAAACATTCCTGGCTATGGCTGTCACCTGGGCATCCAGACTTGAGGACAGATCCAAAACTGACTGCCAAGTTGAGTTTTCAAGGGAAGGACTACCCAACCTTAAGACGGGATGAACTGCTATTCCCATATCTGTATTCTACTGAACAGGAACAGCATTCATGTCTGGAGAAAGCTTCAGTTTGTTTGCCTCCGATCCCAGTCCATTGCTGACTTCTAGGATATGCGATAAAGGTGGGTATTGGGCCGTCGGGGTGGGCCATGCCATATCATGTGGCCTCCTTCTTTCCCTCGCCTTCTTTCCTGGCATCAACACAGAAATGAACGGAAATAAAGCAACACAAATATTTTGACTTAATTGTCTTAGAAAAGCGATTTTAAATCATGGACACCTTGGTTCTGAAAATTGTGCTGCCTGTATTGATGTGAGTGATGCGGTCCCATGGCACAAATTTCAGTGCAAAGGAAAAGAGCTAAGATCTCCCTTACTATAATGTCCAAACAAGATGTGATGGGGAAGAATAATGATAGGTTTGTAAGGACTCTTCCATAATTTTGCCAAGGAAATTCTTACTGTTTAGGGCCTAATGCCATTAGCCTCTCTTGTAGATGGAGATCCGTTATGAAATGCATTCAGGACCGGAAAACAAATCTGTACTGAGATACACACAGAACCATTTTTACTATTGGAACTGCTCTGAATCTGACTTCAGGAAGAATGTGTTTTAACTGAGAGTGTCCTGGAATAGACACTCTGCATTGGGAAAGAAGGGAACTGAGTTCCCTCCAGTTTCCCACTTTCCTGATGTTCCAAAGGACCAGTACCCTGGAGTTATGATACGTGTTGTTGTCAGGATTCTAACTGGACTGTAACTGACCTAAGAATTCTGCAGAGCAGTTGCTGCTGTGGCCAGCATCTCAGTCTTCTTGTGGCTCAGGAGCAGCTAGGAAATACCTGCTTTATTCCTGGCATGCTAGATTATAGCTGAGGAATGTATTTCACGTAAGTTTATGGATTAAACCTTCCTCACTATGCCATAAGGCGTGTTTATGCTCTGTTGAAAATGATAGCTGCAGTAGCATGAAGTAAAACAGCTAAATGATTATCATCATCATCATCGCTTTTAATTTGTATATCATCTTTCTATCTTACAATACTCAAGACTGTTTACAAGCTGAAGAAACAAAGAATGTACACCCTATAACAATCTAATGCAATACAAAAACGTGATAATAAAACGTAACTTTAAAATAAGCGACCCACATCAAAAAAGTAACATTCAACAATCATTAGAATAGTATAGAATTATAACGTCCGCATATAAAAATTAAACAGAAATTCACTCTTAACCATTACAATAAGTAATTTCTAAACTATAATCAATAAAACAACAGCAAACCTCAGTGCATAAAATAATACAGTGCATATACATGTAATACATGTAATAATACATGTAATGCAGATTGAGAAGCAGGGACTGGAGGGTGGGGCAAGGCAGGTGGAGAAAGGCCTTGCCCAGGCATAGACAAACTGGCCTTTTAAATGTTTGGGTCTACAATTCCCATATCCCCTGACCACTGGTCCTGTTAGCTAGGGATGATGGGAATTGTAGTCCCAAATATCTGGAGGGCTGGAGTTTGCCTATGCCTGGCCTTGCCTGATGAAGTCTCTCCCCTCCCTGTACAGTGAGAGAGAGAGAGGAGTGGGCAGTCTTGAGAGCCAAGTGAGGACCTACAACAACAAAGCAGCAAAACAGGGAAGATGTTCGAGACCGTTGGCCTTCCAAATATTGCTGTCTGAAATATCCCTTGCCATTGTCCACACTCGCTAGAGCTGACGGGAGTTGTTCAACAGCATGTGAAAGGCTCTCCCCAGAGATGGAGATATCAGGCAAAGAACAAGGAATTGTGAAGACCAGAAGAAAACAACATAAAGATCGGGCTGAAAGATAATTACAGATCTAACTAAGAGAAGCATTGGGCTTCTGGAGAGGGAAATGTTGGTGTGCGAAGGGGGTGTGGGTGTGGAGCAATCTGTGGGGATCCTGATCTGATAGTTTAGTATTTACTGTTGAAGGCAATCACATGGAGGCATCTTTTATGTGTTCCCTACCATTTGTGTCCTTGTTCCCATTAGCTTGTTCCTCTTCTGGATTTCTTTCCTGTGTGTTCTTGTAGATTTACGTTTTTTGTCAGCTCTTTCATTTCTCTGGAGGAGTGTTTATTGGTAGTAGCTTGAATAAATAGACAAAATTGGGATTTTTATTCCTTTCAATGTTATAGGATATCATCTTTTAATGTTATAGGATATCATCAGACATTCCTATTTTTTTAATCATTTTCTGCATACAATTGTTTTATAATTCCTAACAGATTATGTTCCATGTTTTGAAATTAACTCCAGTACGTTTGTCCATTGATGTTCATTGTATGCTTTAGTCGTATCTAATGTGATTATAGGTACAGGAATTTAGGGATTTTGTTATGGTTTACTATGATATTTGGCTAAATTTCTCAATCTATTAGCTAATACATTCGTTTTAAAAAGCGATCTTGGACTCCCCAATGATGTGGACCACAAGACAACGAAGAAAGGCTTAAAAGGCAAGAGATTAATTAATCTCAGTTCAAGACTATAGCAATCTGCTCCCTGGGTCCATGCAGCCAGCTGTTTTGGCACCACTCAATGATGACGGCCAAGACTGAGCCTGCAAGCTCTAAGGTAGCAAGCGTGCACAATTTATTGAAATTGACAAAGGCTCCAAAAAACGGGCAGGAGGCAGTTGTTAAAGAGGCAATGTCACTAAGAGAAAAGCAGGAAGCTTTGAGGTTGGTGGAGCTTGAGAGCATTAGTATAGTGTGGGAATGCCTTGGTGCAGGGGGTGAAATGGTGAGCATCAGGCACTGAAGTCCTAGTACAGATACTATCTTGCAGCAACAAGAAGCTGGGCTTTTTGCCAGCAAAAAACACTCATTTACAAGGGCAAAGTCACCATAAGAATTTGCGTTTGGTGGGTGTTGCGAAGGGACACAGTTCAGTGTCGTTTGTAACCAACTTACTTAAAAGCCTTCTTGATCTGTCAGATAGCTAGCATCGACAGATGGAAAGAGCACATAGGTAGGTCCTTTGGTCCCACACCTGCCAGAGTAGTTCCCCCTGCCAACATGCTATCATCTTTGCACTATTGCAATGCACTACCAAATATGAAATAGTGTGCAGAGCTTGGGAGAAGGGCACATGCACCAGGATGTGAGGCAGGGAGCGCAGGAGAACAGCTACAAATCTGCTTATTCCAAGACCTCCCTTAAAGCAGTTGTGGGTCACCATGAAGAATTTGAACAAGCCAAATACCTAGTCACTAGGGCTGGGCAATATCTGATTTTCAACATTGTGCATATATACCACCAGCTAAATATCGCAATACAGTGATATATCGCAATATCTGAAATAAGGATGGAGCTATGTAGAGGCATTGGCTGGCTTCACAGTTTCCCCCACATTGTGATTTTTGCACAACACACACACACACTTCATGATTCGCAATATATTGCCAGGTCAAATATTATGAAACCGGAATTGCAATATGGATCATATATTGCCCAGCCCTTCTAGTCGTGGGACAGAATCTTTAAACTTTTCCTCTCCCCTGTGCGTGTCAATACCGTGCATAGATTTGACTCACCTGAACCTGCAGAAGCCATCTCAGGAACTTGAATGTATAGTTGGATGGTGGGAGTGTGTTTGGGAGGAGTTGCAGGAGCCCCCTGTTCTGCTATCCTCTCTCCCTCGGTCAAGCAGCTACTCACCAGCTACTTCTCTGTCGTCATGTGCCTCAATGTCACAGAAGATGGACAGTGTTGCACTCAGCATTGCACAGAAGAGCACAGGAGCCCTTCTCAGCTTGGGTGAGGAGCTCTCTGTAGAAGCTGTTCTTACCCAGCTGGCATGTACCCCCATTGATGTTTTCCCTTTTTGTGTTTGTTGGCCATGTGCTGGTGCCATTCTATTTTGTGTCCTAGGCATGCCTACCTACTTGCACTCCTCTCCCCCAAACTGCTAAGTTCCATTTTCCAAAACAGGTGTCTTGCGGGGGGGGGGGGATGAAAAACACAAAAGGTGAAACTGCTAGATTTATTTTAAATTATTACCGGCCTCCTCTCTGCAATCTGTTATTATTACAATTACGTTAGAAACAAAAATAGCTTCTCTCACAGATATTTGTCAAAAATCAGTAGTTTGTGCTTTGAACCTTAAAAGTTCTAAGGTGTTGATTAATATTGCTCATCATAAATGTCTGAATTTGAAAACAAAACAAAGTTTTCTAAGATTTTTGAACAGTTAAAATGAACCTACTATATATCTATGAAGTGAAACAAATATAGAAAGATCTTACAAATAATCTGAAAAGGAGTCTGATAATTCATTGACAGAACTCTTAAGAACCTGCAGTTGTAGAATGAAAAGAACAGCCAATAAGGAACAGCATCTGTAGTTACACAGTCACAATAGGTTGAGAATCTTCTGTTTTTATTTTAGACCTTACAGTCTGCAGACTACAGTTTTTCAGTGTAGCTCCTGGTTTTAAGAGCTCTGTAACTAATTGCTTTATTGAAGAGCCCGTTTTTTCAAAACGTCAACTTTTGTCAAAAGATTAACCAGGTAGAAGCTGTAACATTTTTAGAGGTTTACTGCTATTTTAAATGTGCCGTTTCCCTTTTTATTTTAATACACAACCGAATGCTTACAGTATTTGCTTTGAGGACAGTTTAACCACAAACTAAAATTCTGGAATTGGGAATCTTAGTATTTGGAGGGGCTTGTATGAGTCTAACATCCTGATCATGTAAGCTATTAACCAACCTGACTCCAAGAAACCAAACTAACCTTAAAAGAGCTTGCTTCAGGTAATTTCTAATGGCATTTAGTTGAGAGATTCTTGAAGCCCCTGAGGAATTTTCTAATCCAACCAGCCTTGGCCTGGCCTCCAACCTGCCATTTTGAAGTTTGAGCTGTTGTAAGGACTCTCAATTATAACACTTGCAATGTACAGTATGGGGAGAATAGCCTGTTGGCTTTGGTAACAGGGCAGTTTATAGAAGTTTAACATCCTCAAAAAGAAAAATCAAAGAACCAACCATTCTGAAACCTTTCTCCCAATGAAATAAGATGTAAGTTAGGAAGAGCTTAGGTTCCCTTTTTTTTTGCTGCTATCTTTTATTTCTGGGTGGACATCCCACTGCTCAATGTCAGGCAGCCTAAAGCCATGGATTGTGACATTGTTTTCCATGGGCAGTTCTCACTTCTGCCCCAGCAAGGTAGGTGGTGAGGAAGGAACACCAGAAAAAAGAACCAAGAAATTCCATCCCAGACAATTGAATCTTATATCTTTTCCTGTCTGTATGGATATCTCTGTTTCTGCATCAATGTTAATCATAGCTGTGATTTCTCTTCTTTCATTGGCTATTGACAATTGGGCGGAATAACGTCTGCATATTTTTCCACGTAGATTTGAATCTACAGGGCTAGATACTTTTTTGAGAGGCTAGGAATCCATGCTAGCTAATGTGGCAAGCTGAGAACTGGTTAAAATCTGGTGCACCAGGCCATTACCTGCAAATTGGTGGTTGTTCTTTTGGCCAAACAGCTAACAGACTGCAAAATTTGCTCTGTTTCTCATTAGTCCTGGCCACCCCTACACTCCTCTTGCTGCAAACAGTTGATAATTTCTTCCAATTCAAATACTATCTATTGTTTACTTTGCAGCCAAAAGCTCCAAGACTTTATCTGACAAGGACAAGTAGATGTAGAAATCATAGCAGAGTGAAGCATAGCCTGAATGCAAAGAGAAGTGAAGTTGAATGGCACATGGTATGTTTTAAAGCAGATTATATCTCATTATTTCATGATGATGTTTTCATTCCTTCTCTATTCACCATATTAATGTAGACCAGAGAGTGGTGTCATGTGATTAAATCCCGACACAATCCACATTTTGCAACCTCCCCTCTAAGACGAAGCAAATCTTACATTTCCTTTCCACAGATTCATTCTTAAGATTTAACCTCCCATATACTTCCAGTGAGGAGAATTCCATGTCGAAAAAAAGTATAATGTGACATTCCTAGGCATCAGCAGAACCTCTCTGTTGTGTAGCATGATGCCTAATAACTGGTTGAAGTGAAGGAATCCAACACTGTGCATTTTATGGGAGTTAAGATTTTCATAATTCTGATTATGGGACTGGGAGTGGCCGCTGAGACCATATAACACCAGTCCTGAAAGACCTGCAGTGGTTCCCAGTACATTTCTGGGCACAATTCAAAGTGTTGGTGCTGACCTTTAAAGCCCTAAACGGCCTAAGCCCAGTATACCTGAAGGAGCGTCTCCACCCCCATCGTTCTGCCCAGACACTGAGGTCCAGCTCCAAGAGCCTTCTGGTTGTTCCCTCCCTGCAAGGTTACAGGGAACCAGGCAGAGGGCCTTCTCGGTAGTGGCGCCCGACCTGTGGAACGCCCTCCCATCAGATGTCAAGGAAATAAACAACTGCCTGACTTTTAGAAGACATCTGAAGGCAGCCCTATTTAGGGATGTTTTTAATGTTTGATGTTTTATCATGTTTTTAATATTCTATTGGGAGCTGCCCTGAGTGGCTGCTGAAACCCAGCTGAATGGGTGGGGTATAAATAATAAATAATTGTTGTTGTTATTGTTGTTGTTATGCTGCTAGAAACAACTGAAAGGAACGCTGTGGATTGGGAAGGTGAGTGCTAGAAATAGCAGCCCTCATAAATGAAATAAAAGTGTTAATCAAATGTCTTTCAGGACAATTCTTCATTTGGGTAAAGTTTATCAACCTGGAAATGCCAGTTGAGGCTTCGTACTCCCTGCAACTTATTGGATTTTCAACAGGATGTGCTGGCTGCGCTCTGTCATTGCTTACAATGAAGCACACAGACTGGAGGTTGTGGTATATTGATAAGACTGCAATGTATAAGGCTGGTATCGCCCACGTGGGAATATGGAAGATCTGCTTTCCTCCTAATTTGATAGGGGCTGATGAATATAGCGTAGTTTGTTGTCATGATTTTGCATTTAATGAGAAATTCTTCCCTTTAGAAATGAAGCTGGGCCAAATCCTGATGGTCGTTGCCTCGTTCCTTGCGTTTTTTGGCCTGTTTTTTTCCTTTCTAACTCCATGGAATATTTTTTGCCCAGGTCTTACCGAAAAGCAGGTTAAATTGCTATTTATAACTGGAGGCCTCTTTTATGTGTTGTCCAGTATTTGTGTCTTTGTTCCCATTAGCTGGAATGTCCACTCCATATCAGTAAATAAAAGCATTGCCTTCCCTACTCCTTTTCACCTGCCCTCGCACCCGACAACACAAAGAAATGGAAGTGCAATTTATCTAGGGTTTATGTCAGGTATCCTGCTGCTCATAGGTGGGCTTTGTGTAATCACTCAGAGGTGTCTTGTGAGATCAAACAGAATTATAGCCATGTAGAAGAGAATCCACCTACCAAACTAATCCAATGCGTGAGAAATTCACAAATGTCTGTAAAGAAGTGGCCTAGACAATCATCTCACTCACAAATATAATATATGAATTAGAGGAGAGTTAAGTAGCTACTGCTGTCTATTTTTAAATGACTATTATTACAATTTGCTGTAAAAAAAAATCAAATGTTTGAAGGATTTGTCTTGCTGTGAATGTTGACTCCGTCTAATAAAGTTATTTCTAAACAAACATGTATTCGCTTTGACTCATTGGAATTGTGCTCAGTTAAGGTTGCCTCCGTACGGTTAGCATTTTGTGAGATGGATTCAGTTGCCTATCAGAAATTTAGTCTTGTGAAATTAACGCAGCTAAAGCACTCCTGTGGGGGGGAAAGAACCCAACATGCTTTTGAAAGGCCCTTTTCTGGTTAGGAAATGCACTGGGGAAATGCACTAAAAAGTATAGGATAAACTATTGATTGACAGGAAGATGCATAGCTTCCATGCAAGCAAGTCAGGATGAATGCTCACTGTCATATCACCTACCCACAAACAAATCAGAATGGCCTCTCAGTAAAGAGTAGATATCATATAACATCAGGGTGAATGTTCAAGGAACAGACAAGGCATGGGTTGCATTCTTGGGTGTATATCAAGTAACTATGTCAAGTAGTAAAGCAAATGCATAGATATATTTTTAATTCTTAAATCTGTGTGTATGTGTCTACTGAGTAAGAGATGTCAAAATGAAATTAAGAAGTTTAGATAAGGGAAATACATGCTGCATATTAAAGTTGCAGAATTTAAATTTGAAAGTGTTAGGATTCCTCCCATTAGAGTAGGAAGAGCCTGGGAAATCATACTATATTTTGATGTCCCTAACATGGGAATATTATTACAGGATTCCATTCCATTCATTAGAGCTAAAATGTAAGTAACTGATTCCCCCTACTTCTGTACTCTCAGATGGGAAGCATGATAAATTTCGAAAATGTTGAGATATTGAATGCAATGAGGAAACACAAATGAATTTACTATGCGATCAGTAACTCCCTAGTCCCTCCTCCCAAACATGAAACACCCCATTGGAAATGGACAATACATGATTCCTGATGCAGAGAGACTGTACCATGACTGGACCACCCAACAGTGGTATCCTGAGAAGGACCCCTTCCAAGGAACGCAGTGGCCAGGCTGGTACCTACTGACAAGGTGCTTCATCAAGTATTTTGGGCCCCAAGCTCTTTAGAACTTTGTATGTCAGTGGCAGCACCTTCAATTGGGTAACATCGTGTAAAACCAAGCCATCATGAAAATTCAAAAACTCCTAAATTATTTTCCCAAACCAGCCAAGTTCTCCTCCTCGAATCATACTGTTATCATTCAGTACACCCCTTTGAAATCATAACCACAAACAATATTTAATTTTCTCACATGCTTGAGCACTTGTTCTCTGTGTGTTTTGATGTGAATATCTGAGCTATTTTGGAGAACAATAGCGATGGTAATACATGCAGATATGGTGATGTCTGATCCACTACTATATTTTGAGCTAGATTATTTTTGGCCAAGTTTTTTTTTTTTAAAGCACTCTTGTCCACCTGGCAACTCTGTGTGTGGATATATTTTTTATCCCAACCGTTTCTAAAAGTGATTTGAGACAAAGCACATATTTGGTCCCTATAATATTTTCCCTTTTAATTTGCCCTAAATTGTCATGTTTACAATGGTAATGGTAAACACTAAAAAACTATTCTATACGAAACTATTATTTGAGCAAGTATAATTCACAAAGCACAATTTTATTATTAAGGCTTTCTGAACCTTTCTCAAGAAAAATCGTTACCAGATGTTCAATAAAATACCAATAAGATATTTTAAAGAAAACCTACCCAAAGGGCAAGAGTAAAGGAGGGGAAAGAATATGTCAATTTGTTATATGTTAAGTAAAATGATACTCCCTATAAAATTAAGACTTCAGGAAATTTACTTGCTACTAATCTAATTCATCCACGTAGCATGCTTGTAGTAAGAGACCATGCCTTGAAATATCTAATGTAGAAAGAAAATATTTTCTTATCATGGAATCAGTTTTTGACACATCTGTGATTTGATCAGAGAAAACTTCCTGCCAAATGCTGAAACCTGCCATCGCAACTTTACGACCCGACTCCCTGAGGTTTGTGTGTTTTTCAATATATGAGGTTCCCTGAGTTTCATCGCCGTTAGAGATATATAAATGAGGGCAAAACGTCAAACCTTTAGAAAAAGAAAACAAATGTGCTCTGTCAAAAACATTAACATTTTGCTAAATGCATTGAATTGTACCAGTGACACAAATTCATTTCAAACAATTTATATGTTCCTTTTTCTTCTCTCCTCCCCCCACCTCTTCACATTCTCTCACCCTCTAATGGAACGTGAGAAGAAAAGAGAAGATTGTGAAGAAACAAGATAACAGTTTTCAAATATCTGGCAAGACTGCAGAAGATGGAGCAGTGAACACACTTTTGCTCCAGAGGGAAGGACTAGAATCAATGGGTGCGTAGACACCATCTTTGGGAACAGGGCATGGGGGCTTTGGCACTCCCAAAATTCCCACTGTGGGTGCCTGGCTGGGCCACCCAACACATCAAGTATGTGATGTCACATGGCACGACATAGGCGTCATTGCTGCAATGGAGCCAGAGGCCGCAGGCCAGTCGGCACCACTGTGCCAGAGAGCCAGCGGAGGCAAGGCAGCGGGTGACAGTGGGCAGAGGCCAGGCACGGCTCATGCATGCAACTGGAGGTCATAAAAAGCACATAGGAACCCACTTTTGATGCCAGTTTTTAATTCAGTGTACAGCTACAGGAAATACAAGCCCATGCTCTACTGCAGAAGATGCACTCATTTCAGGAGAAAAAAGTTGTAGGCATCTATACTCTCTTTTAAAATTTTTATTTATACTTTTTACTTATTTGACAAGCATTTTGACATTTCAGAACTTGACTTCCTTTCCCTGCTTTCTGCAGTTCCTTAAATTTATTTTAAATATCTTCTCCGTATCCAAATTTGTTCATTTATTCATCTTCTTTAAATATATACTCTTATGAAACTGCAGGTTATTACAATAATCCTGCCAATGTTTTTATCTGTTCAGAATTTATCTATAAATATTCAATAAACCATTTCCATTCTTTTATAAATAGGATTGTTATCTTGATTTGTTTTTCTTCCGGTTAGTTTTCGCCATTTCTGTATATTCCATAAGTTTTTGTGTCTGTTCTTCCTTTGCTAGGACTTCTTCTCCTTTCCATTTTTGGCCATCTACACTCTCATTCTCCTCAAATGGAAATAGAGATGGCTAATTAGAAATGAATGGGGTCAGTGGCAATCCAAAGAGTTTAAGAAAACAATTAGTAGCATCATTGAAATGTCTGCGTTGGGTTTTTGGTTTTTGGTTTTTTTACTACTGATGGCACCCAGAAGCACCTGAGATTCTCTAGGCACTACTTTCAATTATATTTCTTCTGCACTTTGGATAACAAATTTAGGATCTCTTTAATGGGAGAATTTGGTATGTAATGAACCATCATGGCCACTGGAGGGTGGTTGCAATGCACGCAAGAATCCAAGAAGAGGCGAGGAATATCCTGTTTTGACTGAAATACAGTACAGTGATACCTCGGTTTACAAACTTAATCTGTTCTGGAAGTCCGTTCTTAAACTGAAACCATTCTTAAACTGAGGCGCACGTTCCCTAATGAGGCCTCCCGCCGCCGGTGCCCTTCCACCATTCAGATTCCGTTCTTAGACTGAGGTAAAGTTCTCAAACCGGGACACTATTTCCTGTTTTGTGGAGTTTGTAAACCGAATCGTTCATAAACAGGACTGTTCTTAAAACGAGGTTCCACTGTACTATATTTCATTGCCATAATGAGTGGTTTTGAATTTACTAATCTGAATTCTGATTGCACTTCCTGCTACTTGCATAAATGTTCAATGTGTTTCCATTTAATGGCAGCAAATTTTGAAAGCTAAAAATCATATGAAGTTGGAGTGCCAATATTGATTTTGGTTAATGGTTAAAAAAAACCACACCTTTGGTTAAAAAAACACAAACCTTTTATTGAGAAAATAAAATATCTTAATTATTTTGAAATTAAAAAGAAAACTGCCATCAATGAATTTTAAAATTTTCATTCACAAATGTAAAATGTATCAATATTTAAAAGTATGGTATGTACAGATTCATATTTGGGGTCCATTTTGTTTCACAGCTGTGGCAATTCTAGCATGTTCATGACCCTTATTTTAATTTTGTTTCAGTAAACATCTTTTTTTTGTCTTTGTAAACTTTTTATG